ACATCCCGGGGCTAGAAATAGAGCTGAAATGTGGATACAAGTCTTTATTGATGATGTGGAGACGCACTAAGGCAGGGGATTGGTAAATTCAGGGGAAAATCTAGTTAAAATGTGCAATTACTTTGTACAAATATTGTTTTCCACCTAATTCTACTCATATTATATTTTATAAATAACTTATATACAAACAATGGATTGCATTTACACTAAAAACCTATAATTGGGACGAACGTATGTTTTGATAAGTGTAACAAGCAGTACTTTCCGCCCCAAACACAAGAGAATACAAGTATAAGGTGATGTGAATGTGAAGGGAGTCATATCAAATGATAATACTATGATGATAATGATAATGACCAAACGCGAGTTCGATTTCGAATCTAGAAAAGTTGGAGATCAGTCTTCCAGAGCTTGAGCAGCGAGTCAATCGTTTGTTACTAAAATTAACATAGGTTTAGGGCACACAATATTTTCCAACTCTTAAATTTCTAAAATTCTGTTAATTCAGATTAACTCTCATATGCAAACATCGAAATTTAAATACAGTGACCAGAATTGTTGTTACATTATACTATATATGGCATAGAATTAACATTAAACCATTACCAAAAACGGGTTTTGCGGCCGGCAAATGTTTAACACAAAACAAGCTGTCTACAACAAATGATTCAATCCACATAATATACACATATGTATGTATATACATACATAGTACGTACATACGTATGTATGTACATATATATGTATGTATTTCCGCAAGCGATGACGATGACGCAACTACAATCACCGAACAGTAACAAGAAAAGTCAGCGCTGAAATGTTGAGGAATTTGTAGTCGAGAATTTGTTGAATTTTATGTTATTCTATTTTGCTTGAGAGAAGAGTCCGGAAAGTGCCGCCACAGGGTCGCAGGATAGCTGAGTAGCAGGTAACAAGTGCGGCTGCAACAACAGCCAACCAGAAGCTGAAGCAGCTGCATCGAGGTCCCTACCTGAATCCGAAGGCGAGCGGACGAGGATAGAGCCCGCAGCTGTGCTGGGCGAGAGGGTGCGGCGGCAGATAAACCAAAAATAGAGAACACTAAGTCAGACAACTTATAGAGACTTTTTTCTGTGCCTGTATGTGTGGTTTTATTTTTTCAACGCAACGCCAATGACGCTGCTCAATGGTTTGAATGTTTTTGGAAAATTCAATTTTATGATAATAATGTTCATTAATTTAGGAAGCGTCTGTTAATTAGTTAAATATCTGAAGCCCCTAATGGAATCGATGTACATATACTAACATAGTTTCAGATTTGTAATCAGTAACAAGTTTTTATGTACATACATCTGTCCTATAATACAAAAATGTCCACTAAATTTTAAGAGCTCTTTAAAAACAAAATTGCATATTGCTAGTTGCAATATTCTCCAAACCGATCGTTTCTGGCTATAATCTTATTTACAATTCATATATGTATGTATATATCACGACAAAACTTGGCATGGGGACAGCCCTTCTCCCTTGGGTAATTCGTACAAGAGTACCAAATAACTCTTTTAAAAACCTCACAATCTAAATCAAGGCTTAATAAGCCGCCGACGCAACGACAAATAGTTGCTATTTATGGTCGGTAAATTGAAAATCATCGAACAAACAATGGCAAATGTGCAACAAAAACAATGAGCTGAAAAATAACTGCAGCTGCTGCAGTTTTATTCTGCGGTTCCTGCCCCATGTGTGTGTCGCGAAAAGTTCGACCCACGCTTGAATAGGACCATCTCTCGTTTTTGTTCTCTCTTTTTAGTCTTGTTGCTGGGATGCTATTAAAAGCGAAATTTTTATGCCAAGCATTGCAGCATCTAGGTTGAAAGTAGGCCAAGTGTGGATTCTTCTTTTATGACTGACTGGTTGCGTTGGCGTTTGCTACTTTGGTAATTGAAATGCATTACTTGAATTATTTGCTGTCCTTGTATAATTATTATTGATTACCTGGGGAACTTAACCATTGATATACTAATATAAGCATTACTTAAAATAATTGCTCACTGTTTTTTTTTAACTAATCTACAACTATCATGAACCAATATCGGCGGTAGTTTAAAAACACAATCCAAGCTAGTGTTTTGGAAGTATTGAATAGAACTTCTGGTTGTCTATCAAAGTTAACTTAGAATATAGGCTTCATAAAGAATAAATGAGAACAGATGTAACGTTTACGTTCCTTAAGATGGTTTCATTCATGATATGACCAACTTTAAGTATGACGAGAAAGCAATCTATTCCCCGAAAAGTACTATTTAACAATTTTACTTGCCACAAACCAAACAAACTGCTTCGAATTAGTTAAATGCTTTAATGATAGCTTTACATATTTAGCTGAACTCTCTCGAATTAAATATAACAGATACACGAAAAAAGAATTCAACATTCCATCACATTGTTTAGTACAAAAGCCCTGTGGTGCACAAACCATACACACATAAAAAAAAATGCGAAATTTGTTTAAATAAGATAATGTTTTTCTTGTCTACACGAAGCACAGATGTTTCCCCCTGTATATGGGGCTTGCCATTAAATTATTAATCAATATTAAGTATATCGTACTTAGCTCGCATAAGTAAGGTTCGTCAAAATCAAACAGGTATATGTTCAATATTAAATTGAAATACTTTTAAACATATCTACACTTGTATATGTATTTATGAATTCATGGCACAAAAATGTTTGTGTTCAAAAGACAAACACACATTCTTTTTCGCTCTGCAAACAATGCTAAGCAAAAGCGAACAATTCAGATATACATACATATGTACATATATGTATAAAATTTAGTGCATAACATGCGCTTTGAGATGTGAGGCAAGGAAGGGGTTAAACGAGTGCCCTTATCGCCATTTATCGACTGAAATGCAAAGCAGCAACAAGCGAGAAAGTCAAGAAGGCCACGATACAATAAAAACTGAATCATCAAACCGCAACAGCCCCCACTTAAACAACAATCGCATAATGACAACAGCACCTGTATTTGTCACTCCAAATATTCCCCTAATGATGGCACGTAGCAAGCAGGCGCCAAGATCGGCCCCATTATAATGCCACACCAGGACCAAGAAGTGCTGATAAGCTTTTCAAGTACCTGACCGTGGCCAGCTAAAAATCAAATCTGATACTGGGTCAACTGTCGTCATAGTTATCAAATAATAAATATCAATATACAGACGGAGTGTTTGTAAGTACAGAGGAGACTTGATTATCAGAACCATCGGAAATTAAAAATTCGAAATTCGTACAACTTCTTTTAAAGGATTAAAAATATGCAAGAGATATATTATTTATAAAATATAATATCATTCTAAATCAATTGATGTAACGATCATCACAGAGTTCTGAATGATACAATACTCGCCTACAGTTCAAGGTAGTACTTTAAATAGAATTAAGATAACAAACAGCATTTTTATGAGGAAAACAGACAAACAGACACTTACTTTAAACAAAATAAAATTGTCAAATTAAATATGTATTTAAATAAGCTTACGGGTTGATTTATTCATGCATAAATAGTACGAGACACATACATATGAACAGCTGATTGGCATTTGTTTACATTTGTGTAATGTTCACTTTGCATAAACCGTTTGAATGAAAATAGTGTTGCCCCATAATTTACATTTATTTATAATCAGAATATTAGGCAGTGTTTTCCAATGTTCTCAATTTGCGACCGTACACTGTGCAGAAGATAAAAATTGAACGATTGCTCGGCACGGCTTTCTGTTTACTTTGCTTATCAGCAGGAGGCGAAGTGCAATGTAAACAATCGAAAGTTATTTGCGTTGCTCATCTAATGTGTGGCTAATTGCAACGAGGCACAATTAAATGCGTTAATGAACTTATAAATAGACACACAGACACACATTCAAAGCGTCTGGTGCCCCCATTTTCCTTCGGTTAAAACAAGTCAGAAGTTAAACAAAAGCCGCCAGCCACAAATACTTGAGAACAATAGGGAAAGAAAAGGCCAAAAAAAGAAAACCAAGAAACTTGTAAACTGACTGCAAAACAAAACCAAACGGACATGAAAGGAAGAGGTGTTGTTGCTGAATCAGATTCAGACTCAAAATCAGAATAAGAATCAGCGGCTTTGTTGTTGACGCGGCCAGTTGTATGTTTGTGTTTGTTTTTCACACATTCCTACTATAATACACACAGCCATTTCGTTGTTGTTGTTTAATCAGTCACCAGACTGCAATATACTACATGCTTTGGCTTCCGAACAGTGCAGTCCATCTGGCTATCTTGTCGCTAGTTCTGGAGTTTTTCGAATGCTGAATGCGGTAACGATTGGGATTTATAACGAATAAGAAAAGCTCATGAAGCTAATTGATCTAATTAGTTAATTAGTTTGTTAACCGCAATGAAAATGAAAGATTTAATTTGTAAAAATATGTAAATATTAGAATAATATTTTTATTAACAAATTTAGACTTAGTTTAGCCATTTATAGTTTCTTCGAATTGCTGATCTAGCCTTTTCTTCCGCCTACAAATGAGCAACACTGCTTCCGAATGCCATAACGATTCAACCGGCTAGCAATGAGACAGCCAAATAAAAGACTATTCAATAGCAAATCCCAAACGCTAAATATACAAACACATGAGTGTGTGTGTTTATGCGTAGGCTAGTAGCGCGCTAGAAAATAGAGCCGGCGCGGAACTGTCTGTGTAAAGGAATGCTATCGACCCCCTTGAGAACGGATTTTTTTGGCCTATCCTATTGATTTGCATACAAATGTCTACCGAGCCAATTATGTGGCCGGCCAACTTCGACTGTTTTGACCAAATTGCATTCTTGTTGACACTGCAATATCCACACACACACACACATTACGGCACACACCCACACAAAGCACTTCATTAGAAGAGTCTATTAGCGTGCAATAACAACAATATCGTCTGACTGACTACTATAGCTTATCATAGAACCATAATATTTGTATTGTATGTATGTCATACCACATTTGCATAAGCAACAAAATTGTAAGAAGCACAACAACACCAACACACGCGTTTCTTGTTGCGGCAAGACAGTAACGGCAATGACAATGCCACACACAAATAATTGCTTTTTATTTAAATAATTTTATTTGCAATTATTGCAAAACAATTTTAAGCGCTATTTGTAGTATTCGATTTGGTTTCGATTTTTACAGACGCCGTCGCGCGTAATTCCACGACCGTATGGTTTAACAGCAGTTTTAACACAAGAGTAAAAAGGCTTGAGTATCAGAAGGCCCGAAATGAATTCCACAAATGTGGAAGCACTTTTTTGTCACTATACTGTCATCCCGCTTACTCTACAGACAATAGGCCATCTGTTTAATTGCGTGCTCTGTTTATGTCTCTCATCAGATAGTCAAAAGAGAGCAATAATTCAAATGACATCCACAACAATTTCAAAGCACGAGTGGCTCGTTTTGTTCTATAGCAGACAAATTTTGTTAAATATAAATATAAAAAAATTATATAATAAATAAATACAAGTATTGCATAAAGGTTTTTTATAAACAGCATGAAAGAATCTATATATATATAGTATATTTACACGGACTCGTCTATGAAGAAAACAAAATCTGTGTTTGTTATTCACAATCTCCACAAATTTGTGAAACTATTTTCTAATGACACCTGCCTACCGCCAAGCAATGTTGCCACTGCTGAAAGCCTTCCAACACTTAATACTGACCTTATCGGAGCCGCTGTCATCACTAGAAGCACTTGAATTATCTTGGATTGAAAGTCACCCCACCCAGTAAAAGCAAAGAAGTAAAGGAGAATAATGGCCGAGTTGCAGGTAAATATAAAATATTATTATTGAAATACCATAAACATAAAAGAGACTAATACATTATTGCAGGAATTCAATGAAGCAGCGGAAAATGCAAAGAACTTAAACTCTACGCCTAGCGACAATGACCTGCTTGAGCTTTACAGTTTGTTCAAGCAGGCTACGGTCGGCGATTGTAACACAGGTGTGTATTCTCACATACATACATATGTACATATATATAAGTACCTAGTTTATGTATTAATAATCACTTGATTTAAAATGCTTATAGATAAGCCAGGTTTTCTGGATTTTAAAGGCAAGGCCAAATGGGAGGCATGGAATAGCCGCAAGGGGATGACAAACGCCGATGCCCAGACCGCCTATATAGCAAAAGTAAAGTCGCTGATTGCAGCTGTCGGACTGAAGGCTTAGGCTAACATAGGCTCCGGGCCGAGCAATATTTAATATGCATTTATGCTGCATAATCACATTTAACGCACAATTATGTACCAAAATTTTTACTCTGCTTTAGCTACTCAGCAAATACAAATACGCACTTTCGTTTAAACGAAAACTTGCACACTAGCTTATTGTAAAGTTGCAATAAATTGATTTATTTATGAAGACGCTGCTAAATGCCTCTTGAGCTTATCAGCTGTCATATAAAGGTATGTACTTATGCTACCATATACATTTATACAATGTACAAATACTAGGCCTCGGCTTCGGGTGTCAGGGCGTTTTGCGACCGGCGCTGACGCTCATAAACTTCACGTTGCAACTCGCGCAGATTGATTTCAAGTGTCTCCACCACTTCAAAGTTCATTTCCTGCCGTGCTTGCTTGATGTAGCCCTTAATTATGTTAATTTGTTCGACCAGAGGATCATCAACGCGCACGTTTGCGGCTGTTTGTGGTGCCGACCAATTGTTTAACGATTGCAGATCAGACTATAAATATTTCAGATGGTATTAAAGATTAATGTGTTTTTTTTAGTTAACTTACGCCCTGCGCAAAGCTACCGCTGTCTATCACTGCAGTTGTAGTTGCCGCATTGCCCAATCCGTAGCGCTCAAATGCCTCCATCGCCATGCGCTGCTCCGTCTGAATTCGCTGTTCAGTCTCCATGCGCTTGCGCTCCTGAATCTGTCGTATTTGCGCCTCATCTGGCAGTGGTGGCAGCGACAACATACGTTCCTTAATAGTTTGTATGCAACATAGGCGTACTGCTTTCTTCAAAGCTTCCTCGCGGCTGCCTGGCTCACTATGTATGGCCATAATACGTTTGCTACGCACATCAATAGCTTCAGCAGTCTGCCCAATCTTGCCACGCAGCGCACTTGCATCCGCAATGGTGAATATGGAGTCGCCTTCATACAGACTATTCACAATTTTCATATACATGTCCAGATCCGGCATCACCTCCTTTTGCAGCTGACGTATTTGATCATAGACCTGCACCAGCATAGGACGGCAGGTGCGGCTCTCGTGCATATCCTGGCGAGTGTCGAGTAGCCACAGACAATGGTGGCAAAGGCGAACGCCGCCCAACTGATCGTGTTGGACCTGTTGGATTGGATCACTGCGCGTGCTGGACAAGCTGGCTAGTTGCACTGTCGAAAATAATAAAATTAATAATTAAGTATTTAATTAAGCTACAGCGACATACTTGCATTCTCTAGCGGCAAGAATTTTGAGCAGTCGTTGCACATAATGCCTCCACAGAGCCGACAATGATGCTGTCGACGCGCTATGTGAAAGCTTTTCGCGCAATCAGGACACAATTTAACTGAACTGCCATCCAACCAAGCGACTGTTTGTTGCTCATGCTGTTTCCGCTGCATGGCATCTGTGGGCAGATCCTTTAGCAGCCGATGCAATCGAATGATAAGTTTGTTCGTCTCACTCGCATAGCGTTCCAGGCGAGGATTGCGCACTGATTGAAAATATTCAAAATGTGAGCACTCGGCGCCCACAGTCTGTTTGCCCATAAAATTGTAGACATTCATCCGTGTGCGGGCGTTGTTGGGATTGCGCTGCTCCCCATTGCCGCCTCGTGTAGCAGAGCTGGAACCTCCGCTGTACGATGACGTACCGCGGTCATCATTTAAATTGTTGAGGATTTTCTTTTTAGCTTTGGTAAATATGTCCTTGAACACGGACTTCAAGGCATCCTCTTCTTCGGCGTGGGCGCGTGAAAAGTGGTCTGTGAGGAAATCAATTGATTTCAGATCTTCACGGCAAATCGGGCACAGAAATCCCTCCAATATTTCGCAACTTGTGGTATCCTGATCATCATCGCTATCAAAAGGATTTGTCGACATATTGATTCTTTTCCGTTTTTGTGGGTGTTTTCTTTTTTATCTTCAGAATGAAAACAGCTGACAGCACAGTTGTCTGTTCCTTGGTACGGCCGTGGTAATTAATTAATTCTATTTTGTCGGAACTTTACTCTAAACCAGGCAAGTGTTTTAATTAAATGTATAAACAAATGCATTAGCTAATGTTAATAAACCTATAATTGTCTTTTACACACGCACAATCACAGTTAACAGCTGGTGTGTCATAAACAATCGATAAGCTTACTCGATGTTTTGCACTGAATCAACTAATCACAGTTGATACTTGAAATAATGTTTAAATGGTTTTTAATATAATCAGACTGTGTGCGTCAGTACATACACACATTCATAATCTTCAGAATGATTGTGCAAATATTTGAATTTATTTAAATCTATTTAACATCATGAATACCTGATGAAATTTTATTATATATCATTTAGTCTTAGATTCGCTGACTTTGACTAGCCTACTTCATCTCTTCTTTTTGCCTGTTTAAATGCAATTTGTATGCATTTCTTATATTTCTCCACTCTATACATGTAATCAGCTATAATTGCCATTGTGGGGAATTTACGTAAATTTAAAAATACTTTGTATGCACCAAGCAAAGGGTTATCCACCTCGTTCAAATTTTACTGATACGTGTTTTTTGCGATGAATTTTCAACTATCGATATAATAGCGCAAAGTTTATGGCGATAATGTGAGTGCTTTCGAAAAAAAGAAGCAGACGCTGGCTGCTGGCACCTATATTTTTTCAATTTTTGTTGTGCGTTTTTGACTACAATTTGTGCATTGTGTAATTGTCGCATTGACAAGCTTGCATTGCGCCCCACTCTGCATATTGTTTAAACGTGTAAGTTGAAGACGTGCGTGCCAAAATGTCTGAAAGATCCAAAGGTGACGTGTCGCGTGTAAACAACAATGCGACGCGTGTCGTTAAAAATCCACTTTTAAGTGCCTCCGTAACCGGACTCAGCTTCGACGACTTCCCCAACAAGCCACAACTTCTACCGGCGGCACCGCCAGTGGTGCACGCACCACTCCCGCCCACGCCTGTCCTTGTTGCTGGCATACTCAATCGTGGTAAGTGGGTCACACAAAAAGGGTGGCAAGGCTACCAGCTTCTATCACTTGTTGCTTTTGTTTCGTGTGCATTGCTGATAAGCGCGATAGTGACCTGAGCTTGAATTGACTTTTCGAAGATGACTTCATTTTAATTATTTTTTATTGGGCATTTATCAAAATTCGTTTCGTTTCGTTTTGGCACAGTAAACTTATCACTACTAGTAACATTACTCCATGCTGCGCGTGGAGTGCGACCGATAGGTCGGCAATTCCAGAGATATCTTTCGTCGCCGGCAACACCACACAATGCCAAAAATTATCAGCACGATGAGCAGCAACAATAGAATAGCTCCCAGTACGATAGCCGCAATGGCTGCTTCCGTGAGAACTATGTCACGAACATCAATATTAATTGTGCGTACATTCCCGGCCGCATCATGGGCGGAAACACTGACAGTGGGTTCACAGCAAGACGCCATATATGTCGCCTTTAGCTTCTCTGTGGTGCCGGCTGTAAAGTAGTTCCTATAAAAGAGTCCCTCAGAGGGCGTTGTTTGCATACGCAAAATGCCCGATTGCCAATCTTGAGCGGTAACATCTAATGTCCAGAAACGTTCGCCGCAGTTAATGGCATCGGCGGCCACATAGTCGCAGCGACTACCAAATTCCCAAGACAGGGAGGGGCCAGTAGTGTCCTAGAATAATGAGATAAGTTATAATTTTGTGAATAAAGACAACAAAAAAAGCGATTAACTCACCTGCGCATCAATACTAGATATAACTTTAAGGTTAACAGCCTGTGTTGTCCGTTCATTGCCGTTCACGGTAAATGTGATCCTATCAGTCGTACCTTGAGCTGTGCCAGCGGGCACCAGCACTGTTAAACGCACTGTCGTCGTCTCTTGTGGTTTCAAAAACAAACTGCAAATACTTGACTTATAAAATTGTGCTTTAAGCTTGACCTACTTATTCCTACCTCGATGGCGTCAGCTGCACCAAGAAACGTCGCTCATCCGTCACTTGTACGTTCTGATAAACAGTCTCGGCGCGCATATTAGTGACCTCGAAAAACAGCTGCGACATTTGGCCGGCAGCAACAAGCAGCTTTGACTGTGTACTGAGTTCTATCTTTGTGCCACAACGTTGCATCAACATGCCACTCAAACTACTCCTCTGGGTCATGCCGTAGCCAACGTTTGCTGCTGAAACCTGGGTCTGGTTCATAACAGGGCTAGCATCAAGGTGCACCTCCGCGTCGGAGAAGGTCTCCACTTCGGTTTTTGGTGATGGGGACTCTGAATTCTCTTCAGGTTTCCGTTCCTCTGGAAACTTCAACTTAGCATGTGTCATTTTTGAAAATTTAGCCATGCGCGAGGTAGATAATGCACCCGGCATGCGGTTATCATCGAAACGCGTTGGATAGGAATCATGTCCGTTTAGGTAGTAACTATCAAAGCGTTTAATGATATCGCCTGAAATAAAAATCCATAAATTAGTATTTACATTTAAGTGTCGTTCACATCCCCCCATCTACATCCCGTTCCGACCGCACTGTTGCTGTAATTGATTAAGAGATTGGCGTCAACCAATTCTATGACGCTCATTTTCAAATGCTGCCGCTTGCGAAAAGGTGACGCGGTTATCAGCATCGTTGCCTTGCAGTCCTTATCAATGTGCGTTTTTTAATAAATAACAATGTCGATTGTCAGTTCCGTTTATTGCGGCGAACGTGGTACGTGCTTTAATTTCTTAATTATTTATTGCTCTGCTCGCCGTGGTTCATTAATTAAACTTACCTAGAAAGACATCAGCTTTGCGTTCGGCGCGAATAAAAACACTATACACATTAGTGGGCTGCTCCGGTATTAGTTTCAGCGTGAAGGCCGTTGCCTTGCGCAACTTGTTGAGCGGTACGTAAGCATCTAATTCGTTCGCGTCAGCAACTTGGGCAGTATCTCTGTCTTCGGTGGCCGGTTTGAACTTAACAAGTTTCTTTAAATTGATTTCTACACGAAAACAAACGTATAAGTATGTATAAAAAAATTATCAATCGCTTCATAACAAATAAACCCAATTTGTGCCCATCTGCTTCTTGCTTGCCATTCACATTGAATACCACAGCTGTTTGTAACTGCCGTATGATATGTTGCAGGTGCTGCCAGACTGCAGCTTTTCTTTAAAACTGTCGCAGATTATTCATTATATACGTTTTTGTGCACCAAAGCTGCAATTTTTCTTTTGAAAACATTTAACATATTTTATTGGCATTAAAATTAGGAACTGCCGCGTGTTTATCAAAATATTGTAACTTTCATAACCAGTGCAGTTTTTTTTACACAAAGCTGGCAACGCTATCGATTTGTAATACGTAAAAGAAAAACAATTGTTTTTGTTGTGAGTCGAATTATAAACAATTAAACGCCACTACCGTGTAAATAGCCAGGTCGCGTTTTATGTCGCTGCCAAGTCCGTTTTAACCATCGACAATATGGCCAACAGAGTAGTTGAGCTTACGTGTGCGGCCACAGCATCAACAGTACCAATACTTTTGAACTTGGCCATGACAGTGTCGTCTAATTTTCGTGCGTCTGTGTGAATAATTTCGTTATTGCAACAATTCGCGAACTTTTGCAACTAATTCACATATTTTGACGTAATATTGCCTGTTAGTATACATAAACATAAAAATATATATTTGTGTTGTGTGCATCTAAATAACGATTTATGTTAACGTAAAATTTTCGTCTATTTCGGCTCTCCAATTATTCAAATGTAGGTAAATCATGACTGCCAACGTATTAGTTTAATAACCGTGATGACACATGGTTGAGGCTTTTACCGCGATGTGGTCACTACGAAATATAAGTTGATATACCAAAAAATGTGCATAGGTACATGCATACGTATACTATATGCGGCAGCAATTGATTTTTACAGAAATCCTGTGAATGCTATGCTTGTGTACATTACTAATGTGTAGCATTAGTGATAAGAATATTCACGCCAGTCGATGGCAAGTCGACCACGGAGCTTATGTATAGCGTTTTCCGAATAGATAAGGCGACTTCTCCCAGATTGCTCTACAGTTCTTAGTCATAATTGCCTTTTGTCTGGCTGGCGGCTATTTATATGAATTACTATAATCTTTATAGACGCTGACCTTTGCACATTGCGTATGATTTTTTAAATAAGTATGGCGAAATGTACATAATAACACGTCAACAATTGGTGGGTTAGTTGCCATTAAGAATTTGTGCTGCAAAGTTGAGAGTTGTGTTGTTGTGTAAAAGGATAGTAAACAGTGAAAAGTGCAGTGGTTTAAAGTGCAGACACATAACTTAAATACTTACGCGCAGGACAATACACAATTAAGTGGTGCATTTTGGATCGCTGGTCGTGTGGGAATATCAGTTAGAGAGTACGCCAAAGTGTGGTTAATTGGTAACTTATTTGATGCTTTTATTGTATATGTACCATTGGGGCTTGCGCTTAAAACTAAACATTTATTACTGAATGTAAAACGTAAACATAGATAAAAAATTATCCTTTTGTACTACAGTTAATGTTAAGAAATGCAGCCTAAAGTTGAGCATTAATCTAGCGTTTTGGTTAAAGGAAAGCAAAGGAGCTTTGGGGTTAAGTTTTCTATATACAATATCAGCGATATACATAAATACTTGTATAACGCCAATGAGTTTACACACACAAGACTGTTAGTTGCTTGAGCTTAGAGATAAATAAATTACAAATTACAGTAGACAATTGAGACATTTTTAAGACACTGGCTGTAAAGAAAGAGCAATACAGATTCGGAGTTATGTGGGTATTTGTTGGTGGATGTAACGAATGTGCCATAAATTAAATTATGCTTACATATGTTAGGTACGACTTAATGGCTAATTGTGTGGGGTTTATCCCTTAGTTTATTCGTTAACCCGAATGCTGACTTACTGGGGCCACGATCTGGGTCGATCAAAGCCCCATAAACTATGTATTTATGTATATACAACCCTGTTTGGTTAGTATGAGGGAAATATCAATTATAATAGCAATAGCCGAGGCTAGGTTTAATCCTCGATTCTCTTTCACTAACCACCATTGGGCGTTTCCAGCGTCGCACGCCGCATGGGCGCATCGATTTTCACATGCAGACTGGACAGTGTGGTGTCCACTGGCAGTTCAAGCTCCTTGGCACCCTGGTACGCATCGGCGATCAGTGTTAACTGTAAAGTAATGGAACAATTGGTTGAGTTTTATATACATACATACATATGTGTAGTTGCTGTTGTTGCATTACAAATGGCTTGGCGGCTGTCTAGTTTCCTTTCTATAAACAAATTTGCCCTTCACTTTTCTTTCCATAACCTAGTTTTGCACAACAACAACTACAGCAACAGCAACAACCAAAGATGCAACATCATCAGAGCCATCAGCAACAACAACAACAACAACGATAACTTTGCTCTTGAGCCGCCACTGCTGCTGTCATTTGTTTACACCTGCTGGCAGGTAATCCAAGTCGTCTGGCGTCTCACTTGGCTTGGCTGCTGCGCATGGCTATGGATACTTGGGCAACAAACATGGCATGGTATTTGTTTTTGTTATTGTTGTTGTTGTTGTTGTCGTCGTCGTCACTTTCAATTTCAACATGACGGACGCCTGGCGTTGCAGGCAATCTCTAACCATCTCTCTCGCACGTTTTTAATTACACTAATTACGGCAATCGGCGGCAACAGCCAACCGATTATATTTGTACTTTTTTCTCTTGTTTGTACCCACCGTATTGCCCGCAATGTGCTGACCATGCTCGGTGCTCACAATGTGTATGATTTCGCCACCCGAACGGATCGCTACCTCGCCCAGTATGCCGCCCACAGCCTCCTCGGTCTCGTTTTCGCTCGCCGCTCGCTCGCCATACCACAACAGGAAGAGCTGTAAAAAAACGATCAACAATTTGTTATGGGAAGTTGGGAAGCAATTCTGTGACTTCAAGGTTTGTTAAGAGATCCCCTGATAGTTATCACCCTCTTGCATATCGATTGATCCCCTAAAAAGAGTAACCCAGTTCTATTACTCACGCGTATGCGCTTCTTGAGCAGTGTTATGGCCGCATCCTGCACCAGTTCCGTGTGCGGGGGTATCTGGGCCGTTGATATGAAGACGGCGCTGTCGTAGGGCACAAGTTCGGCGGCGTGTAATACGCCCACAAAAGCATCTCCACCTTCGTGTTCCCTGGTGCTATTGAGGCCGGCAATAAATTCACGGGTATTGTTGAAACTGAAGGCAGCAGGTGCGCCTGTAAAGAAAACCGTTCACATGTTGTGGATTCAATGTGAGGGGCCGTTTTTGGCTTCAGAGACTCACCTGCGGCATTGAGCGTTACAAGCACTATTTTCACATTGATGTTCTTATCCTGCAACGCGTCGATGTAGAGCCGCTTGGCTTTGTCGAGTGAGGCGGCAGATGGGTCGACAATTACGGCCAGAGGCATGCGTATGTAGACGTCCTTGATGTAGTTTCGTAATTGATCCGCTGGCAGCAGCTCAGGCCTGGGACTGGACACATGGATATGCTTGGGCTGTTTGTGTGGCATTGTGGTCGTCGCAATTGTGGCCACAGGCGTAGGTGTCGTGGGAGCAGTCGTGGTGCTTGGCCAAGCAAAGCCGAAGCGTGCCTGCAGCAGCGGTTTAGCTGGAACAGGCGGTACGGTGGTCGGTGCCGCAGTGGTCGTTGTTGTTGTTGTGGTTGTAGTGCTGCTACTAGTGGACGTGGTGGTTCTTGTGGCTGCAGCTGTTGTGGCAATCGTTGTCGTCGAAGCTGGGGTCGTGGTTGTGCGCCGCTCCTCACTCTCTGAGTCTCTCTGCTCATCGTAGTAGTAATCGTCTTCGTTTGATTTTTTAAATGCCTTCGGCTTTTGTCGGAATGGCAGTTCCTGATGCTCTTGAATCTGTGCCTGAGGCACTGGTTGCTCAGCCTGATGATTATACAATTCGTCGCTGCTTTCCTTGGAAGTCTGTGTCTGTTGCTCTAATTCCGTTTCCGGTTCATCTTCTGCATAGTCGGAATTATCGTGTTCCATTGGCAGTTTGTTGCTGCTTTCCTTGAGTGGAAAGCGTTCGGCCTTAGCCTTGCGCACATATTCGGGTATCATGGTAGTTGTGGGCTTCGTCGTTGTCGCGGACTTTGTTGCCGTCTCCGCCTGCTTCTGTTCGCTCTGTCCCTTCTCCTCTTCCTCCTGCACTTCATAGTAATATTCCTGAGAATGCTTCTGGGGTTGCTTTTGTGTGGGCGCTTCGTCCGTCACCTCAGCCGCTGTATTCTCATCCTGCTCCACGGATTGCGCTGATGGCGCTTCTGTGGCGCTGGGCTTGACTGTGCTCAACGTGGTCTGCTCCATGGACGTCAGCCCATTATCCGTGTGTGCCGGCATGGCGCCATCATCTTCCAGACTGTTGCGATGCTTAGCCTCCGCTGTCAACTGCTCATTCAATTGGGCCGGTTCGTAGATATCTTCGCTGGCTGAACCCGCGCCATCCTGCGAGCTCCCTGCGTCATCCTGGTAATCGTCGTCGGCGCTCACCATATGAAGTGGCCCGACCAGCAACAGCAGCAGTAGGCCAATAGGCCAAAATATCGTTCGCAAAATCATTTCGACTCTGCGGCTTATTTATTTATCGGTATTCTTAGCTCTTTCAATTTGTTTCCTATGCTTCCAATTCAATGTCAATAGCTAGCGATATCCTGTGGCATATGTGCGTCAACGGCTTCAGTAGAATCTAAAAGCAACAAAAAGAAAATAAGTTATAATGCCGTCTATACTATATATAATTCTTATAAGAATCTGTAACATAATTGTTAATTAGCATTCTTTATTGAATGTGTATTTATTTCACTCTCCAAAGTAAGCTTTTTAACAAATAAATAGCAACTTGGGAAGAGATTTCAATTGTCGAATTTGTCCAAATATTTATGCACATTTTTGAATATAGATATTGAGTGTTGACAGTTTTTTTTTTTTGAATTAATTGGTTGTGTTTTTATTAGCATTTTCGCACCTTAATTGCTACAATTATGAGCCATGATTATTAGCGCTTTTTTCTCTCGCTTTTTTGTTAAATTTGTTTCGTTACCGTTAGACTATTTGACACAACACTTTTGCAAAGTGGAAAGTGAATGCGTTTATTATTCTGTTATTAAAATAATTTTAAATAATTATGGCACGTGTAACAAATTATTAAATATTTACACAAATGAATAATGAATAATTTCCTACGACACAATCTCCCAAAATTCCCCTGTTAGAATTATCCAATAATTTATTCTTTAAAGTCGTATAGAGAGGAATTTGTGTAAGCCAAATAGGTGAAGCTTTAGATTTAATAATGTACTAATCACATTTTATAAATAAATAACGCCACTATCTTCAATTTGAATTTAATTTGATTTAATTTTCCCCATATACCAACACTCTTCAGGAATTAGTGTGTAGGATTTCACGACTGGCGGTTTTCAGTCCGTTTCTTAACAGGTTCACGCTCGTTCTAAGTTGAATATTTTTATCTTTTAATCTATAAGGGAGTTCCCAGTGCAAAGAAACAAGCCTCGCTAGATCGTTGTGTCACGTTGTGCTGCTGATTTATGGTTTCATCGTGATCAACAGTTTAGTTACATTCTTTGAGAGAGTTTAACGAAAGATAGTGAAAGGCAGAAAGCGATGATTTATTAAATTTTGTCATAAATATTGAAAAGAAAATTAGAGTGGGTAGAAAAGAAATTTTGTCTTAAAGCTATATAGTTTATGGGTTTGTTATAGTTTGGTTCAACTGTTTGTATTTGAATATTGATTGTTTTAAGAAAATCAACGATATATGGTCAAGGTTTCTGTCATTTTTCAAACCAGCTGCCGCTGAAGAAAACGATGAATATCGGCAATGCCGTTGACATTAGCAAATGGTTGGTGCGAGTAGCGATAACAGCAAGTAAAACATTGCCAACTTCTTTTAATGACACGCGGGAAATACATAAATAAAAACGAATATACGAAATTGATGGACAAACAGTGGACGCTTAATAAAAATCAAATAAAATTTGATTACGCTATCAAAGAAAACATTGCCAACAGCCCATAATTGTTGATGATAAATAACTTTAAAAAATCAGTGCCCTATATAAACACCAAGTGCTCGATTCTGACCGATTCTGATCTGATTCTGATCATTTAAAAATATTTATTTATCTTTACATAAAACCGGTTTCTATTAGCTTTCATTATTATTCATAAGACTAGTGATACCTTGTGGCTAAAATGAGGTTGAAGATAAACCAAGTATTACGACAATAAATAATAATTTTAATATGTGCAAATTATCTGCATAGACCGTGCACTGTAGTCATAAGTTAGGCTTACGGCTTTACTTAGTGTGACTTTTTAAAATGCGATGAAAATTGTTTAAGCCAGAGTTGGCAAACACGCCATCAACGCAGTCGCAGTCGCGGCGCTGTTCACTTAATTTATAACATTTAATTAACTAAACGCAATTAGCACTTGAATTGTGGCAGCCGCTCTTGGCCAGTGTACAAACAAAATAATAATAATAATAATAAAAAAGCGTAAAAGTGCAAAACGCGTCATGCGAACATTTTGTTTTTGTTTAGTTTTTTAATGCATTTTGTGCCGATTTGTAGAAGGCAGGCAGGTAGGTAGTTGGCGGTTGGCGGTTGCTTGGCTGCCTTGTTTGAATAACAAATTAACAACAAATCAATTTTCAATGATTGATTTCTTGGCAGGTGGAGTTTTTGTCTCGTGATGTGCTGCCTACCAGCCTCCGAAGGCAGCAGCCATTAATTATCGGGTTGTAAGGGAATTTAGTGGTTGGGAGACCATTGAATACCCTATTTGGTCAAGGAATAAATAATATTTGCCACTAGAGCTCATTCAAACTGCTCTAAAAGCAACCCGAGCTCAATTGAACTTGGAAAACAACTTGACTAGAACATCTAAAAAAACAGCAGCAGTTAAGGGTCTCCTGCTACTAAAGGTAGGCGGCGATCTGCCTTGCCTTCTTTTGTCGACTGCATGTGCTGTTAAGTATGCAAAATATCTTGTTCGCTTCTTTTTTATTAAGCGGTCAAGAGATAAAAAAAAAACAAGGCACCGAGTCGAACCCAAAACAAAATGAAATGTTGCACCTTTTTTACTGGCTGGCATTAAAAACAAACAAAAAACATTTAATAAATTAAGTTAAAATATTCTGCGTCATTTTGTATTTTTCTTGTTTGTTTTTTGTTGGCATCAAGTTTTTATTTTGGTATTCGGCAGCTGCACACGCTCTCGCATGTTTTGGAATTCAAAAATTGATTTGTTCGTTTTCGTGCGTCGTTGCAAGGTCAATGCGCATTTTATAAGCCGGTTCGTTTGGCCATTGGTAGGTGTGTGGTCGAACCGTCTATATTCGAAGTATACACAAGTATATGAGAGAAATGCAGTTCAGAGATTCACTCAATTAGAGTTGGATATCAGCTAAGCTTCTGCTGCTGCTTCAGCTTCGCAATTCCGCACCGAGATACCATCGCTTTCATATAACGAAACTGACACGTTCGATGGTTTCATTTAGTTCTTTGGCCTGTGTGGCTTATCAAATGGAATTCTCGATTATAAATACGCATAAGCCATTCACAAGTTGTCAGTATTCATTATGAAATGTTCTATAGGTTCATGATCGCCGCGGCACGTTTTAACTCACCACAGACATAGGCACGTGCAGAGATATGCGTGTATGGATTTGATTTAACAATTTTTCAATATCTATTATCAATTCAAAGTTTAGTTCACACATTTACTCTAACCATCATTTCTGCTGAACACCGATTAAATATTTAAGCGAGAAAAAATTGATCGATAAGATGGATATTTTCAAAAGATTATTTGCTTCAAATGTGAACTATAAATCTTCTTTCTACTAATTTTAATTATCTTGCAGGATTTTAGATTTGTTCTTTCATACTATAGTTCATATTAAGGGAGGAAATTCTTAAAGATCTAAGCAATGCCTTTAATTAATTATTTAAAGATATAGTTCTCTGCATATATCTAAGAGGTAAATGAAATGTTTACAAATATTAATGACTCGATATATGCTGACATTGCGTTTTACCAGAAAGTTCCAAACCCACATAGCGAAAGCATTCCAAGCTAAATTAAGAAATACACACAGTAACAACAAAATAAACATGAAAATAGTGCCATTTACTCATCAATTTGAAGCTTCTGCGTTCACAAACTAAAGATAAATATAGCACACTTAAAAGCAGATTGATAAATAGTTATAGTTTTGAGCTAAGCAACAGCAATAATATACATTTTGATAGCCTCTTTATGCATGTAAGACCGGGTATATTAGAACTAAGTAGAACTCGGCGAAATACTAGCGATTAGCAATCAATTAGAGGTATTAACGGGAACTAGTTATGACAAGCAATAATAATAGCAATAGCGCTCAAAGTTCTCATCAATTATCAATGAATAAATTACTCGTTGGAATTCAATACTTAAATTTCTTTTTAGAAATTTCTCAAATGCTAAATTTAAAATGTTTACGTTTTTATTTTTTTGTAATCTTGGCATTCTTATAAATACATTTTGTTGTTTCTCGACTGAACACGTAGTTGGCTGACGTCTGCCGTCCGTCCGCTTACCCTCAAGCAACACTTGTGCAGACATGAATAACTGAAGTTAAAACAAAAAAACAAACAAACAAACAAATAAACGAACAACAAAAATGTTAACATTTAACATTTCGAGTGCGAGCCAAGACGGCGGACACGACGCCACAGTTCAGCGCGCTTACGTGATTGCCGCGTGAGTGGATCGAGTGAGTGAAATATGATTTTTTATAGGCAATTTAATTTAAATTTTAATTAAAGAAACAACAATGCACATCGCCTGAAAGCAAGTGCCCGTCTCATCAATCAAACAGCCTGCGACCGCAGCTCATTTATTTTATTGAAAGCTTTAGAAATTCTCGAGGAGAATTTGCAACTATTTAGAGGCAGCTGCTGCATCTACATTGTTGTTGTACAAGTAGATGTAGTTGTGAGGCTTAAGTTAAGAACAAAAATGGAATGAAATGAAAACGCGTAAGCATTTATTTCTCGCTATGATTTTCATATCAGTTTTTTATGGCTCGACAAATTAATGAAAATAATTGCAAGAATTATAAATTCAAATTGCGTTCACGAAAGTGGTTTTTGTGCTGATGCTGCCATCAGTTCACAGTTATTTGATTTTGGCATGCAATACTAGCAACAGCAACAACAACAACAACAACAAATAGTTGGCTGGCTCTGTGGCTGACTGTCCCTTTAAAGCTGTGTGGCCCACGCACGTCATTGAGTTAAACATTTTTCTTGACATTGAAAGCGTTTTGAAAAATCGTTTGGTGGTTATTGTTGGCTTTTCAGCACGTAGCGAACTTTACTTTACTTTTTCGCTTGACATATTTATTGTGTTTTTATTTTAATTTTTATTGTTGTTGTTGTTGTCGTCCGCACATTTTCTTTTGTTGTTTGTGTAAACATTTGATTTATATGCAACCATTTTTTGCGCTCAACTTAGCCGAATGCCTTGGCGACCACTTTATACAACGTGTGAGTGTGTCTCTGTATGTATGTGTGTTAGTGTGTGTGTGTGTGTGGATGTGTGTTTTGGCATTTAAGAAACACATTGTATGAGCTTCTTTTTCTGGCTCTGCCAGCTACACAAATCTATTAATCTTTCCACTTGCCTTGTTTAAATCAAATTTCCTTCTGCTTTATTTAGTTTTTTTATTGGTAACGGACGCCACAGTTGCCTGTTGTTAATGTATTTATAACTCGAAATCAATATTCGCTATTCGCAACTGACTGGACTTTGCTTAAAACAAAGGACTTAGGCAACGAACTTGATCAATTATTTCAATCGCGTATTCTCAATAAATTTTCAACACCATTTTTCACACTCACTGCACAATTCTGTGCATTGTTTATCAATATGCACACACACATGCATAAGTGTGTGTGTGTGTGTTTGTATGTGTGTTGGTATGTAAGTAACACACTCTGTGCACCTTGCCAGCAAAAAAAGCAACACTCCGCACAGGCGGCTGGCGGGCGGACGGCTAGCTTCAAAATTTTGTTTCAATTTAACTTTGTTTTTGTTGCTGTTGCGCGCGCTCTCAATGTTTAGTATATTGATTAACCCGTTTAAATGCTTTTCAGCTTAGATGCTGTTGCGTTAACGCGTTGCGCGTGTATTGGTCTCGCTCTCTATGTAAAGATGTGTGTGTGTGTGTGTGAATTTTTAGCACGCGTAGCTGTTTTTCAACACTTGTGGCCGCGACGACGTCTCAAATGAAACTGAAAGCAGAAACCGCGCGCCACACTAAAAACTCAACTCAGCTCAGCTCAGCTGAGCGCAGCGTCGGGCTTGAAGCTCGCGCGTCGGTAACGCCGACGCTAACGTCGGCATCGCTGCTGGCGGCTGCGCTAACTTGTCTTCAGACCAACGGCCCAATGATAAACTTCAGTTAGCACACAAAATATTTGAATAGCATAGAAAATAATAATTGAAAACTATGTTTCACACAACTACAAAGTTCTGGCAAACATCAGCCAGTAAAGCAAATAATTATCAAGCTATTAACATAAAAAAAACCGAACGCCAAAAATCATGTACAAGGCGGCGAGTTATGAGCGTCTCTGTGGATGTGTGTGTGTGTGTGTGCGTGTGGAGGAAGTTCGTCTACCCAGCGTTAAAATGGAGCGTGAAATGAAATTAATGTGTTTTGTACGACACTGCGGGCTGTGCGTATTGATGGCATCAATAAAAACTCAAAAAATATAAACATGCGGAAATGTACAGGCAACGAAAAAAACAACAAAGCAAGCATGGCTTGTGTTTTAAATTAAATTAACTTATAATATGACTGACTTGGCCCCCCTCCACGCCTCTAATGACTAATTAGTCAGCGGTTGACTTTCTTTGTTGCAAGCTCTGCAAAAATTTACCCCACTCCCGTTCTACGAAAACGACGGCTTTGTTTCTAAACTGTGTGTGCTTTTCAAGGTTCTTTTGGCAATTCCAATTACCTACCTGAGCTTCAATGAAACACCATCAATGAATAATGACGCTCTCTCAGAATTACTAAAATAGTTAGTATTTGTTCGAGCCTTTTTTGTAAGCCTACAAGTTATGATTACTAAATAAAGCTGGTGAAGCTTCTCTGTCTGTCATCAATAGATCGACCCTAGGACAGTTTACAACCAACTCACAACTAACTATAGAACTTAGAGTTCTGTAACAATTATTATTCTTTTTGCTTTTTCCTTTTAAATTCGTTTTTAAACCGATTCTACAATATAGATATAGATCAAAACTTGAAGCCCTCTTCTCTTATTATAAAACAAAAAATTGAATTAATTTTAGGGCGGTAGATGCTCGATTCCCAAAAAAAGAGAGAATAAAAGCGAAGTCCAGGAGAATGACTTTTTCGACTTTTTAATATTCGTGTAAACGCCAATGCCGGATTCAATTTGCATTCCAGCATCCAAGTGTGGACGACGTGGTTGGAGCGAAAGATTTACACAAACCCACAATTCTGATTTATTATCTTTCGCCAGTCTGTGAATTTTGATGAACATTAATCAGTTTTCGGCGGGAATACCCATAGCTAGAGCTGAACATATCAGACAATTCGGTCTTACCTATGTCTGTACTCTGTACGCTGTTATGAGACCGTAGTATTCGCGATTATTTTGCACATAAATTCGTGTTATTTGCTTTACGTGCGCTTGGCATAACTTCCTCAAATGTTTTATGTATATTTGTTTGTTGAGTTGTGATTGCAAAAACTATATGAATTGTTCTTAAGGTCTGGAGCGAATAAACCCTCTCTTATAGGTGCATATAAATGTTTATTTAAAGAAATATCAGACAAGTCGTCTTTCCGCACACTTGTTCGCTGCCTTTTGCAGCTGTCCGTCCGCCCCATTGAGAATTTATGCGGCTCACGTAATAATCATGCATTTACCGCTTTCGTTATAATTATGCAATCAATTTGTTATTGCTGCCCGATGTATGTTTGTATGTACTCGTATATATGCACATAAGTATGTGTGTATCATTTTTTATTTGCACTTTATTTTGGCAAAGCAAATTAACACTTGAGCGCTGAGTAAACAAAAAGAAAAAACCCTTTTATATTATTCATTATTTGGCAATACGGTGGCACCAAACTTTTCGCTTTCGTTTCGTTTCACTTGTCAGCCACTTTTCTGTTACATTCGCACATGCGAGTGTACTGAGAGGGCCTTTTATGGATTGAATAAAAACAAGTTACCTTTTGATGGCAATATCCTTTAATTGTCTTGAATTGAATTTATTAATCTCTTATCTATTGCTAAGAACAAGTTACCGTTTAATGGCAATATTCTTTAACTGCCTGTCACTTTCATATTACATTTATTTTCGATTTGAATTAACTGAAAACAAATTACCGAAAATTCTTTCAGTTGAATGTCCTTTTAGGCAGCGTTCACACAATTCGTGGGGCGTTTAGCGCGCAACTAAAATAAAATGCATTAATTACAAGCTTTTTGTAGCCTCACAAAAGTCGCAATTTGCTGACGCGATCCCTGAATATTATATATATGTGTGTATGTATGTTTGTTTGTCTGTGGGTGCCTCATAAATTGTTTAAATATTTAACAATTGGCTGCAAATGCCAGGCACACAAAACAACAACAACAACAACCACACATTGCGTTTATGGCAGATGGAAAGAAAAATAAAACAAAACAAACCGACATTCCCAGAAATATTGTTGTTGTTGTTGTTAGGTTTGATAAGATAATATTCAAGTAGAATCGTTTGGAAATACCCCCAACCAGATGGTGCGTATACGCCTAGTATGCGTCAAATATCCACCGGATACGGCCAAGGGCCTTTTGATACCTAGTGGGTGGCTGGATATTGTGGGAATTACCTCGTATTGTAGGCCTCGAAATATTTTACAAACATTTCACTTGAACTTCTGCTCCTCGCAGGTACCTGAATGAAAAAGGCCTGTTCGTTGCCTAAGTCTTTTGTTTGCCTGCGTGCCTGCCTATCTGGCTTGCTGCCTGCCTGCATTTGCCGTTTCTACTGTTTGCTTTGAACTTTATTTAACGCAAAAAAATATATCAAAACAAAAATCGTGCATATTATTTTTATCATTTTGCCGCTGGCAGACAAACCGTCGTCAGCGTTGCCGTCGCTGCCGCCATCGCTATCGTGCCACGCATTTCATTTAGATTTATTTTTATGTATTTCATTTCTCTTTTGCTTTCGGTTTGGCTGGCTTGGACCTTTTATAGCCGCAGGGTTCAATGCCAAAAATTCAAATGCGGCTCGCACATTGTTGCTGCTGTTTTTTTACATACATATGTGTATACTCTACAACTACAAAGGGTTAAAATGTTCACAAAAGAGAGTGGCAGCCATCTTACCCCTTAACAATTCAATTTATGTGGAGGAATGGTTTTGAAACTTGATATCTCATTTAAAACGCATTAATTCTTCCCTTATCTTTAATATGAAAACATTTTAAATTAACACAATGAAAAAATACATCTTTTGGGCATATTTCAAACAAAACTAAAACGCGTAGACATCACAAAGCTCTGTCTGTCTGAAATTAATTCCAAATTAAGAGAGAGGGAGCAATAATGAAAAGTATTCACACAATATTGCTCATTATTCAAAGATTCTTTCAAAGAATTTAAGAAATAGTTAAATATTAAACCTCAAATGATTTGATGAATATTCAGTGATTGGCAAAGCGCGTTAAGGGTATCCTTTAGTCGCATTCCCTCCACTCTTACTGCTGAGCGTGTTTTAAATTTATTGAACGCTTCATTTTTGGCATGCGACCTGCACGAGCCTTTTCAGCATTTTGGCTTAGTACTGACCCTTGGGAAAAAATCAAATCCAAATTGTGAACTTTAAGGAACGTCTTCAGCTTTTAGAGGCAGTAGATCCGTACTTTTGTGGAAATCTCTGAAATATAATCAAGTTACCACAGTTCCAGGCCGTTGACTAATAGGAAGAAACATTTTCATACTTTGGTAGAGAGAGAAATTGCCCGACTTTAGGGATAATCTCTTAAATATTATCTAGTTCTGTCTTAAGGAGAGAATCGTTGGCAAATAATTTTATAACGCCTTAGTAGAATTATATATTTTTTGGAAAATAAGAACGGTGCTTATATTTATTGAATCGCAATTGCTAATCAATTGTTTAGTCTTTCTACTAAACTAAACACTTTTGAAACCGAAAATTGTAATAATTGCGGGAATATGATTTCACTTCTCTTTGAAATTTCACATACTGCTGTCGAAATCAACGCGAATCTCCCGAACAGCTGCAGTTTTTTAAACAATTGCCGATCATCTTTGGTTTCAGAATTCACAATCTAGTGTTTATAGTCGAAGTAATTCGCAAAAAGGAAGATCAGTTGCTTTGAGCTGTGTACTCAGCTTGTTGGCTTCAACATTGGAATTTTTGTGGCATGCGACGGACAAATGTGTGTGTTTGTGGGTCCTGCAAATGATTTCATCTCTTGAGTTGATGCTCATGTGGGCCTTAATTGTTTTATTTGAGTGCCATTGTGTGAGGAGGCACTTGGCTGGCAGCCAGCCACACAGCAGCGATGTGCCGAGCTCTAAAGTGTTTATGCTGCCAGTTTCTTCCCTGTGCTTTGTTATGGTGTCATACCACGCCACATTCTTCACTTTTATGTGCCTCTCAATTGTGTCTGAGTGCCTGAATATCGGAATATCTGAGTGTATAGTATGAATGTTGTTCTACTTTTGTGCCTATCGCTCGAACTCGAACTCACATCGCGCTTAGACAGCCTAAATGGGTATTTGTTTTAACAATTTGTCAAATGCGTCATTGCCGTTTGTGTGTAAATATTTAATGCACAAATATAACAAAACAGAAACAGAAACAAAAACAACAACAGCAACTCTGAACTAAAAAAAAACTGGAAATTTTCGCTGTTATTCAATGACTAGTCCAAGTCTATTGAACGAACCTACCCCAGCAAATCGTTCTCCATGTATTACACAGTCTGTAACTAATCTATCGACTCGGTTTGCTTTGGACACTTGTCGCTATTGTTGTTGTTGACAGACATTATGTAAATGATAAGAGACGCATAACTGTTGACTCCAAATGTATTTATTCCCCTTCGAGTACTTCACACCAACGCCACAGCAAAACAAACGCCAAAAATAATAATAAAGTTAACAAAAATAAAAAAGGCATAAAATGTACGAACCGCAAAGTTTGTCTTTGAGATTTTGCTTTGAGACCGACAAAGAGTAATGTCTTCTTTATGGGCCCATGTATTGACAATAAATTAGCATAACATTTGTCGATAAACGACTTTGATCGATCTTGTGAATAATTAGCACTGTCCATGTACCCATAAAGCCAGCAAACTGAACAATAAAGCAGAACTTATGATACAGATATGACTTATAATGGGAATTGATTTAAAAACAAAAAAGTGGTAAAAGAAAACTCAAAACTACTTTAAAGAAAACTATTATTATTTGTTGTAAATATATTTTAATATTCAGAGCTTTTCCATTGCACCCAAATTGCATTCATTAGGCTGGATAAATTTTGTTCTAAACTAGACTCTTTTGAAACATTTCCAAGAAAATCTGTGACTTGCATTCCATTTCTGGCCTTCAGTTATCCAATGAATTATTAATTAAAATTAAATATTCCTTTTCCATTTACGTATTTCTATGGAAATGTTTTCTTAGGTTTTGATGTTAAGTCTATTAAAGTCTCTGACAACTATAAATTGAGGCCGAATGGGAAATGAAAACCCCACATTAGGAAAAGATTATGCGTTGTTATTGTAACTTTGTGTAAAAAAGCAATTAATTTCCAGTATATCGCTAATCCATTCGGAACGATGTGCCAAGCCCATCAGCTCTTAATACGACAACAGCCACTGTCTTGTTTTATTCACATTCTACAGCCGAATCGAAATATTCCAAGCTCTACTGTCGCTATCTACTGAGATGTGAGATGTTTTAAAAATACTAGCTTTTAATTCATATAATATTATGGATGTTGGTCTCTACAGCATTAACACAAATCCAGAAAGCATTCTTTATTATGTTACCACTTATTTTACACACATGCATCAACTGATGGAGCAAAAGAGTTAAGACAACCATTGAGTGTGCAGTTCAAAGCGCATCACGTTTCAAGATCGAGGTGAATTCTTCAATGCATTTCATGGCTTGTCACGTTTAGACCGCACTTGGCATGTTCTGGCTTTCTTTCTGGAGGTGTTGGTGGTGTAGTTGGTGGCCGGGGAGGGAGTTATTTAAATGTCATGACATTTACATTTGGCTAATGTCAGATTTTAACTTTTTGCGGTCATCATCTATCCACGATGGCCGCCACTCACTTTTTAATTTTTGCTCTAGCATACAAAAAATGAACAAAAAAAAAAGAAACAAATCATTTGGTATTCTAATTAAAGAAGCAACGCCAAGCAGCCAAGCTAACAACATTAACAACAATAACAATAAGCACAGCAACAAAAATAAAAACTACGTGGCTGACCTGTTTGGTTTGGTGGTGGCGGAGGTTGTGATGGTTGATGTGGTTGTGTTTGTGTTTGTGGTTGGTGCTCGATCGTTGGCTTGTTTAATATAATAAAATTGTTAGATCATAAAAATAAAAACTGAAAGATCCAATTCAGATACACACAGACACACATGCATGCCAAATGATAATGATGCTGAATGAGCGGCCAACCAGTTCCGAGCGGTTCCGTTGTTAATTGTCAGTCCGTCACTCTGTCCGTCCGGCCTTTTTTTTATGGATTTGCATATTTTACAACAATTTGTTTGCTCGCTGCTCAATCTGCAATTAAAAGAACCTGTGCTGATTTCCAGCCGTAAACCGCAACCGCAATCACAGCCGCAACCACACCCACAAAGCAAAACTTTCGAGCAATGTAAATGAGGGGGCAATACCTGGTTCAAGCGCACCGAACAGTTAGGTACATGTTTATAGAGCAAAACTAGTTTGGGGCTTTAAAACGTGGTCGTTAGAAATGCACAAATATATATAGATATGTATTTATATTAATCTGAAATGAAAAACACCTTTCATCCTTGACATTAACACAACAACACAGAACAATTAAGCCCTTGGTTTATTCCTATCTTATCACCACAAATGCAGAAATCAAACAAATGTTTGTAGAGTTATCCTCCATTTAGGATTATAACTTATCATTTATTATGATTACTTTTTTTAACACATTAACACAATTCGGCGATATCTTATTCATCCAACAATGTTCGAACATCGTTCTATTGCTTGGATACAAATAATAGCTTAAGGCCTTTCTGCTATAGCTACTGAAATATATGTGGTTGGATTTTATTTCTCATTGTTAATCAATAAATAAATCTATATTGGTACTTACAGAGCCCAAGACCTTGGTGACCGTCGGCCAATCATCGGCCATTGATGAAACCGAGAATCTAGACGAAATCAATTTGAACGCCTCCAACGACGAAGAGCTCGTTGCCGACAGCAATGCCAATCCTTTGCTAGACCAGATTCCTTCAAACGATTCGTTGCTCAGTCAGGCAGCCTCTTCGTTTACCGCGCTCCCAGCCGTAGCCTCCAACGTTTTCTCAACATTCTCCAAACGCATCTACTCGGGCAGCAGCAGTCGTGAGCGTACGCCGCTTTCGGAAACGGATGACAGCTCTCTACAGCCACAGCTGGAAATCCAACCGCATTACCTACAACAGGCTAATTATAATCAGCAATTGACTGACGGCTCAGCGCCCGCGTTCTACGCGCCACCACCGCCAGCATCGGAGGCTTTGGCGCCGCCCAAATTCTATACGCCCGCAGAACTGCCTGCACTTCCAACGCCTAGCGCCGTACCGCCACCCTCTGTAGGAGGTCAAAATACATATCGTTTTACGGCAAAGAAAAAGTTATACGCGCCAATACCGGGTCTCTCTGAGCAGAAGGCATCGGTCCAGGTTCAACAACAGCCATTACCAATACAGACGCCTTCGTATCCGCAGCCGCATCAACTGCTAGGCGAAACCACTGCAGTTGCTTTCCAGGATCCAAAGCCAGCAGAGGAGCGCAAGCCAGGAGGCGGCCTTTTCTCGCTAACTAGCCTCGTGCCGACGGGTGTTTTGCAGAACATCTCCGGTCTAGTGCAATCGGCCACTGGTAGTTTTGTTCAGCAGCCCCCCAAAAGTAACGAGATCAACTATATTGCCCCTGATCCCACAGCTGTAAGCTACTTAACGCCAGCCACAGCGGCATCTACTGAAACTACAGTGCCGACGTTCTTTACGCCATCGTCGGTTGTGACTGGAAACTACTTCGTGCCCGAAGCAGTACCCCCTCCAGCACCTACGACTCAGACGACAACAAGTGCCCCGCCACCGTCTATAGGTGGTTTCTTTGCACCAACTCCTGCATCACTCTTCGGAGAAAAGGAGCCGGCGACAGCCACTGCAGAGCCACCAGCTGTTGCTGGCCTGTTTCCTGGAAACTCTGTTGCACCAATACCGACCATACCGACGAATATAGTTTCTCCAATAGCATTACCTGCAGCCGTAGAACCTCCACCAACATTAAGTGCGGCTCAGCCACCACCACCAGCCGCAGGACCGTCGTCATACCGTTTGCAAAAAGGAACACGACTGTACAAAAGTCCGTTAACAAGCCAAGAGGTTACGCCTGCCACATTCACTCCTTTTCAGACCTTTGCACCTCAGTCGTTTCCACCGGCGGCTCCCTCTACTTTATTCAATCCTTTTGAACCCCCCAAACCGGACTTAACAGCATCGGAGCTTAGAAGAACCACCCCAGCTCCGCCCGTAACAACAACAAGCCAACAAACAGAGGCGCTGACCGCAGCTCCACTGCCTTCAAGCGCATCTTTTGCACCTCAGCCGTTTCCAACTGCGGCTGCCTCTACCTTATTCAATCCTTTTGAACAAGCAAAATCTGACATAACTGGATCTGATTCTGGGACTATCGTACCTGCTCCGTTTGTGGTACCAAACCAACAAACCGAGGGAATCCACGCAGCTCAACTACTTCAACCGCTTCCACCAGCGGCTTCCTCCACTGTATTTAATTCTTTTGAACCAGCAAAATCCGATATAACAGGATCTGAGTCTAATACAGCCGGTCTAGCTCCGCCTACGCCATTTGAAACAGAACTAAACCAACAAACTCTACGGCCTTCAATCTCTTTAAGCGGGCCTTTACCAGCGCCTCTTTTTGATCCAGCAACATCAACGTCATCTGCAGATCCGGAGGATAACGTTTCTGCGTTTGTTTCATCTGCAATTTCCCAATCCGACAAAGAAGTTTCGTTCATATCAGAAGCTGCGACTATCCCTGGAATTGCTGCACCACCATCACTACCGTCAACAGCTTTCGGAGGTTCAGTTCAAGAAGTTCCATTATTTGCTTCACCAACAACATCATTACCAAGTCAGCCAAGTGGAGTTTTAGGCGTACCTCTCTTCTATCCACCATCTACTTCAGCATCTATAGCCGAGTCTAAAGAGGAAGCTCCGCCATTTTCTCCGACAGCCCCTGCCCTCGGCCTATTAGAAACAGCAAATTCGATCAACGAGCCACTTGAAGGAACGGATCAAGTCTCTTCAAGAGCTGAGGTAGCAACAAACGACGAACCTGCAGCAGCATTATTCAACGCAGCACCACCAGAAAAGAGCACAACCTCTAAGGTCTCTCTAACAACTCAAACAACAACTACATTCTTCAATCCTTTTGTGAAGCCATCGCCACTGGAAACATCCGAAGTAAAGCCGGAATATACAGGCGGATTTATAGGATTCGTGGCACCAGACGCACAACTACAGTCACAACAATCGAGCGACACCTCGCCGCTTAAAGCACAGACCATCGAGCCAGTTATACCCGAAGCAGTACAGCCTCCACCAGTGGGACCACCTCCCAGGCAAAGCGACTCAGCACGGTCTCAAGCTAACCCATTCCGCAGAGGCAGCGAGACAATCCCTCCCAATCTAGCTACTGCTGCAACAGTTCAACCTTCGGCGCTTCTGAACTTCTTCACTCCAGCACCGAGTGACGGTAACTCAGCCAACGACTTCAACTTTTTCGCATCACCACAGCAAGCAGACCAAGGAGACAAGACTGAGCCAGCAGCCAACAATTTCTTTCCCGAGCTACCGCCTCCCATTTTACCGAAGGAGCCACCACAAGCAGCTGCGTGTGAGGCAACTATTGCCGCAATCGCACCGCCGCCAATTGGCTTCGATCAACTGCTGACTCAGCAAACTGAGCAAGCTCAGAACACGCCCGAAATTGGATTAGAAAATTCAAATTTAAACTCTTTCTCCGGCTATTTTGGGGGCCCGGGCCAGGTGCTGCCCCAAATACAGCAGCCGCAACCATTCCAAGCTGCGGACTCAGCCACGTTCTTTGACAACCTAGAAGTTCCAGATAAAGGACCAGTAGGTCAACCCCAAGGGGATATCAACCCAGGCGGCCCCAACGAGGATCAACGCATACAAAACTTTTTCAACAATCCACCGTTGCAGGAGCAACCCGCAGGACCAGGCGATCTGAAGTACGACATTGTGCACAGTGGCTTGGGAGTGAAAAATCTGGAAGCCCGTTCACAAACACCTATTTCGAATCTGGTGGAGCCGCCTTCATCGGCCTGCTCCGAATTTTCCGAGCTGAGTGGAACGCCACAGCGCCAGCCACCACAGCAACCAATAATTCAACAGCAGGAAGTAACTCCTTCTACACAGGTAACTTCCACCTCTGCAGATCTGTTGCAACAACACTACGCCGAGTTGCCGGAGGAGATCCTCAAGGAACTAAGAATGGCGAAGAACGAGAAGGGTCAGGCGACACCACCAATTAATATTGTAAGAGCAATTCAAATCCTTGTCTATATCATATATGTGATTTGAATCATTATAATATATATTTTACAGACTTACACGCCCGTGGTTCGTCATTGGTTCTACAAGAGAAGTGTAGGCACCAAATTCATTTGGACCCCATTCAGCCATTATGATTCGGCATTGTTGGAAACTAGTCTGAATAGCGGTAGGTGCTTCTCATTGGCTAAGCTATAGCAAGAATTAAGTTTTTCTTTTTGCCACACAGACGACTCTACCATTATAGTGGCTGTTGAGGGTGGACGCTATGATGTGAACATCAAGGAACGCACCAAGACGCCCGTTTACTGGGATGGCAAGGCCATCGAGGTGCGTCGCTGCTCATGGTTCTACAAGGGTGTCGACTCCAAATATGTGCCCTATGAAGAGGCCACCGCCCAGCTGCTGGAAACAGAATACAAGCGTGCCGCAGAGACTGGGGAATGGCATCAGAAGATCATCCTCTCGGCCGGCGAGCAGGTTGTTTTCCACGGACCCACAGTCATCGTACACTTCCATCCACAGCAGAACGCTGATACCTGGGGCGGCAGCACACAAAGTACGATGCGACCACGCGTCGTTAAAAGAGATCTGGATGATTTTGTCATCGAGCAGGGCGAGTCACAACGCGTCGATCATTTGCTGTTCATGGTGCATGGCATCGGATCAGCTTGCGATCTAAAAATGCGCACAGTCGAGGAAGTGGGTAAGTAAAAATTTAAAAAGCTATTGCCTTAAAATCAAAGCCTAATGCCAAAATATATCTGGTGCAGTGGACGATTTCCGTAACATTGCGCAACAATTGGTGCAGTCACACTACAAGAACTCCACCGATATGGGGTTGGTGGGACGTGTGGAGGTGCTGCCCATCTCCTGGCACGGTCATCTGCATTCTGAGGAGCTGGGCATCGATGAGAAACTCAAATCCATCACCCTAGAGTCCATTCCTAGGCTACGAAACTTCACCAACGACACGCTGCTTGATGTTCTTTTCTACACCAGTCCCACATACTGTCAGAAGATCATGAACACGGTGGCCACATCTTTAAATGAAGTGTATATTAAATACCGCGCCCGACATCCCGAATTTAATGGCGGCGTCTCGTTGGCTGGCCACAGTCTGGGCTCCTTGATACTCTTTGATTTGTTGTGTCATCAAGAGCCGCTTAAAGAGAGTGAGGAGGAAAATATGGTAAGAAATGGTGTGATACCTTGTCTTGTTTCTGATGATATGCTAACACTGCTGTACATCTAGGAGAATCCTGATCAGCTGCCTGTGAAAGGTAGTGCCTACAACCAGGTGCAGCTGCCTGCTCACCCCAACGATATGCTCTCCAAACAGGTCAGCTATGCCATGGGACCTGCCGGTACTGGTCAGCCTGTTATTAACTATACGCAGCTTATATTTCATCCGAAAAAATTCTTTGCCTTGGGCTCTCCCATTGGCATGTTTGTTACCATACGAGGCATTGATAAGCTGGGTCTAGACTTCCGCCTACCCACCTGTCCGGGTTTCTATAACATATTCCATCCGTTTGATCCGGTGGCCTATCGCATTGAGGCGCTAGTCAATCCAGATATGAATGGCATACGACCCGTACTCATACCACATCACAAGGGACGCAAACGCATGCATTTGGAGCTGAAGGAGACGATGTCGCGGGTGGGCGCTGACATAAAGCAAAGATTTATGGACACATTCAAGACCACATTAGACAGCGTGAACTTCCTAGCCACCGTCACAAAGGCAAAGAAAGAGGCCGAAGAGACGCTCGAAAAGGAAATAAGTCCGGTGGGTTTAGCATAGACAATTAACTGCTATAACTTTTTTAATGAAATGGCAAATTTCCAAATTATTAGATCTTTCAAAAACAAATCGAGGATCGTGAAGATTCCTCCGTTGCTACAACTTCAACGCAAGCACGCAATCGCACCGATTCCAATTCGACAACGGCCTCAGATCCCGAGTTTATCGAACTAGACTTCCCGCTTGGCAAACTGAACGATTCGAAACGCGTGGATTATGTGTTGCAGGAGGCGCCCCTGGAGTTTATAAATGAATATATTTTCGCTTTGAGCAGTCACGTCTGCTATTGGTGAGTACTATAATAAAATGTAATACTATGTACAATAAAATGCTCTTTGTTAATATTAAACCTTTGATTTGCAGGGAATCTGATGACACCATTCTGTTTGTTATGAAGGAAATTTACGCTGGACTAGGCATTAGCACAGATAGTCAGGTGCCACAGCAGTCAATGACCATTGAAAGGCCCAGCAATAGTGTTAGTCAGTCGCTGATGCCCTTGTGAGTTGATTAATTTGTCGGGCCCCCTCCCCAAAATTCACCTGTTGAACACTATTACATAGAAATATTTAGAAACAATTTATTTAGCTCTGTTATTTACTAGAAAATTCATACAAAGAATTTTTACTATGTGCAACTCTAACTTGGTTAATGGTATTATCAATGTAAGAAGCCGAATTGTCCCTTCTGAGTAATTTCGGAACGCGAAGCGCATTACAAAAATTTATATTTACCAACTGCAAATGGATGTTATGCTACTTTTGTAATTTTGCGTTTGTAATTGACTTTTTTCATATATGTATATGTACACTAACAATAGTATGTATGTTTGTGACAAACTTATATTTAATAAATAAATATTTTAAAATGCACAGCAGTGTTTCGGAAACAAATGAAATAAAACGACTGTGTTTCAAAATATAGCGTTGCCACTGCGATGAAACATCGAACACATCGTATGTCGTCACGAGCACATCGGTGGAAACGTTAATTTGGCTTTTCTCACATCCCCAACGCGTAATTCATTCATTACTTTCTATTTCCGTTTCTATTATTATTTATTATTATTATTGTACACATTAATTATGCATTAATAAAGTGCAAAGGCTATGCGAATGAGTTATTAAGTGTGCAACAAGAGGCAAGAAGTTCAATTTTTGTCGCCTCGAAACATAAATGCGCACAAGTACTGTTGGACGGGGAGTGGGAGTGTGAATGTGTGTGTGTCATCACGAACAAAAAATAATTGCAGTGCCAAAATAATTCAATTCATTTAAAATGCATTGCAAATGCATAAAGACGTGTTGGGACACAGAACCCACACACACACCTAAAATTTAGACGATGTGCTGAACGCCAACGACGAACAAATCATCAAATCCAAGTGAGTAAGCAATGCCAGTACCCTACAACGGAGCACCAGAGCGTTCCACTGGCTGCCTTTGCGAGCGCCAACTACACTTGCTAAACATGACCAAATATGCAAACACATACATATGCATTTATGTATGTACGTATATAGTATATATACGTATGTATGTATGTATGTATATATTGTATGTGTTGTAACTGTGTCACAAAGGCAGCTGCTGCTGCTTCTGCTGCTGTTGGCTATAGCTGGGATGGTGCGCTTATCTTAACATTATGTTTTTTGTTTTTCCAGCTTTTAGATATTTGTACATTTTGATGTATTATTTAAGTAAAGCAGCACTGGAATACTCAGCACAGCAAACAGCGACTAAACCAATACATGTGAACGCATGCCAAATCACTGATACGCATACATTATAGCGCACTTATCAGTCCGTCGTCTTAGTAATTATACAAAAAATATTATTTTAAAATGAGTTGGCTGCGCACCAGTCCATTGCGTCAGAGTCTGACGCGCAGCGGTGGAGGCGGAATACTCACGACGCATTCCTCGTTAGGAGCTGCTGGTAGCACAGGTGGAGGTAGCAGCAGCAGTGGAGCTTTGCGTCAACGTCCCATAGATGCTGCTACGGACTGTGATCCGCGGGCCTGCTATGATAGCTTTTGCAAACACTGGCAACAGGCCTACGAAATAATACAACATGCCGCACCTCCTGAACGACCACCAACGCATGATGATGTGCTCGGCGTGGTGTCGCATTTGGACTATATGGTCACACTGCTGCTGGTGGAGCTACATCATTGCAACAAGGTGTCGCTGCCGGCGACCGACGGCAGTACAGCACCGCCCGCGCCCTGTCTGGAGTTCCTGCTAAGCGAGAATTTGCTAGACAAGCTCTACGAGTGGTCGTGCGCGACCGGCCGCTATGCGAATGCCGTCCGTCTGGAGCAGCTGAAGCTGTACGAGCTGCTCGTCAGTCATTCGCGTCATCAACTGCTGTGTCACGAGCCCTTTCTGCGGCCACTGCTCAAAATACTGGCCTCTAGCCAGGGGGAAATCTTTCCGCCCGACCTGGAAAAACGATTGGTGATATTGCTGAATCAGCTGTGTGTGGTTCTCATGCAGAACGTCCACCTGCTGGATCTCTTCTTCTTCTCGGCGCAAACACAGGTGCAGGAGCAGATACAAAATGGCAGCGTGCCGCAACCAAAAAGCGGCACCACAACCAAGTAAGTGACGAATATATCTTGAATTATGTGTACTTATATAGCTCTTCTTCCTTGTCAGCTTCATCATCTTCTCGCTGCTCATACCGTATGTGCATCGCGAGGGTAGTCTGGGCCATCAGGCACGCGATGCGCTGCTCCTTTGCATGTCGCTATCGCAGAAGAACTCCAACATAGGCACCTATATCGCACAATACTCGTCTATCTGCCCATTGCTGGTTACGGGCTTGGGCGGCCTCTATTCGCGCCTCCCTAACTCGATTGAGATATCCTCCATCGATTGGCATCGCATCACACCGGACGATGTCACTGATATTCCCGAGCTGACGCTGTTCATGAATGCCTTGGAGTTCTGCAATGCCGTCGTTCAGGTTGCCCACGAAATGATCAAACAACAGCTGCTGGACTTTATGTATCAGGGATTTATAGTGCCTGTGCTGGGACCGGCCATTCTGCAGGTGAGATTGATGTCTGAGATTGAAGCTCACGTAAGAACTTGTCTTCGATGCATTTCTGTGGTGTTGGTTGCAAAGCTCAACGTTGCGTTGTCCTCTTGTATTTTGTATTTATTTATGTACTCTACTTATGTGTTAATCTTACGTTTCTGTTCTATTCCGGAGTTGTGTCGAACTAGTTCAATAATGATTTCATTATCTGGGTATTAACGGCAGCTTAGTAAAGTTACAGTCGTGCGTGTTGAACTCTTTTATATAATGAGGCTATATATGATTTGTAATAAACTTGCTATACGTATAGATAAGACAAACCTACATGTCAGGTTTGAAGTCCCTAGCTTTTACGGTTTAAAAGGTATCGAGGTTCATACAGACAGGCGAGCGGGTCTGCAACATTTATTCGGCATGTTACACACATTTTGGCCCCATATAACAATATATACGTACACATTTATTTTGGAACGTACTGAACTAGAGCGCACAACTCTTGCTTTTTCTCTCTGTGTATGCTTTTGCCTTTTGCTGGAATAACCGCACACGCCTCGAAATCTCGAAACAATTTTTTACGTTCCATTTCACAGACACCACTGAAGGGTAAACATTTCCAGACCAATATCGATTCGCAAATCTCGGCCATGTCCTATCTGGATCTGATACTGCGCTCCATTACCGAGCCGGGTCTACTGCGTGCCTTTGTCAAATTCCTGTTGGACACTGAAAAGTTCGATGGAGAGCGTATTCTAGATGCGCTCGTGGAGCGTCTTAATTCGGCGGATGCCAATCTATGTATGGTTACAATGGCGCTCTTCGATACGCTTCTGGGTATGCACTGCGAGGATCTAATGCTGGAGCTAATGCTTAAATATATGCTGCCTGGAAAACATGTGCCCATCTCGCATCGTCACAAGATCAACAAAATAAATCCGTACCAGAACAGTGCTGAATTCTTTCTAGAGCTGACGCCAGATGTGATGAAGCGAGCGCGGGATTTGGCGCGACTCAAAAGCTCCGATGGAACGGAGTTGGAAACCGCTACAATAGCGCCCATGAGCAAAACGATAGGCGCCAATTGGAACTATTATGGCCTCCACACTGCCGACAGTCTGTATGCCAACGTACATGCGTACCTATTCGAAGCCCATTGGCGCATAGCGCAGTGCCAAAGGGATTGCAGGAATTGGGCGAATAGCTATCGGTATCAGAAATGCCCGCGCAACGGACAGCGCGGCAATCCACATGCGCTGGAACTGGCGAAGCAGTTCTTTAATGAGTTCGGACATGGCTTGACGCCTGCTCCAGCTACTACCTTGCTTTCTGCGAGCGATGCGGGTGAGAAGCAGCTGGACAGTCTGCAGTCCATCGGCGAATCAAGTGGCTACGAGTCGTTTAAATGGCGGCCTGCGGACGAAGATGCCGACCCTGGCGAGCAAGGTACGACAGCGACGACAACTGAAGCTGAGCTGGACAGCAGTGGTTACACAAATTATCATAGCAATGCGAGCAATGGGCGGCGCGAACCCTGGCGCGTCTCGTCCAGCACGCGCAACGATTTGATATTGACAGATCTGGATTTCTCCGAAGATTTGTTTGCTCAGGGCACCGTAAGCTTAGGTGCGTAAATTAAATATAATTCAATAGATTTAAAGCTAATATCCACATTTTCGCAGGTCCCTTTCTGAACGCTATTTGGAGCAAATTACAGACCTTCACCAGCAACACGCTATACGTCAATCTGCATCTGACTGGACTGATAACGAGGCTCGCCTGGTATCCGCTGCCTTTGATACACTCGCTGCTGCTGCGCGCGGACATTGCAATCACTTCGGACACGCCCTCATTCCATCAGGTGCTGCGAATCCTGAAGCAACAAATTGATGCCGAGCTGCCCGTCACCGAAGACTCCCTGGAGATAATCGATGTGGCCCGCTCCCATCTGATCGATCGCGAATATCGGCTAGTTAATGCGCGCAAAGGCAACGACAGCTCAGCGCTGGTTCATGCTGCAGCGCACCAGCTGCACCCTGCGCATCCCGCCCAGCAGCATTCCTCACAGCCGCGTTCAACATATGCATCGCTATCGGCGGCGACGCCCGTCCAAGCCACCCCCACTAGTGCCTACGATCCGTTCCGACGCAGCGATAGCAAACGACGCAGCATCAGCAAATCCATCACAAGCATGTTTAGCCGCAAAGCGACATCCACAGCCGCGCCCACTGGAATGTCGGGTGAGTCTTCTGACAGCGACTGTTTGAAACACACAGAGAGCTGCACAAATTTTTTTGTTTCTTTAAAAAGAAGCCAGCTAGTGAGAAACACGCGATATCGTCGGCGCTTCGACGTTTCAGCGTTTTTCATTTAGGCTGGAACTATGGAACATGTTGGTTTGGGTGTTAAACATCTACATACACACACACACACACACACACATTAAACACACTCCATTTAAATACACTATCGCATAAAAAGAAAACGCATCAACAGTTAGAGCTGTCAAACTATTAGTTATTTAAATTTGAAGACCATTCATTTACTTTAAAGATGGTTTAACAGCTCTATTAATCATATACATAAGTACTCTTTTTGTAATTGTGTTAAATGTATGCAGGCGTCGTTGCTGATAATAAATTTGATCTCCTTTTTTGTTTATTTATTTATTTATATCGAAACGAACAAATTTTCTACTACGAAAATCTTAGCTTCATCTGGCTTATCACAAATTTACGCATTCTTCACCGGTAAATATTTCACGCTTAAATTAAAAGTTGTATGGTTTATATTATATAGCTAGAGTTGTATCCAGTTAATTATTATAATACGCTAATCCTGTAACTTTGTATATATGCTGCTTCTAATTTTAATCCCACCACCTCTGCCTTTTTATCCACTAAACAAATTCGCCTACTTTTTTATTTCTTGCTGTGCTGTTAATTAGTTATGTTAACCCGTTTATAGAAGAAACTCTGAATGATTCTGTACTTAAAAACCATTTTATATTACACGCCAACTTACAGGCGCCGCCTCCTCGCTAGTGGGCGGAAACAACAGCAACTCGGACAACAGTGCGCGAGCACAGCAATTATTGACTGGCGGCGAGACATGTGAGACGAGTTTGACAACAACACTACCACAAGGCAACATACAGCGCACAGCTTCCTCGACTTCGCAAGCGAACTCCATGGGCGGTTCTACACAAACACTGTCCACGCACTCCAACCAAACTACGAGCACATTGCATGCGAACGATGGATTGAACAGCACGGCCAGCTTTAACTCTGAACCAGTTTCCTTGGATTCGGTGGCGTCGATGGGCATTATAGCGAATACAAGCGGCACGGAGCGCACACGTGATTTGGCACTGTGTGCCATACTCTTGGACGAGTGGCTTAAGGAATTGGCTGCAATAGCGCAGGAGCAGAGCGTGGTGCTGGTCACGGATGCCTTGCCTTGACAATGCCAATAATAATAACAATGTTTTCGGAATATTGCTGCTGAATTTGGATGTGCAAATTTATTTGACCAGTTAATTTTAAAAATTTTATTTGATGTTAAAATATTCTTATTATGTGAATGCATGCTTCTATGTATGTACATATGTATGTATCTATATTTTTTATGAACAATGCTAAATTTGAACAGATTAAACATAGATAATTCCCTCACGACACGTTCTCAAACAAACAGTTATCAGTAGAGTTAAGCTTAAAGTTTTAATGAAATGATAAAATATGGTAGCAGGTTATTACTTAGTGTTCAAATGTAAAAATTAATCTTAATAACGAGCAATATGCAGAGAAACCTTGATAGAGAATTGTATACATATGTCTATTTTTGCAATATATACATAGGATTGTGAACATTTTAAACAAACTTACAAGTATTAAATTGGTCCAATTGATTAAATGCACAAAAATCCAACGTTTTGTTAAATAATTTCGTTTTGTCTTTCTTTTTTGAACAGAATTAATTGGAAATCGATAAAACACAAAAATGTGAATTTATCGGTATTGTTATGTGTCACGGACTGTTACTTTCAAATATTTCATAACAGTTCGTAGCAATTAGAGGTGACTCGCGAATAGTACGTAACAAAATCACGCAACGTTTACTTTGCACATCTCTACTGGCCGTGTAATTGTGATAACATTGTGAAATATATAAGTACTCGAAAAAAGGCTCAGTAAAGACAGGAAATTATTTCAAATTAACAGAATGCAGAAAATCTTTGGCCGATTGCAGTCACGCGTGCTGCGTTCGAGCACCAATGGCGCGGCTTTCATAATACGCCAGGAATCTTCCTCGGCTACGCCGGCCCCTAAATTCGCCGCCACATCAAAAGGTATGTATATAAGCTAATCTAATTGGTGAATTGTTTTAGAATTTGAGATTTCTTTTGCAGAATTTCGTGCGCGGCAGGTACGCTTTAACATTAAAAACGATCACATGCAAGGGCGACCTCTGTATCTTGATGCGCAGGCCACAACACCCATGGATCCGCGCGTGCTGGATGCCATGATGCCCTTCTTAACCAACTTATTTGGAAATCCACATTCACGCACCCACGCTTACGGCTGGGAAACAGAGCAAGCCGTAGAAAAGGGACGTGAGCAAATAGCACAGTTGATTGGAGCCGATCCAAAAGAGATTATCTTCACTTCCGGCGCCACAGAGTCAAACAACATAGCCGTGAAGGGTGTAGCACGATTCTATGGTACGAAGAAGAAGCATGTGATTACAACGCAAACGGAACACAAGTGTGTGCTTGACTCATGCCGTGCCCTAGAGAACGAGGGCTATAAAGTGACATATTTGCCAGTGCAGGAGAATGGAATTGTTGATCTGAAGCAGCTGGAGGCGACTATAACGCCCGAGACTTCCCTGGTGTCCATCATGACAGTTAATAATGAGATTGGTGTGAAGCAGCCAGTTAAAGAGATTGGTGAGCTTTGCCGTGCACGCAAGGTATTTTTTCACACGGATGCTGCTCAGGCGGTGGGCAAAATACCGGTCGACGTCAACGCCATGAACATTGATTTGATGTCTATATCGGGCCACAAGATCTACGGACCCAAAGGCGTAGGCGCATTGTATGTGCGTCGACGGCCACGTGTTCGGCTCGAGCCTATCCAGAGTGGTGGCGGTCAAGAGCGTGGCTTGCGTAGCGGCACGGTCCCCGCTCCCTTGGCTGTTGGCATTGGAGCTGCGGCAGAGCTTGCCCGTCAAGAGATGGATTACGATAAGAAATGGGTGGACTTCCTATCTAACCGTTTGCTGAAGAGAATAACGAGTGCCTTACCACATGTCATACGAAACGGCGATCCAGAGCAGACCTACAGCGGCTGCTTGAATTTATCCTTTGCCTATGTAGAAGGCGAATCGCTGCTGATGGCACTGAAGGATGTGGCGCTCAGCAGCGGCTCAGCTTGCACGTCGGCATCGCTGGAACCATCCTATGTGCTGCGCGCTATTGGCACCGATGAGGACTTGGCACACAGCTCCATACGCTTCGGCATTGGACGTTTTACAACAGTTGAAGAAGTGGATTACACGGCAGACAAGTGCATCAAGCATGTGGAACGCCTGCGTGAGATGTCGCCGCTTTGGGAAATGGTGCAGGAGGGTATTGACATTAAGACCATACAGTGGTCGCAGCACTAGAAGTGCTCGTTCGCTCTTGCTGTGTGTTTATTTAAGCTTTCTAGAAGTGCATCAATAATAAATAAGTATTGCGTAGTGCATTGAAAAACGTTATTTACATATGTATGTATTTTATTTTATTTTGTACACAAAAACCGCTTACAAATTAACGCTTGGTGTCAAGTCGAATGTGTGAGTAAAAGGCAAAAGAAAATAGATACAGCGAGCCACGAATGGCGAACGGGGGTACAAAGGGCGCACACAAACAAATGTAATTTACATAATGAGCAGCTTGATTATGAAAACCATGTCGCAACCCGTCAGCTTTGCTGTTCACTGGTCGAAGTTCACCAATTGGTGATCAGTGCGCTTTCTTTTTTGGTGCCCCGCTTCCACCTCCTCCCAAGATCTTGCGGCGTTGGGCAAACATGTGCAAATACAGCTGCGGAAAGATGGGAATGTAGCCCAGCATGACGATCCACAGGAGCGCGAAATAGGAAAAGGTGGCATTCCATTTGTTGGGCATCACCACCGACCAAACACTGTGCTCCTTGGCATAGTTCTGGGCCCACCAGAAGCATAGCAGCTCGCCGGTCACGCCAATGGGGTAGAGAGCAATGAATGTGGTGTAGCGCAGGAACACAACCAAGTGGGGTACTACTTTAATAATATTTAGAGCATAGTATCCATAACGAATAATCTCTGTAACAGCCCAGGCGAAGAGCGCAATGGGCAGGCCGGGCGATACCTTGCCAGTTGGTGTAGCCATCACAACGCCAACCACAACCATCATGCGACTAAACACCTGAAAGGTCGTGACCACCGGATTTGATTTGACGAGCCCGAAAGCGGCATTAAGTATCTCCACAAACGCCGCATTCTGGAAGATAATAACAGCTACGCGCGTGTAATCCCAAAGCGTCACCTGCGCTCGGAACTGGGGGCCTTGCAGCACATAATAGTTGAGTAGCTGATAGAGAATGTAGCTCCACCCACCAACCTGTATTGCATTGTAAGCAAACAGGTAGATTTTTGCGAGCGACGATGGCTCCTTGTTCGATTTGGCTGCTACTTTTGCTGACATTTTTGCGACAAACAACGCGCGCGTGCGATCCGTTTGCGTTTGTACTTTCACCTTTTGGTTTAAGTTAGTTATACTGATTAACTAATCGCACGACGCTCACTTCGCTGCCAACACTAACGATCCGCGCTTTCACCTTCTTATTGTAATTGATTTGAATCGACCATCGATATACAATTGCTATTGATATACACACAGTGCGACCGTATTATTTTTCTATCGACACCAGTGTGATATCGTTTTCAACCAGTTGGAACTGCGACGTGGAGTGGATGTTGCTTAGGACAATCGGAATATTAATTAAAGAAATCTTAAATCTATTAAGCGTGAAAGCACATCTAGTTTTAAACAATAAAAAATGTTTAAGCCGACATACATATGTTTTAACGAAATTATATCTTAAACATTAATCATGAAAACCCTTAATAAGTACTGATAAGTCCTGAAATCCGTAAAGTCCGTAAATTTCCATCCGTAATATAGTAGTATCAAACACAGTACGATACAAAAACCTTGCCATTTAACAGCTACTAAAGTTATTACAAGTTTTTAAGCAAGATCACCGTAGGGTCACAGCTGCATCAAGTGTTTTCTGGCAACGCTAACGTTTAGTTAGTTTAAATTTAAACATCTCTTATCTTATTTTAACTAATTAAAATCAATATTTAAACATATAGCGTAATCTTGATTTATTATCGCAATTATAATATTAATTTCTTTGCCAGGCCGACAAATGCAATTAAAACCCTAACTGTTAGACTTTTGTGTAGAAACATTTAAATGTTTTTATTTCATAAAGTCAAAAAGTTTTTTTTTATAAAAGTGCTCTTCAACAAAAAAAAAACTATTTTCCAAAGAGGGAAAATTAATTGGAACGGCACCGTCATAGCCACTCTTTGGGTATGCTCATTTTGTGGAAGGGTAGGATTCTCCTTTGCTTATTCATATGTATATTTATCAATTTCAAGAACCAACCCATGCCAACCCATGTTATTCAATGATCAAAATAACGTACTAGAGCAGCTACAATAATTTAATTCGAAGAGCTAGTTCAATAGCTCCTTATGAAGACCCGGTTGTTCGAACTAGCTCGGTCCGGACTGTTCCAACTCACGCTAACGATTGTGTTGTGGGGTACAAAATTTCCCCACCATCACATATTGCGCTATTCAGCGATGGCTACAACCGTATATACATACATTTTCTAAATCTACACAATATGTAGTTGCTGTCGTTCGTTTGAAATGTAAGTCGTGTTTCCTGACAGCTCTTTAAGTTCGTGCAATGCATTGAATATAATTCTGTTATCAACACGTGCTCTCCGCCCACACAACACAAGATATAACGGCCTACAACCACGCCTACTTTACAAATTAATTTGCTGCCGCAGTTGCATTTAAAGCAAATTACTAACTCCCCTAAAAATCGAAAAGGCAAACACGACTCGCTACGCCACGCCAGAATCTAGGGGAGGAACAACGTAGATGGCCGCCAAAGTAACAGCAGCCAGTCAGGCAGGGCCAAGGCAGATAGATATACGGTTCTCTTCTCCAGCTGTTATCAGATGGCATTGCAATGGACAGTTGGCGTTACCGCCTTATCAACACAATTGTTATCGGTGGGTCGTTTGACGGGCGGAGCGGCAATTTGTTTTACCGTTTTTGGACTAGGTTTGGATTGGACCAGGGAAAAACATAGACCCCGCCAAAAGAGTTTCGCTTCCCTCTTTTTCACCAGGCGCCCAGTAAATTCAGGCAGGCGCTGACACAACAAAATCAGCACTGGTGGAGAAACGATGCACATTGCTGAGAAGGTGCGGCCACAATGTGTGTGCGAGCGAGACAGATGGTGTGCCAATAGCCAGGGGTTTGACGAGACTGCTCTTTTGCTGCTGCTGCCGAATAGATACCTGCATACAAACATACATATATATATGTATGTAGAAATGTGTGCACACACAAAGAAACATGGGCGTAGCGAAGGGATGCAGTTTCCCCCTACTACATAAATTTTGTATAACCTATTGGTTTGATTGTTATTGTTATTTGCTGGTGTTACAGTTTTCAAATACAATTGTTCTCACTTTTGTAGTTAACTTTAAATCGTTCTTATTCTGATGTGATGAGAACTCTTTTACATTATCAATGCGTAACCACTAAGCCATTCCACTTGAGCCCCCTTAAAAGAAATCTTTTCTACGCCTATGCGCCTACATGAGCGCGCATTTGTTTAAATGCTTTATTAAATTGCGACTACCGGAAGTATTTATTGAATAGGGCGTACAGTCGAGAAGAACGCCCCAGAGGCAGTGGCAATGACAATGACCGGAATTCCCCTTCCCCCAACACCGATTGTGGGTTTGACTTAGCATGGCTGAGCAGTGAAGTCATTTGTTATTTGTCAGTTGCGCACCATAGATGGCGCTTCAACAATTTTAGAATTGGCACACTACGCCGACGTTATTTTAAGTAAAGCCGAGCAAACAGAGTGCGCTCGGCTGAATACGCCCACAAAGGCGCCCGGACATGCCCCAAAGCCCAAAAGTACGAGTAACAGCTGTTGTTGTTTGTAGTGGTGGTGGTGGTGCTGCTGCAACAGAAAACAAGTGGCTGTTGGTTGGTAAAAATGTTGCTGGAAGCGACATGTTTGTTTGAATTTCTAACACAAACACACGCCCCAACATTTTGCGCAAATTTGAGTAGTCATTTTGTTTGCTCACATCACAGGCCAACAGAAACTAACGGAATGCCCGTGACGATTAGATGGCTGGGGCTAGAAAAACAGCAACAACAGCAACGCCAACCCAATGGCGTCACCAACAACCATCGCCATCAACCTCACCGTCAACCATCACAACTAATACTCGCAATAATAATCATCTGGTGGGTTGGCGGCCTGGCGGCGGTGACGGAAACTCGCCGGACATTTTGTTTTGTGCCCGTCATTTTGCTTATTGCAGAAATCGCTGATGGGAAAACAGCAATCCGGTGCAGGCTACGCTTGGGGCGTCGAAACTATAAGCATTATTAGCTTCGCAGGCCCCCCAAACTAGTCAAGAAACAAAGAAAAAAACCAACACCTATTATTGTGGGCGTTCAACACTTTCCCACATGCGTCTTAACAGGCAAACAGCACACGCGAGCTCGCACTGCCGCCGCACCACTAAAAGTTGCCCCAACGGCCAACACCAAAATCAGCAATCGGCACAAAGATAAAAGCCCCAACCAACTATTATTAACGAGCAAGAGTGTGTACAAGTGAGCTTGAAGAAGCAGCAGCGGCAAACCGGTTTCCATGCGTGTTGCTCCAAAGACGCCCCTTCCCCGAATGCCCCTCCAGAGCACTCACGTTTCGCGGTCAACGTGCGGTCAGTTTTTGATGATTGCCTTGGCTTTTTTATTCTCTGCCCGTGGCCCTACTGGCCTCACCAGCTACCAGGCGCATTATCTTTTCTGTAGAGTGTGCCGAAGAAATCAGTCACAAAGAAGGTGTACAAAATCTGAGGCAAATATTTTTGAACTTAGAATGTTATATTTTATTTTTGTACTTTTATATGAACCCCAGAACACATTTTGCACATTTTTAGAACATATTCTTTCCATAACTGGCTTTTAAAATTTAAAGCCTATTGAGTAATCAAACCAGCATACTTTAATATATCCCATAAATGATTTTATAGCTGAACTCACTCGAATTTTTAGCTAGAGCCGTAGGGCTTTCGATGAATGCACAAGCATTGTAAAACAAATCGAATGGCCCCATAAACAGTGACGTACAGTTTACTTAATGCTTTCTGGTATTTTGGCTGCGTGCCAACAACGCCCTTTCCCCCCTCTCCGACAACTGCGCGGTCACTCGAACAGTCGAGTCGACAACAGACCACGCCCTGGCCAAGTTAAGTGCTTTGGCTGGTTTCTGGGCAGTTTTTGATTTGTGCGGCCAACGGAATGCGCTCACTGCTTGCCAACTTGTGGGCGCCTGTTCCCGGAACTGAGTTGTGGGGCCTGACTGACCGCACAATTAAAACGGGACGGACACACGAGACGTGAACTGCTGCAAAACGCTCGTCACACCAGCTGCCAAATGTGGGCCTCCACTCTAACTGTGTTGATGATTGCAGTTAGCAGCCAGCGGCGGAAATGATAATTATCGCACGAATAACCTTAACCTTAGCTTCCAAAAAAGCTCAAATCACAACCTGTGCTATGAGGCGCCCAAAAATGTTCAGTTGGTAACTGTGGCCGAAATGCGTGCCCCCAACCTGCCTCACTCTCGTCCTCCACCTCGCTCGCTCTCTCGCTCTGCTTCTCTGGCCCAACAAAATTTGACAGCACAAAGTTCATTTAACTAGGCATTGTATATATGCATATAATACGTGTATATATACATACATACATATGTATGCATATGTATGCTTATAGAAGGGCATGTGTGTAGTGGAACTTGTTCGAACGCATCATCATTCAACATTATCTGTCGGCGATAAACAAACAGCCCCATCGACACAGAGACAGCCAAGCCAACCACAGTTCGAAGCTCACTCCACTTGTGTTTGCGGGTGTGCGTGTGTGTGTGTTCGTTCGTTCGTTAAACATTCGCAAATAATACGTTGACGGTGACCTTCTAGTCATTGCCAAAATGTTTGCGATTCTAAATTTCGCAACAAGTATGAAGCCCAAAATCCTTGAGTTTCAAGGTGCGTCCTTCATTTGGCAATGAAACGCTCTGAAATTACGGTCAAGGCAAAAGCTCATCCAGCTGAAGGTGAACAAGTCCGCAAACCAGACCCGGACGCGCGTCATTCTCGACGTCGCGACGTCAGCGACACACTCATTTGACGCTTACTTCTCATCCACTGGCTCTATGGGGTTTACAAGCTGTAGGGTATATGGCACACATTAAGTCCGTTGGGTGGCGCTATAAAGGGTTTGTTTATAAAAATAAAAGGAGAGAGTAAACATTTTATTGGTGAAACATTAATTTAATATAGTAGTGTGTGCACTCTTTAGATTATTTTAAATACTACAAGTAGCTTTACAAAAAATCTAATTACAATCACATTGGGAATTTTTAACAGTTTTCAATGCAATACAATACAATCTAAATAACAATTGCTTACAATGATGCTGTAAATACTATTACAAATAATATTATAAGATAACCTTTAACAATACCTCATCGTTAAGTCTTGCTTCGGTTCAACTATATGTATGCATGTGAACATCAGCTCAAGTGTAGAGCATTCAAGCTCCGCCTCTGCGTCACAGCCGCATATGGTGGTGTATTCGTGCGCATGTGTGTGTATACACACACGTGCCCGATACAAATCAACGCTACACATCGTGCTGTTATTGTTATTGTTGTTTCTGTTTGTTGTTTTGTTGTTGCGTCTTGTACTCTCGCAAAGGCTTAATAAAAAAATCACATTTCGTCGTTGTTTCTCTGCGCTTTTCGACAAAGCGCCTTGCTCTTGGGTTCTTGTTCTGGCCGCCTAATGAAAATGTTGCTGTTGTTTGGTTTTTTGTTGTTGATAGATGGCACTGCCACTGCTACTGCCGCAATATGTTTGTTGTACAAAAGCTAACAAAGGCGCACACTGGGTTGGAAGTCCAGCAATATGGAAGAAAACCAAACCAGGGAGTGAAGCGATATAATAAACATTTTTACGATATGTTTATGGCTATACTTGTAATCCACAATAAATATAATTACTTTAATGATACAACATTGAGGCGAATCAATTCAATTATTTTATTTAAGAAATTTATTTAATAATTTGAAGAATATATATAGCAGAATACAAGAACATATTGCAAGTTATAAATAAAAACCAACAATTTAAAACTAACTTAGCTACTTATAGACGCAATGTTTATTATAAAATTAATGTTAAATTGCATTCCTATGCTGTTGGCTGAAGCTACTTTAAATATTCGATAGTATTTTGTGTTTATAAAAATTGATCAGAATTGCAGCCCAGTGTGCGCTGCAAAACACAACAGCTGCAAAAATCGCGTCGGCGTCGGCGTTGTCGCTGTCAGTCGCGCTCGTCAACACTTCGTCGTGAAGGTGGGTCATTGTGAAATGACAGCGCCGAACCAACCAGGCGACCAGCAAGCATCTGTAGCGGACCGTAATCATTGGCTGCGACTGCGACAGATAGCTGCGCAACTAGCTTGTTGTTTCGCTCGCACGCGTTGCTAGCTGAGCTTACTGAGAGCCGGGGCGCTATTTCGCTGTTGAAAGAAACAGGTCGAAATACGTGGAAGACCCGCGCAAACGAGAATAATCGTTGTTGTGCAACGGCACCGAATTCAGACACCACTCGACGACAGTCATACTCGCTGGTTGTCTCACTTGCTCTCGCTGTAAACGACAGCGGACACGTTCTCTGCTCTGCTGCTCCCCTGCTACTTAGTGTCATATTTCGCACAAAGTTCGTTCGTATTTTTCTGCTACAATTTACGATTTCTACTCGAGGGGCGAAACCGTTCGAAATCAGCGGCAGTGTCTGGGAATTTGTGTGTAAGAAATGCTAAAAATGTTGATAGTGTTGAGAATTAGAAACACAGGGCCTGGGCGGATTTCCTTGTTTCCCCTCTCCATCGTCAAGTCTGGAGGTGGGGGTTTCTATGGTTTGTTGGCCAGCAAATTCCTGAGCAGCTAATCCGTGGCCAAGGAATGTCTTAGGCCCGACTTAGTCCAATTAATCCGTCAAAGATATGCTCGCACCCACCGTCTTAAAATATTTACGCACTGCCACTAATCACATTAATTAAATTCTCATGCGACCGGAAACCACTATAAAAAAGGTGGCGCCGTGCTAACCAGGGTCAGGCAAAGGTGAAGCGTCAATCGGAGAGAACCGTTGCCGAAAAATGTACGGAACTAGTCCCATAGTGTAGCTTCAATATGTATCTGAACGGTCAGATCGCGGTCGCTGGTCCGCAGCCCTTTGTGAGTTTCCTGAACGAGAGCACCAACGATGGCAGCGGACCTGTGCTGCACATGGGACACGATTATCCGCCGGAACTACAACACATGATACACGCCCATTGGCGGGGATTTCGTATGCCGCCCATATATTATAGAGCCTTCGTCTATATCGCCTTCTTTGTGCTAATGATACTGAATATATTTGGTAATGGTCTGGTTATCTGGATATTCTCCACGTGAGTTTTTGGAGGCCACCACTCTACCAGTAGTGATGTGTTGATGTTCCTTTGACAGCTCCAAGTCTCTGCGCACTCCCTCCAACCTGCTAATACTTAATCTGGCCATCTTCGATCTCTTCATGTGCACCAACATGCCGCACTATTTGATCAACGGCGCCTTGGGATATATAGCTGGTGGTGATCTGGGCTGCGATATCTATGCTCTGAACGGTGGCATATCGGGAATGGGTGCCTCCATAACGAATGCATTTATTGCCTTCGATCGTTATAAGACCATCTCGAATCCCATTGACGGTCGCTTGGGTTACGGACAAATTATAATGTTGATTATATTGTCCTGGTTCTGGGCCACGCCGTTTTCAGTGTTCCCCTTGTTCCAGATATGGGGGCGTTACATACCAGGTATCTAACCATATACTTATTTAAGTAATTCATGCTAGAATAATGCCTCGTCTCAGAGGGCTTTCTTACCACCTGCAGCTTCGATTATCTCACAGACAGCGAGGAGAATCGCTACTTCGTTCGCGCCATTTTCATTTGGTCCTACGCCATACCGATGGCCTTGATACTTACCTCCTATTACAAGCTTTTCACGCACGTGCGAACTCACGAACGCATGTTGGCCGATCAGGCCAAGAAAATGAATGTCAAATCGTTGGCGGCTAATGCCAACGATAGCATGAGTGTGGAATTACGGATTGCGAAGGCGGCTCTGATTATCTATATGCTGTTTATACTGGCATGGACGCCCTATTCGGTGGTCACGCTAATCGGCTGTTTTGGCGAGCAACAATTAATAACGCCCTTCATTTCCATGTTGCCTGGTATGACAGCCAAATCGGTATCCTGTCTGGATCCATGGGTCTACGCCACAAGTCATCCAAAGTATCGCTTGGAGCTGGAGCGTCGCCTGCCTTGGCTGGGAATTCGCGAGCGGCAGGTCAGTACGGGCTCCACGGCTGGCCAGGAGAGTGTAGCGAGCGTGAGCGGCGAAACTTTGGCGATGAGTGTACAAAATTAAGGCATTTGACATTAAACTGATATGCGATGCGAATGACGAGATTACGCATATTTTTAAGCTGCAATGAACTACAAAAAAGTTCCAAAAATAAAACAAAAAAGTTGGCATTGAAAATAATAAAGTTTCTGTTGATAGTAAAATACCGTCAAAAAATGATGGTCCATTTTCTAGTTTTTAGGACAACTTAGTGTATTTTATTTGGAAACGGCGTCCACATCCCTTTCGCGGAGGCGCCTTGTACTTATATTTTTAAAAAATAATTATACTTTACATACCCATTTTTCAAAATCCAATACAGATAGTACAGATAATACAGATACAGATATTAGTATACAGGGTAAAAAGGTATACTAATACAGAAAACATATAGTAGGGTCAATCCGATTTGATCTATATCTGAAACTTCTAAATACATGTGTTGTGCGAAAACAAAAACATATGTATTGCATAAAGATGGACAATAATAATTATATAAATATTAAAAACTTTATTGATCCCGCATTCATAAAACAAGTATACAGGGTAAAAAGGTATACTAATACAGAAAACATATAGTAGGGTCAATCCGATTTGATCTATATCTGAAACTTCTAAATACATGTGTTGTGTGAAAACAAATACATATGTATTGCATAAAGATAGACAATAATAATTATATAAATATTAAAAACTTTATTGATCCCGCATTCATAAAACAATTTATGTTACTTCTGAATTGTTCATTGTAACTTTGATTAACTGATTGAATTTTGAATCTCAAAGACAAATAACGAACTAAAGGGCCAGCAATAATAATAAATCATTTGAATAAATTCTATTCCACTCCTATTGGTAGCTCTTTATTTGCTCAAGAAAGCAGTGTTGTGCGATTAATTCTTAAGAGCAAATAATGAGCGGCGGCATCTGCATACGAAAATCAGCACAGCCTCCATCGCTTTAAAATGCAAATAACAGCACCTCACTCCCGGCACCCCATTCTCTCTTTTCATTCGACAGAGGCAACGTGTCTGCGTCTGCGCTGGCCAGACGAACGCAACACGGCCGGGCCGAGTTGAAAAGTTGCGCTTCTTTGTTGCTTGTGCACATCCAACCAATCCGCGTGTCCAAAATCAGCGTTCAACCGTTGTTCCACACGAGCACCAGGCGAACAGCGCCCGCAGGCTGTTGCATACAACATTTCTACACAAAAGTTGAAATCGTGATTGGCTGAGTGGTGGCTACAGCGACGATTGGTGTGTTTGTGTGGGTGAATTGGCGCTGCCCTCATGAGCAGAAGTGTGTAAGAGAGCGAGCACAACATTAGCTGAGTTTACTCGTTTTGTTGTCGAGTGTCTGACAGGGAGGGGGAGGCGTGCATTGTCAGTAGATAAAGGACGTGGCAACCGGGAGGACTTCAAACACTTTATGCGCTCTTTGTGAGATTAGTTCCCGCAACATTGTTGCAGTCAACAGAGCAGCTGCAAATTAGATGGTGTGCCTGGTTGGTTGGTTGGTTAGGTCTGTCGGGCGGCGCTTCTTCTTTCTTTCTCTTTATTCTTTAAAATACGACAACAAACATTTATACTAGGTCTGCATGAGCTTTAGCAGCATGCTGCGCACACCACGATTAGATTTCCAATGAAAACTCAATAGAAATATTGTTAGAAATGGGCTAGCAAACAGGTGCGAGCGAGATGAATATACAGATGCAGCAAAACTCACGATTGTTGAGAGTGTGTGTGAGTGTATGTGAATTGGTATGTGGGATTAGAGAAGATGCTATTGTCGTTGCATTCATTTGATAAAATTGCTTGGATAATCCAATTTGCTGGCACAATGAGAATTGACATTAAATATAGACCGAACCCCGCCCAGTCCCACCACCAACATCCAACATACTCAGCCATTGCAGCTGAAAGGCAATTCAACTAATTGGCATTGGAATTGGAATTGTTGTCGTCATAGCGTTTGTTCTCAACGCTCTCATACAGCCCACACAACCAGCCAGCCAGTGGTGGTAATAATAATAATAACGAATAACGAACGAAACGGTTTCTCGTAGCTGTTTAGTGGATGATTAAACTGAATTTAATCGTTTGCGAACAGGCGCACAGCATTCGACTGCACGCCGGGCGCTTTATTGTTGTGTGCGCTCGCTTTTCAAAACGAAATTTAAACAAGGGAAAACGACATTTTCTTCTGTATCGAAGACACGATACTCTCACTTATAAAAATTAGGTGATCAAAAATGCCTAAAATTGCGCTTTAGTATCGTATTTAGTTACTATGTAAATAGTTAAATAATTACAAAATATTTTTACAAAATTTAAATATTTTTTAAAAATATCGTACAAGATTTTTTATATAAAACATCAAACTAATGTTATTTTTCACTATTTTATTTAAATTTCTTAAAGTCAAAAGTCAAATATTATCTCCACAACTTTAAGTGCAGATCGTGAAAGTATAAACTTTCAAACAACGCTAAATAAGAGAACATCTTATAAAAATCGAAACATCTCATTTAGGAAGGGTTAAAATGTATATAATAACGTATACAGTCATATTTTCTAATTAGAGTATATTATGAAATCATTCACAAATGCACATAATCATCTTTTAGGGAGGGTATTGAAATCTTAAATTGCTCTGGTTTCTGTTTCGTTTCGTTTTGCAGTTATTTTGTCTCCCTTGCACATCCAAGCCCAGTTGAAAATGTGCTGTGTTGACGAATTCTCTTTTAATGATACATTCCATACTTTAAGAATATTTTTTTATATATAGATATGTACGTACGTAAACCAATTCAACAAAACCCAGACTTAAATTAGTTTAGTTAATTATCCCGAATCTACTAATTTTTTTAGTGAAACTTGAATGATAATAAAAAAACGTTTAACTAATGAATTTGCTTAATATGCAGTTTACCCAGTTTGGTTTAATATAGACATTTTGATTTTTCAATATTTTCAATATCTTCATATAGTTAACCAATGAAGTCGCAACAGGGCATTGTAGGAAGTTCTCTTCTCGACCATTATGCGCATTCCACTCTTGATTGTTGGGGTGTCCGCTCTTTGATATTTAAAATTGAAGCTGATTTTTTAAAATAGTGGTGGCTGCCCGTCCGCATAAATTCGCAAGCAGCCAACCCATTTGTCGTCTTGCTATCATTTTGGCAATCCTAATAATGCCAATTCAGAGGGTGGGCGCTGTTAACTGGCAGCAAACGCGCGCTCGTTATTAACATGAAGAAATCCAATATAACAGCTCTCTCGCACTTCTGTGGCTCTGTTAGCATTTGAACGTTAAAAATTCGATTTTATAGAATGCAAGCAACGCCCCACAAAGAGCCAAATAGGCAGACAGGCTGACAAACAGACATTACGATGTTGCTTGACTGTGCAGTCTGCTAATTACGCACACATCCATACACATGCAGGCATTCATACACAAATACGAGTTCGTATGTATTGTTACTACAGCTGCTGTTGTATCTGCAGTAACAGACCAGCAGCGGGCTAACAGACCAGCTGCTAAACATTCTGCGAGCCTCTTAGTTATTATGTCAGATCGGTGTTTGTGCGACTATAAAAAATACGTACACGGCCACTGACAATTTATTGACTCCCCCTGGGTGGGTGTGAGTTATAAAATTGATGGTATAAACTGTCACAATTTATAAATATGGTCGAGTGCTCGCTGCGAACGCGAGTGCTGGTCCATCTTTCCTGTTCGCCTAGTGAACAGTTTCGGCTGTATGTTGGTAACATTGTCGCTAGTCCACCTCTACCACCTGCAGAACAAAACAGTGTACCAACACCTGGGCACAATCGAGCGACAACTCTTGCGTTGTTGGAGTTTTCAAGATTGTTGGCAACGCTTCGATGTTAAGCTCTACCGCTACCAACTTATTTGTTAATATTTTTAATCAAAAAATTAATTTATATTCTTCAAATCTGATTTGTACCTTATAAATATTAATGATATTCATACAGAATATAATGGAATATAAAAGAGGAAGAAAGGGCTCAATATTAAGACTTCAATACACTAAAGTACATACATATATATGTTGGTTTACTGAAATTAAAGTAATCAACTGCTGTCAGGAATCTTAATGTTATTTGACAACCGCCTGTTGAGCCGTTCCCAACTTAGACTCGTTGGGTTGCAGTTCTCTTGCGCTCTGACAACCCTGGCTACTGCTTGCTCTCGCCCGTCTCACGCGCTTCTCTTCATTCGCATAACAATGCCGTCTGCTTTTTACGCTGCTAGCCTGTTCGGGTAACTAAGTGAAATAGCATGCAAGCCATTCTTCGGAAATTTCGAATTCTCCACATATTTTTGTGTCGCGTATTTGGATCGTGACAAACACGGAATGGAATGGGAATGAATAGCGCGGGTGGCATGCTTGAGAAATGGCGGAGGGGCGCTGGAAAGGTCATCTACATAAATAAATGAATTTACGCTAAAACTTTTTCATATATTTTTGGAAAAATTATCAAACAATACATATGTACATGCATATATATGTACAAGTGTAAGTACCTACGTTGTATGTATTTATATTTCATGTTGAATTTAAATATAAACACACATGCATGTTTATATGTATATGCACATATATGTATGTATTTATTTATACGAAAATTGAAATATTGATAAGCATGTGTGTGTACTTACATACATACATACATAGCTACCAATATTAAAACTATTAAAATTATTGTTCAGTAAAAAAAAAAATTGAAGTCTTCTGTATATTGTTGTGTTATATGTTAGCAGCTCGTCTCTAGCAACATGCGACAAAACAATATTGAACGCAAGTAAAATGCGTTAAATTAACAAGAGATAATGTTATAACGAGCAAGCCCGACAGTGGAGTACCCTGTACCCAAAAAATCATTTCTCGCTGAGATAGAAGGGAAATGAAAAAAAAACTAAATGATTGCTGAGGTTTGATGCACGGGTGGGTCTTGCTAATATATTTATTTTAATCAACTGATTTAAATGAAATTTAAAATAGATGCGCAAATCCTAGTACATATACATACATACATAGTATGTACTACTTCCTGCCTGATGGTTACATATTCACAAAACTAATATGCCCTTTTCACTTTCGAGTACAGGGAATAAAAAACCCCTGCATTTTATCATGTACATACATAGATACATATGTATTGTACATACGTACTACGCACTGTTGCTGGCAACTCCTTAAATTGGCAGTGCTCATCCAAGTCCAAGATGCACCGTCCTCGACTAGCTAGCCCCCATTTCTCGTTGATGGAGGTGGGTTGGTTGGTTGGATGGCTGTTTGGGCTCCAGCTTAGACGCACTATTGTCCTCTGTAAATCCTCATTGTAACAAGCGCCCAGAATCAATGTCTTCCGCAAACACTTTGCATTCAGTACGCAGAGTCAGAAAGTGCATGCTGCAAAATAAAAAATAAATAAATAAAACAACAACAACACAACAAAAAATTCGATGCAAAAAGTTGTCGTAAAGAGGTAATGGAGGCGGCGGCGGCGAGGGCAGCACGTCTCCGCAGCGTCGCCCAAAAATAAATGCAATGCGGTCGCCATGTTTATTCCTCCACAAACATACGCACACACACACACACACACTCATACACACTACAGAAGTTGCGTCGCAACTCGTCGTTGATTAACCCAAGCATCCAGCGTCTTAACGCCAGAAATACCAACAACAAATACACATTCGCTCGCCAAGGAAATGTGTAAGAAGGAGACGGAATTTGTGCAAAGAAAAGAAAAAACGAAGATGATTTTACGGTGTAACGTACATATGTATGTACATACATATGTTTGTGTGTATTAAGTGTGTAAGTGATATAAAAACGATTATTCGCGATTAAGTTGTCGTATTTTGTTAACATGTTAAATGACATTGCTTTACATACTATAGAAATAATCAGCGCAACGGCTTGGCATAACACTTTGAAGTTAAGATATCTAAAGTAAAATAAAAAAAATCGAAAAAAAATATGTATGCACACAATTTTTAATCAGAAAACTCTCTGGAATACTTTGCCTCCTAAATGTTAACAAATCAAAACAAGAACTGTAACTGTTGTAATTGGAATTGCAAAGAAATGTAATCGCATTATATATTATTACATGCATACATACATATATACAGATGTACGTACATACTATGTACATATGTATGTATATGTATACAAACTGAGAGCTGGTTTAGTTATTGTGTTTATGACCCAAATAAAGTAGAAACCATTTTGTTTTAATATCAATAATTATATTTTGCTTTATTTATACCTTTTCCAACTTAAAGCTAAAGAACGCTACATACATGCGCCAGCAGTTAATAATCTATGGATATATAGTAAGCATAAATACGAACGTAGGTATTGGAATGATTTGAATACATTTTAATATAATATACATACATTGTCCAGGTTAAGCCTTATTCTTTATATCGTGTATAGATTTGTGTGAGTATATACTATAATTTCGTTTGTTACATACAAATAATATTTGGTGCGATATATTGAAATCAAATACTAAAACAAAAAGTCAACAAAAGGTCACAGGTGCGGTAGATAATTAATCTTATAATATATTATTAAAGATGTGGAGACATACATACATATTTTGTATATGTATGTTTGTTTTACAGTTTCAGCGCTACCTTCTGATACTTTTCCTCTGGTTGGCAAATGAAACTGTTGAGATTTCTTGGGGTTCATCAAGCTCGTTCTTTAAAGTCTTCCTTCAGAGTCTTTCCTAGCAGAGTAGTGTTATGTTGCCGCTTTCATTGCCGGCCAGAAAGACGTGATTCAACGGCAGTACAGCCAGGGATGTTAGCACGCCACGAAAGGATTCGGCACGCAGTTTGGTGATTGTGTTAATGGAATGCGAATTGGCAATATCCGCGTAGACGCCCACCCGATTTCCGGTGGTGGCGTAAATGAGCGTCGAAGAGCATGTTTGAAGAAAATGCGCCGGCTCAGGGGGTGGTCTGAAAAAGTCAATGAGTTGGGGTAATTAAGTCAATCGAATAATGGGTTGGATAAGTTGTACTTGAGTTGGTAATGTAGAATTCCGTCCGGCACATGCCAGACGGCCAGACTGTGGTCCAAGGCGGAGCTGACCAGCTGCTGATCATTGGGCGCGGCCAGCTGTAAGAGATCACACTCGATGGGCCGCCAGGAGTTGAGGACCATGCCGGTGCGTGTGTCGAGCATCACAATGCCGCCGGAGGAGAGTCCGGCAGCCAACCAATTGCCGGATGGTGCCACCGCAACACAACGTACCGTGGCATTGGGCAACGTTGCGTTGCAGACGCGCCACTCGTTCACGTACTGCATGGTGCGGGCATCGATGATCTTCACCGTAGACTCGGCTGTGCCTGCCACTACCAATGGGGAGTGCGAGGGCAGGCATTTGACAACCGTAATGGCATTGTGACGCGGCGCATCCAATATGCCCAGAGGTCGACCTATAAAGGGATCCCACAAATGCACGCCCGAATCGCAGGACACCACATACCGCAAAGACTCCAGAAAGCTTAGTGAGTGTATGGACTTCTTATGGCCCGTGTAGGTGAACTGGCAACCACTAGCTTTACGGCCATCGCCTTCGCTGCGCAGCGACCACAGCTTCACGGTCTTGTCCTTCGAGGCCGAAATGAAGCTGTTTTCATTGTCCAGTGCATAGATGGCGCGCACCGAGTTTGTATGCCCTACAAACGATTGCAGACGTATCTGCTTCACATTTAAGGTGTGATTATCCTTGTCGCTGCGCGTGATTTCGTGTCGCCAGTAGGCCAACCAGTTGCCCTTTAGATGCCGCGTGCTCGGCAGCTGATCGAACTTATACGCCACCATGTCGAGCACTTCCATGGGCCCCAACGCTCCGTGGCTATTGCTGGCGACCTCCAGACGATTGCCAACGATTTGTGTGCCAAAGCTGTTGGCCACCTCGCAGGGAGCATCTGTGGTGTCCGCATCGCTTATGCTGGCGGTGGCCAGGAGCGTTGCATCCTTCGAACCCTCGGGCTGTTCGTACTCATGGCACAGACTCAGCACAAAATCCAGATTTACGTTCAGAGTTCGCTGCATGATGGCCTCGCCAAGAAATCTCAGAAAAGCCAAATAGGCTGTGTGCGCCAATTCTGGTCCGAAGACGTCACGCAGCTCTTCCACAGCACGCTCTTTTTCGCCCTCAGTTCCCAGTATCAAGTTAGCCAGATTGCTGGTAAAGTTCTCGGGCAGCCCATAAGCTTTGTTGAATATCAAGAAGAAGGGACAGAGTAGTGGTTGGCAGAGATGCTCCTTCGACATATCGGAGCCTATGCGAACGCTCAATGCGTAAATGGCGTCCAGGAATTTCCGAGCCAGCAGCGAACGTCCCAAATACCCGCTGGGCATGAGCAGATTCGTCGAACTGAGTAGCCGCAGAATGGGCAGCAAGATGGCATCTAGCAGAGTGTCTTGCAGATGTTCCATTATGCTGGCGTCCGTCAGGCACGGCACCATGTACTTAAATAGCTGCAGCGAACTGATGATCGCACCTTCTAGACTGCCCGTTATACGTTTGGAGCAGAGCGCAATTAGCTCGCTGATGTGCGGAAAGTATTGGAGTAGGAGAAAGGGCTCACCAAAGAGCGCTAGTAGGAAGGTAATGGGTAGAAAGGTAAGCTAATTTTTAATGATTTGTAACTAAGCCTAACCTAGTCCTAATCTTAGCTCTGCAGAGCAAATTTATAATTCATAGCTAATGTTTAAAGCGTTAACTAATAACTCCTCTTCAATCAGTTTTCGGCATAAATAGCTGATCAAATAATATTAAATGGAGAAACTAATATCTGATTTTTACAAAGCCCTCCTCTGCGCTTCTCAAAAGGAGCACTTAATCGAAGCCAGTTTTTGCACCCAAAGCTGGTTTACTAAGTCATTTTTTCAATTGAATTAAAAATCCTCCTCTGCGATTCTCATGCGAAGCACCATAAGAACTCACCTGCAATGGAGACGAGGCACTCGAGGACGCGGGACGCACTCCGATCGCCAACCACACGCGCCTGGGCTATGCTGAAGTAATTTAGGTTCCCGGATTCGTCTGCATCGGGCGACTCGGGCAGGAGATTCTCTTGACCCACATAGCAGAGGGAGAGCATTTTGAGGAGGTTTCTTGTGATATAGCGGGACGTGAGGGCGGGGCCCAGTCGATGGGAGAGCCAAACTAAACTTTCGGCACTCATTTCGCTGATACGATTATTCTGCAACGCCTTGGCTTCGGACATTTTTGAGATAACTGAAGCCTGCAATGAATCGCAGGCTTCTGTGGACGGCATCTTTTCCTGTTCCACAGCTTGCTCTGCCGCTTGGGTGATCAGCTCAAAGGAATCAACGCTCTTACGCGAGCCAATGTCACAGTCGATGGCGCTTAGTTGGAAACTGCGTCGGAAAGCGCCTTCGGGTATCTCAATGGTGGGAGAGCGTGGACTCAGATGGAGGGCTAGTGGTTGCTGGGACTCCGCTGTTTGGCTTTTAAGTGATAATTTATCGGGTTCTTCTAATGATGACTGAGAGAGTTTAGAGCCGTAGATGATCTCATTGATGACCAGCTTGTCCGGATCGCTTTCGTACTCCTTTGCCTCCTCGGCCGTGGTGGTAGCGCTGCCACCACGCATATCAAATGAATCTATGGACTTGTTCTCTGCGGTGCCGGAGTTCGATATATGATCGGAGGCGGCATCTTCCTCAAAGCTAAAAACCTCTTCTATGTCTGGCTTAATCAGCACCGGCGAGCTCTCAGGCTCCACCTCTCTTTCGTCCGCCGCTGCATAGCTTAGATTCTTGCTGGTGCGCCGACTATCGCTATTCTGCTCCGCGTCGTTGTGGTAATGGAAGCCATTGCCCTGCTCCGGCTCCTTGTAGCCACCCACAGCTTCGATAAGTGGGGCTATAAAGTGTTGCAGAAAACATTTCAGGCCGAAGCGCACGATTAGTCGCAACAGGAAGCTGTGATGATAGAGCTTTACGGACTTGCGTGACTTGAAGGAGCTGCTGGTGGAGAAACGTAGACCGGCGGTTAAGTGGCCAGACCCACCGGCGCCCAGTGCAGAAGCTACCGTCACGCCCGTCGTAGAACCAACACGAACGGAAGTCATGCCGCGTTCGAAACACTCGACATCGTAGAGTTTCATGATGGGTTGCAGTAAATGCTGCTGGGTCTGTGCAATGCCCAGAGCCTGAGCCATCGGGTCGAACAGATTCCAGGCCGTCAGTATGGAGGTGCGTTCGTCCTTGAGCAGATCTATAATATGTGGCAGCAGCAGCTCGATGGGCGCGAACTGTTCGTACGCTACGGGCTCCAGGAGACGACGCAGATGCGCATAACAGGACATGACCTTGCATTCGGCTATTTTGCGTTGGAAGAGGACACGTTGTCGATCAATATCCGTATAGCGAGCGCACTCCTTGCCATTGCAGCTAAAGTGCGTGTGAAGCTCGAGGAGAGTGGAGTCGAAGTCAAAGGCGTGCAGAGCACGTACCAGACCGTAAATGGCATAGAAGTGTGTGGGAAAGGGCAGCAGGCAGTTGGCAAACATCGGTTCAAGCAGCTGAGCGGCATTTGTGGGCTGCGGCAGAACTCCCAATTGCTGCGGCTGCTCCTCAGTTAGTTGGAGCAGCAAACGAACCACAAAACGCACACACTTCGGCAGCTCCTGGCGATGCAAGTTGGCGACGGTGCGACAGGCCTGTAGACGGGCCTCGAAGCTGGCGCTTTGTCCGTTCCCCGTAAGCAACGGACGCAGACGTTGCATGGCAAACAGCTCGACAATGAGGCAGCCTAGCACTTGCAGTTCGCGCTGCCGACGTCCCGCCAGAAGCTGCTGGAGGCAGCGTTGTCGGCGTGTTCCGGAAGCTAAGAGGTTTTTGCATTTGCTTGATGCTTCCGCATCGGCGCCGGCAAATAGCTGATTGGTGAACGATTCCGCTGAATTGTCTTCGAAGAGCAAATCGCTTGAGATCATTTTCTCCTCCGGATTAGGCGTGGCCTGCTGTTGCGGAAACGTGCGTGCATAAAAAGTCTCGAGGGTCTCGAGACTTTGCAGCAGCACCGTTGGATTATAGTGCTCGGGTAGCTCAATAAAGTTGGTTGTGGCATAGAAGCTCGAGGTGCTGGAACTGCTGTTGGTTGTTGATTCATCGGAGGGACGCAACGACATGCGTGGCGTGCTTTTATCCGAACCATTGCCATTGCTTAAATGCAGATTATCTGTGCTTTTGGCCAAGCGCCGCGATTCAGGCGCCTGCAATCTGTGCGAGGACTTTGGGGAACGCGACGACGATGATGGGCCATACAGTTGAGCCAATCGGGGTGCTGCCTTATTGAACCAGGGCGCGGAGCAACGCTTCGGCGGATGTGCCTGCGTGAAAAGCTGCACAATTCCACGCTGACTGAGATTGCGGTGCTGATCAACCATGCTGAGACAGACGTTTTTCGACTTGATAGCCGCCTTGCCACTCAGCTTGTAGCTGTAAGTGAAGAAGAGAGTTAAGTTAATTAAACTAAAGTAGTTTAATATTATAGTTAATTAATCTAATTAATATTCTATTACTAGCCCTTCTTTATGGAAATGATTCATACTTTGCATTAAATTCAGAAGTATTTAGTAAGTCATTTCCACTTTCGGGGCTATGTTTTACAAAAACCTTTCAAGTTGTAGTTATTTTTCTTTAACAATCGTTAATTATATATGTACCTGTATATGTAAATGAAAATGTTTCTTACGGATACAGATTTTGCAGCACCTCTGCTCATTGAAATATATAACCAGTTTTAAGAAACCCTTAAGAGCTTATTTAATTATATTTTCAATTATATGAAAAACACAGCCCTCCTCTGCGCTTCTCAAACTAAGCACCTAAGCAAAGGCATTTTAAAGCGAAATTTCAGCTATCCATCTACTGCACTGAAAGAAGATTCTTAGGCACTACTCACCCAAAATTCAGATCTATCCAATGGTGGAGTCGCTCGCTGACATATTGGGACTCCAGGGCCTCACGATGCTTGCATATGAAGTCCTCCGGGCAAGTTGCCCATGTGGGCAGTTCCAGATCTGGCAGATCCTCGTGAATGCTTTTGAATATGAGCGGATCCGAATAGAACTCTGGAATACACTCATCGGGCGTCCATTCCTGCAGACGTTGTATGGACACAGGATACTCGGCCGGTACCCAAATGGGCCGCACATGCGCACAGAGAATAGACTGCGGTGTACGGCGAGCCATGTAGACGAAATATGTGATCTCTGAGAGGAAGTCGGAGACATGATGGGCAACCTGCTGTGCACCATCAACTGGAATGGGCAGTCCACTGCCGTCGGAAGTCGGAGCATGCTGGCTGCCATGCGCGTACATGAGATCCAAATGTATATCTCCCTTATTGAGGCGATACTTGCTCTTTGTCAGGTCGCGCCAGTTGGCGCCATTGCGAGCTGTAAAATCGGTTACCCACGGCATGATGTGATGGTGGGCGGCATTGTGAACGCTGCGTCCCGACGCATTGTTCAGGATGGTGAGGTAATCGAAGTTTGAGAGCTGGCCGTTGCACCACAGCTCGCAATATTCGCGCAATGTGAACTGCGCCGGATCGTAGGCCAGCTTGAGATCGAACATAGTTGTGGTGCTGCTGGAGTGCAGATCCTCAGCGAGTGCCATCTGCTCCGGCGGTTCTGGCGAGAGTGGCGACATGTCCTGGGCCGAGGCAGCGGCATCATGCAGCATATTGCAGAGCAGGCGTGGTTGAACCTGCAGCCACAAATTGTCGCGTAAGAGAATGTGCTGCAGACGCAGATCTCCCAGGAAGAGGCCGATCGTCTGAAAGTGTTTGGCAAGCTGCAAGATTTGGTAGATTACGAAGAGCGTCTTGTTGTAGCCCTTTCCCAATATGGCCGGACTGTAGGTGATGCAGTCGTAAAGGCTGCACTCCAATGCTGGCGGATAGTAGAATACGCTGAAGTGTGTGGATGTTTCTATTGCAACAAGCGCTGGCAGCACATTCGGGTGACAATCGCTGCCACTATTTATTTCAGCGCTATCGGGCGACACTGCCGTGGAGCCGGGGGCAACACGATCCAGCTGACAATGCAGCACGGGGCAGGCATAGATCCTTTGTATGAGCTCTTTGAGCACAGCATCGTGTGGCAGTAAGCCCTGTTGTGTGGGGGAATGCAGCAACTGCTTCCCGCTTGTCGTTGTAGGCCGACACAGCTTGACATGAGCGCCCGTATATTGCTTATAAGCCGCCTCCCACAGCTGCTTGAAGTTGCGGTTCGCCACATGTGCCACCGCTTGGGAATATGTGAGTGGAAACTCGGACTGTGCGTCCGACTCGCTCGCTATGCACTGCGGCAGTGAGTAAGCCTTTAGTTGGGGCTGCTTGCGGTACGTTTGCACCAAAATGCGCGTCCAGGGGTGTTCGAGGGGGCCTGTCGGATGTGCCCGCCTATCCAATTGGGGCCATGCCGTAAAAGGTATTAGTTTTCGTTGACGCTCCAAAGCCTGCAGCCAGGCCTTATCCACTATCAACTGATAACGTCCAGCGCCCTCGCCATGGCTGTCAATGCCGCCGCCTGACTCACACACATGCTGAGCATTAATCCCAATTTCCTGCCAAATGCCCAGATCGCCCATTCTGCCAATGCTCTTCAAATTGTCACTAAAATTGGGGGCGCAAACTTGACCCCTATTGCACAGCTAATGCCAAATGGCTGCATAGGAGAGTCTGAAAGTAATAAAATGTAAACGATTAATTAAACTTAATCAGAAAAGGTAGAAACAAAGAAAGGTGCAAACATATGTATGTACATACATACAAATGTATGTATGTACGTAAATAATTCCAACTGCTGTATTAGTAACACTGCTGTTACCGTTTTTAACTTTTATACGCCCCCGGGTGTTCAATAATTACCCAAATTTATGGTTACTCTTCTTCCACCTCCAAAAGGAATCTAAAACGCTGGGTCTCGTGACGACCTGTTCCCGTTTTATGCGCACCTCACATTTTCTTTAATATTTTGCAGTGTGCGTAGCTCTGGCATGCGGGCTTTTGTGCGCTTTTCACTATTATCGGTTGTTTGTATTTTAATATATAAGTATTATGTATTAAATTAACAAAAACAATTTGCGACCCAAGTAAATAGCATTGTCCGTTCACAATAGCCAACACACTGTACAGCTGGCACAGCTGATTAGCAGCTGGTTGATGTGGTTGCTGTATTTGCCAACTGCAAATTGTGTTCCACAAACACAATCACTCAATGGAATGCGATCCACAAACCTTTGTACGTTTGTGGATAGTCTGTTTTTAAATGTATTCATTAAAACTCATAATTAAACTAATAAGCATTATAAAATGTAACGCATTTCGGAAATTGTATAGACTATTTTAAAATCAATTTCATTTCAGTTTGATGGTCGTTATATATGTATATAGCTAGTATGTTATTAATCATTTTCTCATCCACAGGGGATCGTGTTTTGAAGCTTTATATTCGTACAATTTATTCACTTCTTTAGCTTTTGCTTATATTCGAATTTTCGTGGGTATGTAAATATAAAGCCAACTCTTGTACACATAAGTATACACTTTATTAGCTTCCCTGCTCGCCAAATATGGTTGCGTTTTTCAATTTTTCTATTCCAAAAGGTAGTAAGTACCCACAATATACGCCGAATTAAATGACTGTGGAGACTTGTCGAAGTCTACAACAGCTTCTTAGGCAGCTTCCACAGCCTTCCCACAACTGCTCTCCTTTGTATCAGTGCTGCGATAAGGCCTTGTCACTGCTCTCTATGCTTCCTGCTCCTCAATTTGTTTATCTTGGGTCGGCATTTGAAAGAGCGCTCGCACAATTAACACCTACAGGTCTCTGTACACATATTTATGTACATATATACATATTTATGCCGACAAAAAAGGTCAAGATGTGCCATTATAGAGTATTTAGCTGAACTTTAAATCAGATTTTTCTTTCTCTGTGTGTGGTAAGATATTTGCCTTACTTTTTTGTTGCCGCCTGCAATACTGATGACCAACCACATACAAACGCTTTATAGGTTCCATAAATGGAAGAGAAATTTGTACCTTTTTCTTGATATTCTTAAAAGTGACCGATTTAATTTATTTATGAAAATACCTACCTACCTAATTGTTAATTATATTTAGCAATTATTTGTATAACAAAGAAAATAACATCATAAAAACGCTATAAAAACTGCAGTTATATCCAAAATAGACTCATAAATTGTAGGTTTAAAGAGCGAATTCTCGTCAGTCAGATTATATATCATAATTATACGGCTGCCGGAAGGTTGACTTGCGTTCCGGGGAATTTTCCGGTATAAAAATGAGTTAACGTATTCATTTAAATTGGCGCAAAATATTTGTGAAGCTCATGAGTCGAGGAAGGCCCGTCGTCCAAACGGGCTTCTGAGAGATACATACTTGTATGTATAAAAAAAATAAGCACATTCGCTTGTAATTGCAACAATTAAATGTTTTTACACTTTTAATATGTATGTATGTGCATATATTTAAATATGTCAGATCTTCCAGTTGGGAACTGAAAAACAAATTAGTGAATACTAATTATGGACACGAAAACAATTCCTGTTCACACCTGACGAGCGCCGTTTGGATGCAAAGTTGAAGCAACTTTTGGTAATTAAGTTATTAAACAATAAATGGCGTTCGATATCGTGGATGACACACCTCCGAGTGCCTTTCCCTTTCGCAGCATTGAAATGAGCGTGCTCCTCCAATAAGTCGGCGTGTGCCCCGCTCGAGTAATTTTAGAAATCAGTCACATGTTGGCCATTTGTTTAGTGTTTCTTTACTTAAGTTTATAAAGATTGCTAAATATACGCAGATTTATATCTAAATTGACGCGTTGGATATATACTTGTAGTTGCTAGAAATCTGAGGGCGCGCAATCTTATCAGAAGCCTTGTCCGGTACAAAAGTCGGATCAAAAAATTTTCCCCGCGCACCATAAAGATATCGGCCAATAAATAGCAAAGCAGTTGTAAAATTCCAGATAAATATTCCAGACAGCAGAGACCGCATTTGGTGTTGGTTGACAAAACAATTAAAAATAATAAAACCAAACTTCACCCAAAAGCCAGCAGCTCGACAGCCTTCGGTCGAGAGATCGATAAACTCTCTAGACTCAAAAAACACTTGCCAAACTCGTACTTGAGTCCCCCTAAGTGGTTCAAGTTCTTTTCCAACTTCAAGACTCTGGCCGATGCCGATGCCGATGCTGATGCTGAAGCTAATGCCTCGTGCCGCATACTACTATATATGTATATTGGCAGCATTTGCCACCGCTTGCGGTTTCTCTGTGGCGCGACCCTCAACGTGTCAAAAGTAATTTCAGTTTGTTTACTCAGTTTAGTTGTAGTACTATTTGCTTTTTATTCGGCAATTATATAAGCGCTCAACTAGTCTCTAACTGTTGCTACAAAAACAACTGCTGATTTACTGTCTAGCCAATAATTAGTTTTGGCATTCGCGGTTTCATTTGAAAATAAATACATTCTGTCTGCCGCCTAGGTTGTGTCAAAAATACTTTCGTATCTGCACTTCTGTGTGAATTGAACCAGCAAACTTATAATTTAAGAAACATTTTAAATTCTTTTTAATTAAGTGATATTTATCTAAGGAGTAAAGAAGACTCTCTCTTACAGTTTTTTTAATTCGGTAGGAATTGAGAATTGAAGCAAATCAATCGTACTCGTACTCTTAAAGGTCAACAAATGCAGAAAAATGCATTCTAAAGCTTAATATATATAGTACTACTTGTATATCTTTCCTTCCCCAGTTTGTTGCCCGCTCGCGAACTTAATTGAAATGCATTGCTGGAGCTTGTCATTGTAAAATGTCTAAGGAGGCGCCTCACAGCGAGGCAGCGGGATTGTTGGACAGACGGACAGACGGTCTGTCCGTCCGGACATGCTATGCAACAACTCATAATTTCTCTTATAAATAATTCATATCATTTATCTGTGTACTTTAAAGCCGGCCAGGCCTATGTGTGTGCCCCGCAGCTACGAGTTGTCCTGAAACTCGTAGTTTGAATTTCAAAGAAAAAACTGCACGCATAATAGACAACAACCAGTTCCGACTTCGTCGGGCTGCCTGCCCCGAAACGACGCCAATTTCTTGCACAATTTTAGCGACTATAATTGAGCCGTTCATTTCCCGATAGGCCTCAGTTCTGAGCTCTTTCAGTTTGATTGACAATGTCTTTGATGGCCATCCATAAATGGATAGCGTTTGCATTTAAAAAACGCCAATTGACTCGCAAAGTATGGGAGGCGGGGGCAAGAAATTCAGAACGCACAACACTTACAGTAAATCGTGTACTATATGGATGGACACACCAGTTGATACTGGAATTATAGTCGGTCAGGGACTGGGGCTTCTGTGCCGAGAGGCTCGTGCTGGCTCGAACTCGATTTTTGGTCATCCACCAGCAGCCATCAATCTCCAGTCACACATTTCTGCATATCTGCATGCTGCGAGTACACTCAGCGAAAAGCATTGTATGCTTTTATTTAGTGCTTAGAAGCTGTTTGGGAAAATTCCAACTCCAAGGGGGAAAAATGGCCGCAGTTGTTGCATGCAAAAATATGTTTTTTCCATTCGATCGACTTTGAATATAGCTTGTGTGATCTAAGATTAATTATTCTTCAGTCTTGGGAATTTGTAATTTTTTTTAGAGTATGTTTTCTCATCCCATCGATTTTAAACACCGTCGCTTTAGAGATGAAAAACACTTAGTTATCCAACATGTTTAATTAGCTAAAATATTTTGTGTTTCCCCCCATCAATTGGTTTTAAAAGTGAATACTCCATACTGGTTTCGCTGAGTGCCCCATATTTTGATGCCTTCATTTGGCATAATTGGAACTGAAATGGTGTGCGCACATTAATTAAAGCTGCCGTTTTTCGGCAATTCTTGTACATGCCACAAAAAATATGCATACTGGCTTGGGTCTGCTGATACGAGTAGTATGTGTCTGCTGAAGGGCAGCAGAAATGGTCAATTGATGGGCGACTATCTTCCAGAAGTCATTACCCGAAGGTCTTGTTATTGCTTGATTGCTGTCGTCTGGAGGCGAGTTGAATAATTACATCGACGCAAAGTTCAATAGGACAGAAGTACGAGAATGTACACTCTGTGGCACTCCAATGTGTGTCATTGATAATGAGGAAAGTCGCCCGATAAGTATATAAATATAAAGAAATGCCCACAAACGCGTGCGAGGCCGAAAGATTAGCTTGCTGGTCAGCATATGGAACGAAGAAAGAATGAAGAGAGCATCTGAGTTGATAATAAGAAACCTTAACCGCCAACCAGCGTCTTCCGCTAGATATTTTGCTCAAAGATGGACTTAAAAGAGTCTCTTCCACATCCAATTGTAATGACAAAGCTGAGAATTTGGTTGTAGGTTCGAGGTTTATTTGAGAATTATTTAAGAATATGCATCGTATATAGTATCATCTGTAGAAAAGGTCGTGGCTGGAAAATCGCAGCTTGAACCGCAATCAGGGGCATTGTTTGATATATGCGGCACGTCTAAAGACTGTCTAATGCCGTCCACATATTTTTCAATTACATATATACTCGCACACACATAGCTATATTTGTGGCCGATTTGGAAGAGTGTATCACGTTTCAGGCATTAGCATTATAGTGCGCCAACTGCTGTCAATGATCGCGTATTAAGCGAGCGTTCGCTCATTAGAATGAGGCATGGGATAGTGCTAATGCTTCATTAGTCAGATCGAGTGTTTTGTTTCGGAATAAGCACACATAAGTGTCTATATACCAGCATATTCGTATTCGTATTCCACTGTCGAGTCTCCACTCAAAGCGAAATGAACTGCACTGAACCGAAACCGAGCCAACATGGCAACAAACAAACCACTTTTGACTAGAATTTTTTTGCAATTTTTGGTGAACTGCCCGCACTACCCGCTCTACTTGCTCGTTGGTTGCACTTTTTTGGACCAAAAACACTCACTCAAGCACCTGCCAGAGTTACTCGCAGTTGCCGCCCTCTCGGGGACCGACCCGCGTGATTGAGTTGCGCAAAACCTGACTGTAAACGCCAACCTGCCGCCTGTGTAAAAAAGTGCATTCAGAAAATCGCAACTCATACTCTACCTCAGCACTGGGGCGGGTATGCTGCAAAGGTAATTGCCCAAATCGAATCATAGATTACAATTAGCATTCATATAATTTGTTTTGCTACTCACAACCAGCAACAACCTGTTGCCTCATTATGTGAGTTTTTATGTATTTGTATGGCATTCAAATGTTAGTGTTTCTTTTTTTTCCAGATTTAAATCAATTTTAAGTTATGAAATTGGCTCGAAACTAATTGAAATCAAAAATATTCAATTCTGCTTTCTACAGATTGTAAAGCTATTGTTTTATAGTATTAAGAAATCTTCAATTCATGGTCGGGCAGGAAAAGTTGATTTATTGATTCTAGATTTGATTTCCATATAGTATCGATTTTTTAAATTGCGAAAAATGTAAGAAAAACAAATGAAATTTAACTTAAGTATTAAGTATTTGTAAGTACAAGGCTTTTACTTTAATTTAATTTAATTAATTTATATTCATTTATATAAAGTCTTCTCTATGTTTCATGAAGAATGCAACATAAGGTGGTCAATTACATTTCCTTTAAGGGTATCCATTAGTTCAACTGTATCTCTAGCGGTCTACTTATTTGTTTTTATAGTTAATATGTATGTATGTATTGTTATACACTTCTATGTACTATATAGTTAATACAGCGCGTGTAAACGGGCCAACTGTAAATCCGTTCCAAATACGTAACAACAAATAGCTTCCCACATCGGCAGGAGAGGCCGCAAATCATATTCAGTAATCGCCGTATCGTCGCATCGAATGTAACCAATTTGTTGACGGTTCTGGCCATTGGACGTGTTTACGAATATCAGCTTCGATATACTACATATATAGGTGATAGTGAGCCTATTTTATGGTGTGTTTTATAGGTTTACGTTCACCCATAAGTTCCGTTCTCTAATATCAACTCCTTGCCGCCGCGTGCGTCAATATCTGAGCAACAAAACGAGAGGTAAGCGCGCCCGACCCTTGAAACCCCTTTGAAAATCTAGATTTTTATAAATATATTTTCTATAATAGTGTTTTACATAAAAAAAAAATTAAACTTACTTATAAGGGTGTGGAATACCGGTGTCTTTTTTGAAAAAGTGATATTTTAAATTAAATTGAAGATTAGAATTGATTACAAAAAGTAATAAAGTGTAGCTCAAAATGATTTAAACATTACAATTCATTTAACAACACTTTTAACATTTTGCTTAATAATATAATTGTTTAAATTAATTAATTTAATTAATGTGTTTTAATAAAATTAAATTATTTATATTACATTAGGGAGTACTTTTTTATAATAAAGGTGTTTAAATTAAAAACAAAACAGAAATACAAGTTAAAATCTGAATTATATTTAAATATTATTGAAAAATACTAAAAATTTAAGTACAAACCAAGTAGTATGTAAGTAAGCTTTTTTGATTAAAGTTTATGGTACCCCTCCCGTTGTGTGTTACATACGCAAGTACTAAACTAACATACCCTTTCACCCTTTGGCTACAAGGTATAACAAAGGCACAGCCAGCAAGCAGCGATCGCCACAAAACTCCGTTCAGCAGCAGAAGCAGCAACAACCGCAGTCGGTTAGCAGCAGCAGCAGCAACAGATCGGCGGCAGCAGCGGCGTTTATCTGCTCGTATATAAGCCAAAGTCAGTGGAATATAATGTCTCATTTGAAAATTAACAGCCGCTGAGCCCGGAACGACGCACAAAGTCAAGTGACAGAGGAGTAGTGGTGTGGTGTGGTGTGAAAATTGTTAAGAGCACAACAGCAATAATAAAACAAAAAAAGTGAGAGAGGCGGAACAAGTGCAGAAGAAGAAGTGCGTGTGCTGGTGGCCGTTGTCGTCTCCAGTACGAGTGTAGTTGTCGTTGCGTGCGGTCCTTCGTCGCCCCGTCGTCGTTATATTGTTTGTCACTTCGCGTCATCGTTGACGTTGTCGTGATTGTTCCGTGTTTTCCTTGTGGCCGCCACGCATGCGCTTAAGTGGCGTGTGAAGTGAAGTGTGCAAGAACAGTTATTGTTATTATACTCGCAACAGTCAAGAGTATTCTTCTCCTAACGCGCTGTACTCGTTAATCCGTAACCCTGGCGAAGGAGCTCTCCAATTTGATAACACTTCAAGGGAACAGTGAAAAGATGACACAACAACCGCAATGGGGCATCAGTTTCTCACGGTGTAAGTACCAGAGATGAACGGAATTTTTGGAATACCGTAATAATGTCACCAACTACACATTTGTATACACTTAGAGAAAAACATTTGCCTCTTTTTTGGGCTTAAAAAGACGAAATGTTTTCTAAAAATACGATAATTTCGGGGTTTCTTTGAAATGAAAATAAGATATGATTTCTATTAAATAAATTTGTTGGTTTATAAAGGCTTATTTTTAAGAGAAAACTCTCTCACATTTAGAGTAATTATTTTTTCGAATGTATGCAGATGCTTAGTTTATTGTGAAAAAATGGAAGGATATTATTTTTCTTAATTTTAAAAAACAACTTTCTGGTGCTTTCGGACGTTTTACTAAAATTAACAGCGAACATTTCATTTACGAATAAAAGTTTTCCTATTTTCAATGGCGAGATTATCATAAAGTTAGAGTAACTATTTTTTCGAGTGTGTGCAGCTGATGCGCTTATTATTGCAAAAAGTTTATTGAATTTCAATTAAATACCGCTTTAAGCGTCGGCCCATTGAAAATACATTGAACTCGCCCGCTCAACATTTTTTGAATATATATATTTTTTGTTAACCGACATTGACCGACCGCCGTCTGGCGTATTGTTGCGTTGTTATTATTGTTGTTGTGCCGCTAAAAGATTCTTTTTTTTTTGTGTGAAAAAGAAGCAACAAAACTTACTAAGATAACAATGACAAAACGTTTTGTCATTTTTTCTCGCTTCGCACTTCCGATTTGCTTTTCGGCTCAGAAATTTAAAGATGCTTGTTGTTGGGGCTTACGAGTAATATTAAAATATTCCAGACACGCAAACGCATTAGGAATACTGTCCATTTCGACGAACGCATTTGCATACGAATATAGAAATGCTAACAGGTAGTAGTTGGGGAGCAAGTTTTGGAGGTAGAAGAATTAAAGAAGTTAACACAAATGTTTTCGTGCTCTAGTTGGAAGATATCGAGCTGGATTTTAAGACTTGGGCAAGCTTGTAAACCCTCTATATCCGTCTCTGAAATTAGCCGGCTTTGTTTATTTTATTTTATGATGTTATTATCTTCACACACTTTCCTGTATGTTTATTTGTATGACTGTCTCAGTCGATAGGCATTACCTAATAAGTCTGACAAATATTGACGCATGCCCCATTCCAATATACTTGAGAACTTGCCGAGCTAACGGGTTTCCTAACAATACTTCGCCCCACCCGGCCCCGCGGCTCAATCAGAAAGCTATTACCCGTCTCACGTTTGAATTTGAATGGAATGCCAATGATTTCTCCATTTGCGTATGTGAATTGGTATAAACCGAATATAACCGACTTTTCGACAAACTACAAAAACCTTTTTGTCATCTTCAATGAGACCTGTCTGGATGATCTCTGTAGAGGAGCTGTCCATTCTCATGTCTTACCTTCTTCTTACAACAGAGATGATGATCGCAAATCGAGTTGCATTCGAAAAGAAAAGAATTATCGCTTTGCTGGTATTGCTGGTAGAATTTTCCACTCTCGATATCTATATACAGATATGTACATAACTTTGTTTATAGTGCTTGTGCTACGACCTCGCCTTCAATCGATTACATACTTGCGTTTTTTTGCAAGACCGACTAAGTATATTATGTACTGAGTATATCAAAGAGAAATTGTGTAAATACTCATGGTATAGTATAAATATGTTTGTAATGCTATCAATAGGCTGCTAAACGGACAAGATTATACAGACATATATACAAGTATGCTCATATACTCAAGTTTATGGAGAGTCAGGCCCTAAAGCTTTCAGATAAAAACAGCACAGACTCATAAACAACTTCAGCGTTTTTATCTGAGAATTCTGAATAATAAGCAGACACAAACATTTTGCAGTCAAGATATTAAATAACATGTCATTAAAAGTGTTACTTAAGATCCTGAAACAAAAACCTCAAAAGTTATCTCGCACAAAATTCATTGATGCTGCCAGTCGGGCTGGTGGGTCGGTCACGAGATTTTATATACTCGTATAATCGTTTTCGATTATAACACACCCGCCCACCTGACCGGAAGCCGGAATCTCACTTTTATACAAGTTTGTCAGCCTGCACCTGCTTTCTATACTCGCATATGTATAAAGTGTTGGGCGAATCTTTCCTGCGCTTATCACTGAAGGGCTTATGTGAGTTGCTGCCACTAATCGTGGTCTAAATGAATTATGATAGCTGCGTCAACAATTTTATACGAATTTCGGCTGATTAGATCTCGCCATTTACAAACATACAGGGGATTATCTGGTTTGTAGCACTCAACCACAAGTTTTCCATTAACAACAATTAGCCGATTTTGCCGATAAGTTAACATAAAGCACATCTAATTTATGAACAATTTATTATTCTGAAAAATATATTATTGCTTTACACTACGCTTCCAACAGAATCATATCATTGGACAATTTATGGGCAGACATTGCCAATAAAATGTTATTTATTTTCTTTCTCTTTAGGAAACCCAAACAACAAGATTTGAGTCCAATAATTTATAACAGTTTCTAACTTAATTACCTCAGTTTTTAATAAGACCAATCCTAGAAATTGAAATCCAGATTGCAGCAAAAATATCCTTATTTTGAATATCATCTGCCATTTAATATTCTGCGGCCGATAAAGCCCCTAAAACCCCATCTGAGCTTTGATTTCGTTCCTAGACTCAATGTCGGCTTTTGTGAAAGGCGGGATTTGTTGAAATTCTCAATATTGACAACTAATTAAAATTTTCAACTCGACTGAAACTGAAACTACGCAAAATACATGCATATGTTAATCAAAAGTTTAAATAAAAAACTGGCAGATGGTGGTGACGTTGACGTTGCCGGTTGTGGCAATAAAAGCCACACGGGCGACGCTATTTAGTATTGGAATTGCATGAGCTATTTATTTATCTTCACTTTTGATAAATAACTAAATAACTAAATAAATGTATAACAAAACAGCAGTTGTGAAGGTGCCTCTGTGGCAATAAAAGAGATAATTATATAGAAGTGCGACAATCCATCCAATCCACAATGGAGTACTCTAATGATGTTGTCATGAACCTCATTGTTTGTCTTTGTATTTATATAGAGTTCCCAAAACAGAATTGCCATGCGCCGATCGTTGATAATACGAGCAATTATTTGTTTGTCGTTCAGTGGTAAATGTTTTTATTTCTATTATAAACAAAGCAACAATTTGCGTTTTTTACCATTTACCGACTCTGACGAAAGCAGAACTTCTTTATCAAATTATAGTCTTTAGTTGAGTTGAAATCCAGCTTTTCCAAAATCCCTCTCATAAAACTCAATTGATATGCGACCCCGTTTTGGTGGAAATTTTTTTGGCTAAAATTAAATTGTTAGACAAATTTCAAACATTTCTATTAATTTGTTTATTCATTATTTGATTGAAGGCACATTAGCCATGAAACATGTATTGTTTCATTTATTTGACCTTAACAGTTCGATTTTGACATTCGCAGAACTGGAAAAAGCTTTCCAAAATCCTTTAAAAGCATTTCCGATATTCTGATCTTTGTATTTAAATAGAATTCTCCCTTCCAACAGATTACCTATTAAACTAACTTCGATGTTGTTTTAGCATTTTATTCATTAATTGTTTGACTGAAGCACCCATTTGGGCAACAGCCTACAAATTAAGAAAGAACAAAAATGCTTCATTAATTTGACCTTAAAATTGTATGTTGACATTTGAAGAACTTGAAAAGCCTTTCCAAAATCCTAATTGGAAACAAGGCTGTTTCCATTCAATTGGCTGTTGGTTTATCGTTGGGTTTTTCTTAATAATAGGTATTAATGGGGGGACTATAAGTCACAATTGTGTTAACTTCACGTGCTAATAACCGTCCGGCTCTTTATTAGCGCTTTTAACTTTCGATATATTGCATTATCGCGGATCTAAAGCAAACATAAAGTTCAAGATTGGGGAAGCATACAAAGCGCATGCCGCCCGAGGCCTCAGGAATCGGGCTTTATCAGCACACAGCACACGTGAAGTGTGCCCTCAATGGGTGATGAGGAATGGAAGAAGCATAAATATGGCCCATAAACCCCTAAACCACAGAACTGTGGTTACTAACTTGCGACCGCCAATCATGATTAACATCTTATATGGCCATTAGGACCGTAAAACAATAATGCGATAATTTGTTAATTGTTTAAATACTCGCAATTCGTTTTAGAAAATTTGACAGTAAAATATTATTATGCAATAACAAATGCCATAAACTCAGATACAAGAACGACTATTGGCATTTGAGGTAAAGGTGCAAATTTTATGATGTGGACTCTGAAATAAAACATCCACTGTCCCCAAGGTGCTTACAAAAAGTATGATAAACAAGAGCCTAAGACTTGAATGATAGACAGTGGGAAAGAGCTGTCAAAGAATTCTTTCACACAAGAGAACTGAAAGTTCTAAAACCTCGCATGCTCCATGAATCCGGAAAACTGCCTTAAGGTATGGTCAGTTATGCAAACAATTTACACACAAATTTGAGGAATTTCAAAAGCATTTCTTTTCTTTTTTGGAAATAAGGGAATGTTATAATTTTAATTTAATTTAGTTTATTACTCTGCATAAATAATTGTATTTGCACAAGGGTTGGTTTTGTTTTTAATACGAATATTCTATAATGATTTGAATTCACATTTGCTTTACACATTCCACATTCCAATTAGATTTAATTCACTTTGGCGATTTATCACAAATGTGAAAATGTTGCAGAGCTCAATCTGAATAAATATAAATTATCGCATTTAGAGTTGCAATATAGTAAGAGAAGCATCGAATTTTATAATACCTCCTATAATATTCTGTAATTCAATTGAGTTACAATAAAGCTTCATAATTCGTATTATAATATTTCCAATTTCTAGCTTGATCTTTTTTCTAGTTAGCAAAATAATAGCTCCAGTTTAGTCTCTAACTAATTATTGAGCTTGCTCGTGAATGTTATTTCCACAATTTAACAGTTGAAAGTAATTTCAATCAGAAACCGCCATGTAAGTGAAACCATGCGAGTAATTTTCACGCTATCGTGACATGAACACATTACAGCCATAGCCCGCTAATTGAAAAGACACCAGCAATCAGTCAGAAATAGATATAGCCGGGTCCCAAACTGATTTATTCGCATGCCTAACTCGTGTTTGTAAATGAATAAAAATATACAAGTATTGTGAGCGGGAAGTACATTTAAACGATGAAAGATAGTGTGATTTCATAAATGTATTTCAATATTTTGCAGATTTCATAATACCGCAACGTGTTATATTGTCGATAATGGGCTTTCTGGCGATCTTGAATGCGTATACGATGCGAGTGTGTCTCTCGCAGGTCATCACAGTGCTGGTGATGAAGAAGAACTCGACGGGAGAGGAAGGCGATAAGGGTTATTGCCCAGCTGACGATTTGGATTCCTCAAGCAGCGTAAGAAACACTCCCACTTCCCCACTTGCCCCAATTCTCACTGGGTTGTACACTTTATAGACCGGAGGCACGTATCAATGGTCGGAACAACTGCAGGGCTTGATCCTATCCTCCTTCTATATTGGATATATTGTGACTCACATACCCGGCGGCCTGTTGGCCGAGAAGTTCGGCGGCAAATGGACTCTGGGACTGGGTATATTATCCACCGCCGCATTCACGCTGCTGACACCGCTGGCCATTAACAAAGGCGACTCGGATTGGCTGATCGTGACACGCGTGCTGATGGGTCTGGGCGAGGGTACAACCTTTCCAGCGTTAAGTGTGCTGCTGGCCAGTTGGGTGCCGGCGAAGGAGCGCGGCAAGCTGGGCGCCCTGGTCTTGGGTGGCGGCCAAGTAGGCACCATATTGGGCAACAGTCTGTCGGGTGTGATAATAGAGGCCTACGGCTGGGAAGTTGTGTTCTATTTCTTCGGTGGCCTAGGCGTTGTATGGTTCCTCATTTTCGTAAGTACTGAGAATTAGAGAAGTGTGGGAGTTCCCGTTTTAAAACCTAACACTCCATTTACAGTGTGTGCTCTGCTTCAGTGATCCGAGCAGCCATCCCTTCATCAAGCCGACGGAACGCGAGTATCTAATGAAGGAGATCGGCAATATTGATCGCCACAAGAACCTGCCTCCCACTCCGTGGAAGGCCATCCTCACCAACCTGCCGATGTTCGCTCTGGTGAGCGCCCAAATCGGCCATGACTGGGGCTTCTACATTATGGTCACTGATCTGCCCAAATACATGTCCGATGTCATGCAATTCTCCATTACCGCCAACGGCCTCTACTCCTCCCTCCCTTACGTCATGATGTGGATCGTCTCGATTGGCAGCGGCTTCGTTGGCGATTATCTGATCACCCGCAAGATTATGAATACTACGAACACCCGAAAGGTGATGACCGGTCTGGCTGCCTTCGGACCCGCCATATTCATGGTGGCAGCCTCCTATGCTGGCTGCGATCGCGTCGTTGTGGTCGTACTCTTCACTATCTGTATGGGTCTCATGGGCGCCTACTATGCTGGCATGAAGCTCAGCCCATTGGACATGAGTCCCAACTATGCTGGCACTCTGATGGCAATCACCAATGGAATTGGTGCCATAACTGGTGTCATCTCACCCTATCTAGTGGGTGTTATGACCCCCAATGTAAGTGAACCCCAGAGCTTTCAAGATATCATATTAACTCTCATCCGATTGCAGGCCACACTTTTGGAATGGCGTACAGTTTTCTGGGTGGCCTTTGCCGTGCTGTTCGTCACTGCCATTATCTACTGTATCTGGGCCTCGGGCGAGGTGCAACCCTTCAATAATTCAACCATTGTGCCGCGTTTCGTCGATTTTGAAGTGGAGGAACGCAAGCCCGAGCGTGAGAAGAACCCCGCTGCGCAGCATAGCACCTAAGAAACCCCAACCATGTGCCATTCATCTAATCTATTCTAGTTATAATGTCCCCCAAAAATGAGTTGAATTTCTAAAATTTGTTTAGTCGAAGAATTGTTATCGTATTTCCAAAGCTTGTGTTACTAACTCATAAGTTCCACACTCCACCCCCCACTTCATTCCACTCAAAATCTGCCAACTCAGTTGTAATATTGTATGGCGACCATATAGCCATTAGTCGCCATAATCGCCAGTTACTACTTTTAAGCGAATTTACGTCTTACGGAGTCTAGTATTCCAATGCGCAACATACTCTCTTAATTAATATTAGGCAGTATTTGAAAGTGAAAGAAACTAACAACAAAAACATGTTCATCTTAGGCTTAAACCTTAATCTGCTCCCCAGAGAGGAGAGAAGTACCTTCACACTATACATCCATATACCATATATACATACGAGTAAATGCGACTTGTCGATGATTGTACTACAAAGAAATTTTAATTGTTGATCAATGTGTAACGTATTTTTAACGTTCTTGTTGAAAGATATTTGTTTTTATTATTATATATATAAAATAATTATTTACATATGTAGTTGAGAAATAAAGTGCATAAAGAAATGAAAACGAAACGAGAATTATCCGATTTACGGAACTCAAAACTCCGTCTACATTTGTCGTCGCACGAATCTGGAGAAGTACAGAGGCTAGAGTCGCCAGGTTCTTCAAAGTCCGAGAGAAATATTTGTACAATCACCAAATCTGTTAGGCAGGATGATGTGGTATCTGCGAAGACTTATCCTTTAGCTTTTCTTAGTGTGTCTGAATACACATACTCTTGTATGTATATTTTTATTAATGCTTAGCTTTTCCTGTTTATCACTCACTCAAAACACTACACACATGAAAACATGGCGGAGCACATGCAGATCGAGCAGCCCAGTTGGGGGGAAAAGGTGTCCAAATGTAAGTTAGTACCCATACGTATCAGGTATGCAGGACTTCTGGTTCAACCCTAATCCCCAATAGGCTGTCTGTTGCCGCAACGCGTAATTGTGGCCCTTATGGGATTTCTCTGCATTGTGAATTGCTATACGACACGGATCTGTCTGTCCCATGCAATTACCGTGCTGGTTATACGAAAGAATACGACCGACAATTCAACTTCTTCGGAGGAATCCTATTGTCCGCGCGATCCGGATTTTGGGGATACCAAGGAATCGGTGAGAGAAAATGGCAAGGTCTTAGATGACTCGGCACTACTTGTACTTCCGATTATTTTTGCAGCCATCTGGAATCTACGACTGGTCGGAGCAAGTGCAGGGCATTATTTTGGGAGCATTCTATGTCGGATATTTGCTCACCCATCTGCCGGGTGGCATTTTAACGGACAAATACGGCGGCAAATGGGTGCTTACCATCGGAATGGCATTCTCGGCGATCGCATCAATCTTCTCACCATTGGCCATCACACAGGGCGGGCCCTGGGCTCTGGCTGTTATGCGTGGTGTCATGGGCATTGGGCAGGGTGTGGTTTTTCCGGCTCTGGGCGGCATACTGGCCTGTTGGGTGCCCGCCAAGGAACGCGGCAAATTGGGTGCTTTAGTCATGGGTGGCGGCACCTTGGGCAGCATTGTGGCGAACTCCTTGTCGGGCGTACTTTTAAAGGCCTTTGCTTGGCCAATTGTCTTCATATTCTTCGGTGGACTTACAGTCCTTTGGTGCATTCTATTTGTAACTTCTTTGCTCCCCCAATTAGTTCAGAGCCTGGAAATAAGGTCTGTTTCTATTTATAGGTACTACTATGCTTCAGCTATCCCACTACTCATCCGTATATCAAAATGAAGGAGATCGAGTATCTATACAACGAGATGGGCCATTTGGGCCGCGTACACAAGCCGCCGGTGCCGTGGTGTGCCATTATGACCAACAAGGCTATGATAGCCATGGTTACAGCACAAATCGGACATGATTGGGGTTGATTGTTGCATAATCAGGTATCCCCAAGCATTTCATTAATCCAATTTTCAAATCCTAGGTCTCTTTGTGATTGTAACGGATCTGCCAAAATATTTCTCCGGAGTTCTGGGCATGTCAGTGCAAAAGAATGGCTTTCTCACATCTCTCCCCTTCATTCTGTTCTGGGTCGTGTCCATAATCAGGTAATCATTATTATCAATTACCTACTCGTACAGGGATGTCGTAAATCCAATTACTAGATATTGTTATAATTATCCGAAAGCGAATACTCAATATTCGATGTGCGTGGTTATATTTGTACATATGAGCAGCATGAATCGAATATGGGGATATATCTATCTTACCGTTGGTCTGTTTGTTCGTCTTATCTTCTCTTATCTATACCCAGATCCAGTTTTTCACAAGTCATAGGTATATAGCCTCATTATTATAAATGCATAGCTGCTATAGGAACGATCACGCATTCTAAAGATTAACCCAAATCGGGGCAGTGTATATCATGATTATGCTTTATGCTTTTTTTCTGGATAATTTTTGTCTTTTTTTAGCGGATTTGTTGGCGACTGCTTGATAGTAAGGAACTATTTGAGCGTGACAAATGTGCGAAAAGTAATGACTGTAATAGGTTGGTTCTCAGACTCTTAGCACAAATATGTAATTCCTGCTTATTAACTACTTTCACAGCTGCTTGGGGTCCTGGCGCGTTTATGGTGTTGGCCTCCTACGGCGGCTGTAATCGAATGTTTGTGGTCATTATGTTCACCTTGTGCATGGGTTCGATGGGCCCCTACTTTACCGGAATGAAGCTCAGTCCACTAGATATGAGTCCAAACTACGCAGGCACCATAATGGCTATAAGTAATGGCATTGGCGCGCTAACCGGTATATTGGCGCCCTATTCCGTCGGCCTCTTGGCACCCAATGTGAGCATTAAACGAACACTTTCAAGATAGGAATATAATAATAAAATAATTCCTTCTTGCAGGGCACAATGATAGAGTGGCGTTATGTGTTCTGGCTGGCCTTTGCTTTGCTGTTCATAACGGCGATCGTCTTTATAGTGTGGGGCTCGGGCAAAGTACAGCCCTATGATGATCCTGATTACGCCGAGAAACGTCAGGCCGAGAAGGCCATCAAGAAATCAGAGAAAGAGAAGGAAAAATGAATTGAAAAAAGGCAACATAACAGTCATATATTAATGCAGATTATTAAACTTATATACATAATTTATTACGTACTTTTAATTTTATAGTAACATTATCTAGGTTTACGTACATACATACACAAATAATATGTATATAACATTTACATTCGTATGCTTGGTATGGTATTATAATTATTTAAATAGAATCAGAATCGTTTCAAACACTGCACTGTCTATTTTACAAATATATGATGTGTATGATTGGTATTTCTGGTATTTCAACAAGTTATATCGAAACGCTTGACTTTCTTCGTTTAACCTAAGCATAAACTAATACAAAGCCTTGTATGCATAACAAAGGGAAAATTGGGATTGGGATGATGGTTATAAAAGTTAATTGGCTAATCAGCATTTTTTCTGTCTGGAGTGAGGATGAGATGATATTGGATATCGGAACTGTTTTACATGCCGGCTTGCGCAAGAAAACCGGACTGAGCCATCGCTGATACCGAATTCATATCGATGCCCAATTTGCGCGTCACATTGATTTGCGCGACAGCAGCATTGCGCAGCGAATAAACATGTACCAACTCCGCCTGGCTCTTGCAATAGAGGAGTGCCTTTTCAAACAGCTCGACGGCACGTTTCAATTGAGCGCGTTGCACCTCCACAGTGCCAAGCGTTTCGTAGGCCAGTTCGCATTTGGGGTCGACCTCGATGGCACGAGTCAAGAGGTCCACAGCTGTGTCGATATCTCCACGCCATTGTAGCATCATGATGGCCTGATGGACGAGTAACGCCGGATTGGTGGGAGCCAGTTTCATGGCCTTCTCATAAAAATGCTGTGCCTGCTCGAATTTCTGCTGATCGACCAGCACCTGGGCCATCAGACTGTAGCACTCAACGCAAGTGGGGAACTTGTCGATAGCCTTCTGAAACTCTTGCATCACGTTATCGAGACGGATCTGATCACCGGCCAGCAGCGATAGACGGTACTCCGCATAGCTTCTCTGGACAAATGCAATCGCGTGTTCCGGCGCAATTTTCACAGCCTTGTCGAACTCTTCCAGCGCCGGCTCGATCTGTTCCAACAGCAGCAGGATTTGCGCACGCTGATGATAAACATCTGGATTGTCCGGCTTCAGCTTTTGGGCCTCATCAAAATCATTCAAACCCTTTTCGCGCTGATCCAGCTGGATGAATAGGGATGCACGTTTCATGTAGGCGTATGCGCGCAATGTGGGATCTGCATAGTCTATTTAAGTCAAAAGTAAATATGAATTAATGATTAAAGTTTCAAAAAAACGCACACAATTGCATACCATTGTTGATGATGGCATCGAAGTCATTTTTGCTATCATTGTAGGAGCCACAGAGCAAGTGGAAGGTACCGCGCATCAATAAAGCCTCCACCTTGTACTGTGCCTCCGCCTCGGAGGATTCGATTTCCTCGGTGCAGGCTGGTATAATCTCGTCGAATTGCTGTTCTTCGAAGGCGCGACGAGCGCGTAGGAAACCACGCGGTGGCGTATCCGCTACTGCCGATGGCGGCACATTCATCGTCTGCAGCGGATCGGCAATAAAGGAACGCATATAGGTCGTAATGAAAGTCGCAGATGGTACGACAGGCACGCGCTCTTGCATGCCCTTCTCGGCATCCATACGTCCGGTCTCTTTAAGCACGCGATCAGCGAACATGATTGTGTTGTTGTTCTGGAACATTTCCAGTATACAGGTGGCCGTTACATCATCCAAGCAATCGACCATATTTTTTGTCGCTTCGTAAGCACGTGCTCGTCGATAGTAGGCCTTGGCATAACGCGGATTGTATTCCAGGGAGCGTGAGCAATCCTCTTTCACCTTGTTCCACTTCTTCAGCATCTCGTAAGAGGCGGCGCGGTTCTGATAGAAAATAGCCATGTCCGCGCGGTGCTCGGCCGGGCATTTATCGATGGCTTTGTCGTAAAAGCTGATGGCTTCATCGTATTTGCCGTTTCGATAGCAGGTGTTGCCCTCGTTCTTGTAGTTGTTGGCCTCCTTAAGTGGCGACAGCTTTTCGCCTAACTCGGCGGATTTCTTCTTCCGCTCCAGCTCCTTGTCGGGTGCTGTGCCATCAATCGAGAGCGCTTGCTTCTCCAGACCCAGTTTGCTGCGTGACTTGCTGTCTCCACCGTCGATGCCCTTTTTCTTGGACTTAGAGCGCGTGTGCTCATCGGTCGTGCCGGACTTCCCATCGCTCGTTTTATTCAAAACATACATGCCCAGTCCAATGGCCAAGGGCGTGCCGAGTATGAGCGCCACTTGCCATTTGTTTAACTTCAGCGATCCTAAGCTGAGGGCCATTCTTAAAGCTGTCTGTGTCTGTGTACCTGTAAGTGAAGTTTATTGTGTAATAGCGTTATCACCACACACAGCGCTCAGTTTATTGCTCGCCCATCTGTGCAAATGCAAGAAACGCCGGGCCGGGGTGTTTCTACCGACCTAACCCCATTGATTTTTTCAGCATATAAATGGGCACATATACGCCGCCCATTGATAAGTATACTTGCCTTAGAACTTAATACTGCAATGAATTTTGCAATTATGAACAACTATTTAGGCTCTATTCAGTGAAAAATATAGTCGCACAATTTTTAACGTTTCTATTACTTATAACTAAATAGCCTGCTTTGCGCACTATGCGAGCATACAAGTAGCAGAAGCAGTGTTGTAAAACTGCTGTACAGATACCGTTACTAAACACAGCCACCCATGGAGTACGATGAATTAGGGAGGAGTCATGTCATTTGTCAGGCGGTAAGACAGAAACCGTTATAATAATGACACCACACCTTATTTTTAAGCCACCAGCGAAAGAAATTACTTTTTACAATATACTATATGTACATGGAAATATATTTTAGTAATTAATTCACTAGACGCGTGTGCTTAGGAGCGTATTTGCTCCTCAGACTCTGTGTTGTGTCCCGGCGCAGGTGCCGTTGGCTTATCTGTGTGCAGGAACTTCTGCAGCTTTTCCGCCTTTACCAGGCCATGGTCATCGGCGTAATGCATGAGATCACATATTATGGGCGATTCCACAACCAAGATGTACTGACATGTCTTTGGTTCCAGCAAGTACATGGAAACGGCTGTGCCACTGGTCGTTACAGGCGTACAGGTCAGCTTGACGTCAACTTCTCGGGGCAAGCCGGTGCGATCACAGTGGGTTCCCTTCTCGTAATGATGCCATATGGAGGAGGTGAAGCCGGGGCGTCTGGCTCCTTTGTCGGGATTTAAGGCTACCCATTGTCGATGTGCTGCCTCCGAAAAGAAGCCCAAAAAGAGCTCGACATCGTTGTTTTTGTCCTTGTGGAATTGTCGAACGTGTTTTCCATAGCAAAACTCATATTTCCACCAGCCAGTGCCCTATTTAAAACAAAGTGATTAAAGCAAAAATCTCATGGAGAAACCATTAAGTTTTTCTTACACCAGTGAGGCAGTTTTTGCCCGAAATAAATTCCTTGATGGGTGACAAATCATTGAGGGGTGGTGCTGGCGGTGCCGGTGGAGGTGAGGCCAATGTGGTGCGTGATAAAAGAAGTTGATGATAATCGTTTTCAACATCAATATCGCCATTGGCTATCAGCTCTAAAACTATTTTGTCTACATCACTCGAATACTTGAATGTAACTAAATCGCCATCTGCCTTTGGCCACAACTTTGCTGGTGGTTTGGATTCCTTCGAGATGAGGAAATCATGTTCGCTCTCCTGCCATTCGCGCAGTTCCTGTCGCAGCATACTGAGCGGCTTATGTGGTTTCGTTTCTGAATTGAAGCACTTAATAGAAATCTCTTTAGATTCTTCCGCGTGGAACGCAGGAATGACGCATAACACGGATGTCAATATGATAGCTTCATAATTACAAGATGAAGTCTCTTTGAATGAATAGATATCATCCTTGCCATGTGGATAACAAACATAGCGAACCAGCGTTGTGCGAGGCGCATCTATAATGTCGCACATTGTTCCATCGCTGAACTCCATTTCGAAATACGGATACCTCGTGTTGTCGATCTTTAAAGTCTTGTATTTTGGCTTGTTACCACCCTTGCGCTCTACTTCCCAAGCCTTTGTCAGCAGCTCAGTCTTCTCCTCGCTCCATTTCCCCAAATAGTATTCTTGAAACTTAACATTTTTACCTTCGCGCTCCTCATGGTATTGACGCACGTGATGGCCATGACAGATTTCATACGACCAATACGCTTCGATGCGATATGAACAGGTGGGCGCCGCAAATATAGGCTGCAGTAACCCAATTGGTGCTGGAAAACAAACACAGAAATAATAACTAGCATTCAACTTGCGGTTCTGCTAACGCCTTACACAGCTCTGGCTGGTTTGCTTTCTCCTCCTCCTTCGGCGTCTCAAGGGCTGGTATGAGACACTCATACTTTTCCTTTTCGTGTGTGTAAAATGTGCGTATTTGATTGCCGAGCTCCTAGTTGTCATTTGCAGGTATTTATTGATTAAGCTTTTGAATGAATGGCACCTAATTCTCACCTGTTGACCTGGTAAATCCGGCAATTCAAAGTCTATCTTATATAGAATGGAGTCGTCAAAGTCTTTTGCTTCGTGGGCCATTCCATTGTTCAGAAGAAGTACAAACATTGACCACAGAAATGTTTTTATTTTTAGTCCCTCCATTTTAGCCCTTTTAATAATTTTTACCCTAATTCACATGCCAGGATATTATTCGCTAAAAGTATGGAGTTAGAGGTCTTTTTTTACAATTGCTCGCTCCTGCCACTAACAAAACACGTCAATAGAATACAATAAGATGGAACTGCCAACGTGGTATATTTTTAACATATGATTTATATTGTGAATGCGCGGTTTTATTGTGAGCGAAACATAAAAGTGGCAGTTACTGTGAATGTATTACTTTAAATGTGTTTCACGCGCTACTGATTAACAATAAATTTTTGGAATATACTTTTTGAAACTGAAGTCAGTCTTAGTCAAAAATTGCAGTTAAATTCTAAATCATTCAGTATTTTTTTGTTCTCAATTTTATTGAACCGAATAAAATGGTTGTTATAAATTAGATTGATTTGTATAAAAACTAAATATATTTCACCACTTTCTAGCAATTGACATAATTCTGTCTTTCTTATAATGATCATATCTATAACCTTTACCTACTGATTGACACCTAATCAAAAAAAAAAAAAAAAAAAAAAAAAAGAACCCGAAGGCATCAGTTCTAAGGCAATATTCTAGATATTTTCCTATAATAATAAAATGCGCAAGGAAATCTTCAAAAAAAATTGGTTGAATTGGTTGAATAATGGTATTTTATTTCGTCCTTGTATAAAAAATTTCCCGTAACAACTATTTAGTTCTATCTAGCTTTGTGCTGTCCGTCCAGCCAGCCTCTTTCGCAGATTCAGATTGATGGTCCAACGGCAGCTTATCAATGGCATCCAGTATAAATTTGAGAGAGTGGACCGTGCGTGGAATCCAGTCAGATGCGGGGGATTTAGGGGCTGGGTCTGCATCATCGCCATCATCGGCGAAGTCCTCAGAGAGAGAACGCCCCGCGCCGAGGTAATCCTGATAGTCGTAATCCGCCGTCAAAGGATTGACTTTAGAGTAATAGATTGCCGCAAAGGTTGAGTAGATGATCAAACACGCTGTGCCAACCTGAAGTTCAGAGTCGCCATGTATAGGGATTTCCGTAGATTATTCGTAATATTTACTTACTTGAAAGAAGGCCCAAAATTTGTAGGAACCCTCTGTGATGACAAAATCGTAGTAGCCGGTAAGCGGATCGCCTTTTATGTAACGCCCCTCGCCAACATCGTTGGATGTGGAGGACGATGTGTCTGTTGCACGTTTTTCCCGAGAACCCACCACCCCATCCTTCTGTGCGGCATCCCCTTTGGCTCCCTTGCGAGACTCCACACTTTCTGTCGCCTCGGTGTTGGGTTCTTCTGAGGGTTTCTCTGTTGTTGTTGTCATTGTTTTCTTTGTTGTTGTTGTTGTTGGCTCTGCAGTTGTCGTTTTGGGGATCTTGGCCTTTTTGGTCTGATTACGCTGCGCCGCGTTTTGGCTTTCAATGCGCGGCGGTTTTTTCGAATTAATTCTCGGCTTCTTCTGCTGCTGCTGCTGCTGCTGACGCAGACGTTGTTTCTCTGTCTGCTCCTTCTTGAACTGCTCCACACTCTTCTGGTGGTGCTCGTGAATGGCTCTCCAAGCTCCCGCCAAAGCCTGATAGATTTCCCAAATTTGCTTAAGGCTCTTCAATAGAGTCACCAAAGTGGATTCCTCTTGGACAGGAGCCACCGCATGTGCATTAGGGTTCGCTGCCGCTGCTGGTGCTGCCTGTTTTGTCAGAGTTTGAGGAGCTTGTGGCCTGTAGCCCCAGTCGTACAGGTCGTCGTAGGCTGCCGGAACACTGCGGAATATCAACAAATTATAAAGTGTCTAGGAGTTAAAGCTACATCCACATCATTCCCATGTTATACTCCACCCGAGTTGATTTAAAATAACAATTTCAAAGAAGAAGCAAATGATATTTAAATCGGTCTGAAATTCGGCATTTTATGTTTTAAATTAAGATATTTAAATCGACTTTCATTTCGCATTTGGAGTTTTAAAAAATGTACTTACAAGAAAAATTAAATTTCCAAGAAGAACTTTAACAGAAAACACAAATGCTTGACTACCAAATTGGTAGGGGTATTTTAAGATCGATTTTAAATTTATTGTTGAGTTGTTTGGTTTTTTTTTCAATTCCGCTAACAAACCTATGTATATTTTTTGTTATCTCTTAAATTTGTCAACATATTCCAGTTTCTTGGGCTTACTTACCGATTCTGGTTTGATGGAAGTGGTGAGAGCTTTCTGTTATTATTTTCATCGGCACTTGGATGTATGGGCAGCTTGGTGGCATATTTCCACTGACCGCTGTAGTAGGAGTCGTATGGGCGATTTTGCGCCGCGCGGCCCTCACCCACTCCGTCCGGCCCTTCTTCGCTTGAGAAACTTTCCCGAGAATCGTCCAACTCGGCCGCTGAGTCCGAATCTGACCGACTGTTGAAATAGTCATCCACCACATCGTAGTACGGGCTTTGCTCGTAGGAATCGGCCCGACCTCTCGGAGGTCCTATCGGATCCTGACGCTCGGCCATAACTGGTGGTGCGCTCTCGGCGTGAACGACCACTGCGCGCTGCTCCTCATAATAATTATTGGAAACACTTTCGTTTTTCGCTTCTCTGGCGATACGCTCTACTGTGGCAACTATCTCGTCGCTCGTTTTATTCCCAGGAATAAAAGGATGCCACAAACGGCTTATGATGAATGATTCGCTGGAGTTGGTCCGCTGGCTTTTAGCCTCGAAAACAGCCACTGTGGTGAGCGCGAAAATAAACAGCGAGGTGGCCAATACCAGCAGGAAGACGCTGGTGAGTTGTTTACGGTTCGTCGACATATCTTCGTAGTGAGGCAGGCTCATTCTGATCAAAACTTCTACTATATAGATGCACTACTATATTCCTTGAGAGACACGCCCGCTCGCATCGGATTTCACTCGCCAACTAACTGCGGAGTCTGGCGCAATGTGCCAGAAAAAGTCATCCAACTCAACCGAAAAAAAGAAAACTGTTCAAATCATGGACCCCAGGGGTTCTATGTATGTGTGGTGTTAATGCAAGAGAAATGTGTCTATCCACTACATTCGCATTCGAAAGATACGCGTATAACTAGAACGATCGCAGCCTCGTTCAAAGGTGCTAATCACCTGCCCGCGTGCATCATCGATATTGTGCCACTGCTCCAGATTTAATTTAACGGTTCATCCACCATCGAGCGGTCCATCAATTAACATCTATGTTTGCATCTGCACCTAGAAAAATGCAACCTAATCTAGCTCTACTTTTGCCGGAAAGCCGGAATTATTATTTAATAATATTATATTGCCCAACTTTTGCCCTCGAAATGGGGGAAATATTTAACTTAATAGCAGAATATATTTTCCACAATGTTCTGTTGAAGGGCCCGATCTATATTTGTTTAATAGGAAAATATAAAAATTCCTAATTTAAGAAAAGCATTTTATAAATATTTTTATAATTATTATTATTTTTTTAAATAAGGTTACAGCGTTTTTACTTTCTATACCTTTTTTGTTATCATGTTTTCATATAACGTTTTTTTTCCAGTGCAGCAATCGTCTGGGAATAATATTTGCGCCGTGTCGTTACAATTTTGTTTTTCAATTTCCATAGTTTCTGCGGGTAATTGAGTATCAAAGTTCTTTTTCGCGGTGAAAGTGTGTTCGTAGGGCTCTTCACCCCCGACTCTATTTCTAATACTAGGCGTACGGTCTGGCACGCGTACCAGTAGATCACGACACTGTTAATATATTTGGAATGCTGCAGTCCAAGTTTGACAAGCACGGCCCGATTTCTAATAGGACTTTTTCACAAATGTAATACAGTAAAATGTCTTCAAGTGGAAAACTTGTCCAATTAAATTAAGCAAAGAGAAATGAACAAATTGATAAATATTTAAAAATATCTACATAATTACAACTATATAAAAAAGCGTTCTTTTTATATATGTATTTGTTCGATATTTCTATCATGGTTGGTCGGGAAAGGCCTAGATTTAAATATCCGGATTACCGAGATCAAACTGTAATTAATTCTGTAAAGGGGGGTGGGGGGGGGGGGGGGGGGGGGGGGGTGGAGGGGCCCTAAGGTTATCTAACTAAAATAAAGTTTTATTTTATATGTCTGCTTTAAAAATTATGATTATACATAGATACATAATCTTTGCTTCACTTGACTGCCCTCCTCTGCGCTTCTCATACGAGGCACCTAAGCAAAGCCACTCCAACATCGAAAACCAAGAAAATCAAATAAATTAAATTCAAAAGACTGCCCTCCTCTGCGCTTCTCATACGAGGCACCTAAGCAAAGCCACGCCAACATCGAAAACCAAGAAAATCAAATAAATTAAATTCAAAAGACTCCCCTCCACTGCGCTTCTCATACGAGGCCACGTCAGCATCGAAAGCCTTTAAAATCAAATAAATAAATAAATAATAATTGTTGGAAATTAAATTTAAAAGACTGCCCTCCTCTGCGCTTCTCATACGAGGAACCTAAGCAAAGCCACGTCAGCATCAAAAGCCCTTAAAATCAAATAAATAAATAAATAAGAAATCTTCAATATTCTGAAAGTTTTTTTGTAATGGCTAAAAGCATTACTGCGTCATTTATTTACTACGACGAACATTTTTTTTTTTTTGCATATAATTTGTTGTTAATATATTTGTTTGCCTTTTTCAACATTTCTTTGCCATTCTCCGCAAAGTCTATTTATTATTTTTTGTGGTATTCGTCAAAAAAGTTGTCTTCATAATCGAAAATGCGAGAATATTCCAAAACTGGAGTATTGTGAAATAAGTGAATGGTTGATAGAGAGAGAAAAACAACATCTTGTAGCAAACTTATCAGGTTGTCGCTACGAATTCGGTTTTGATGAGTCAACTATGTTTATATTGACAACTGCGTAAATAAAAAGCCGGCAAGTTTGGAGGCGAGAGAGCCAAAAATCACGTAAACAACTAAAATATTAGGGTGGTTCCTAAAACGAAAAATATACAAACATACGTAGGAGTACTACATGGTCAGTAACCGATTATTTACTTCAAAGCAGTTGTAATAACGACTTTTATCAACTTAGTTACATATATAAAGGAATATCATATTAATTTCTTCCGCAACATGCATTAAATTCAACTGTTCAACCAGTTTTGTTGATTTTGAAAGGTCAGAATTACATTGCCACACACAGTGGCGTAGCTAGGAAAATTCAATATCAATCAATGGTTTAAATTAGCAACAAAATGGTATCCAGTGGTACCCAATGGGTACTACCCATCGAATCGAATATACATATACGTAACAGATCTGTTGGAAAATTATATATGTATGTACATACATACATATGTATGTATGTAAATAATGTGAAGTGTTCCTCCTCAGCAATACTGAAAATGTTTTTTTTTTGCAATATATAGTTATTTTTGCATTTTTGCTGATTGTTCGTAGAATTGATGGGAAAATGATATTCATTCTAAAGCCAAACTTTTAACGAAAACGGTTATCTAACCAGCTCTGTGGAAATTTTTTGTAAGAAACGGTATTAATCGGAAGCCGCAAGGCCCCATAAACACAAACACCTCTGTATACACACACATGCATACACATATGAATGCATGTATGTGTATGTACATACATATTACACTGATGTGTACAAAGTTTTTGTTTGTGTGATTACAGCAACAAAGAAAAAGCTGTTTCTGTTACATTGGCGGCGGTCGACTTCGAGGACTGAGTGCAAATGAGTTCAACTAAAAGTCTATAAATACGCACATGCACAGACACATCACACATGCATTCATACATACATACATATGTATGTGTGTAAATGCATTTAAGGCAGATATACAAAACTATTTTATGATTGCGCATAAAATACGACAAGCAATTATTATACTACTTTTTTTAAACTATTAATTCCTTTTCACATGTATGTATGTTTAAATACATACATATGTATGTACATACAAATATGAAGGGTAAGATGTGCCTTGCATCGCAATATGGTGAAAAATAAAAAGCCACCTCATCAGTTTTGTGTTTCCTTTTATTTTATAATCAATATTTAACTCAATCAACTTCATAATAATAAACGAACTAGACTTAAATTTAAGTTAAATAGTAATTATGTATTATGTTTTCAAAATTGTAGCGTAAACGAATACAGTTTTTTTGTTTTTGTCTTTGTGAAAGCATAAATGGATAAAAATGATTATAACATTCACAAATTTCTCTCTCTCCACTCTTCTCGTATTCGCCCACTACCTCGAACGCCAAAGCACTGCAGCAGAGACAGTCCTGCTGCTGCCGCCCTCTCCTCTTCTTCTTTCCTTCTCACCTTTAGTTGTTTTTCAATTTCTACCTTCTTTTTTGTAACTAAAATTCGATATGGTTTCTTCGCACTTCTTTTTGCTTAGGTATTTCTTTCTTTCTACGTCTTCTTTCGTTGCTGATGGGGTCCATCAATTTTTGAAAGCCTTTTTGTTGTTGTTGGTGTTCATGAGCTTTGTCAATAGTTTTCTTGAGTGTCCTGAGGGGTCGAAGTGGTTTGTGTGCATTTTGGCTTCTTTCTTCGAGCGCTGCTTACCGCTGTTGCCACAGAACATGTGCTTGTCATGGTCAAAATTGTAGTGCTCATATTCATCAAAGTGGGCTTCAGACATCTTGTTGGTTTTAATTGAGATCTTTTATATTTTAAAGTATTAATATACTCTTCTTTTTGTCTTGTTTCTGTTAGTCTTTCCTATTTCTTTAGCCGTATATGTATGTATACATATAAAAGTTAAAATATTTGTGTGTATCACTTGGGTACTGACGCGCGTTCCAACACAACCTATTCGTAGTCAAACACGAATGGAAATAATTCGACCAGTTGTCGTTCACTGGCTTATATACACGTCGAGCTTTTAAGTTTAATGGCCATGCAAACGTCTCTCTCCTGCCAACGGTTCTCTTCAGGTGCTGTGTTTAAAAATGGAGTTGTAATTATCTAAAAACTTAATTGCGAAATTGTTTGAATCTTCAAAATTGTACGTTTTCAAAAGATTTGAATCGAAATGTTAGCAATGAGAATGAAAAGCTAGTGAAAAATATCATCAAGTGGCAACTCTGCTATTGCTTTTTGTGAGTGAATGTGTTCTCAGTACTCTCCAGAGAAGCTTTTTCGAAATTTTGCTGCGCAATTTAATTCACTTCGTTGTTTACAAAGAACCGCGTAAAAGAAACGAAAAACAACACGCCAAACATATTTTTTGTTTTCTCATTAATTTAAAATATGCATGCATTTCAGATTATTTTCAGCAAATACACGTTTTTTAAAGTGAAAAAATCAATTTATTCTTATATAAGAACTTGCCGCTTGACCCCGAGTGCGCAATCGGACTGGAATTGCATCACTTGTTGCACTCCACACAATCATACGAACATATGAAATGTATGTACATACATATGTATGTATGTATGTGTGTACTCTCAACCAGGACCTACGTCACACGTAGGCGTTAATATTTGAATATGCATTTAAATGTTCCATACGATGCCTTTTTATTGGCCACATTTAGACAACGTGCCGAGGAACACACACGCTGAGTTAGAAAAACCTTGGCCGCGTTCTTTTTGACGATTTTTGTTTTGCTTTCTCAAATATATTTATGTATGTATGTATAAACATACAGCGTGTAGGAAAAGCTTTTAATTTGTTGCTTCGCTTAATTATTTACCACATTGTTTTTATTCTGGCAATAACGTATATTTTGTATTGTATGATGTATGTATGTATGTACAAGAATTTTGTTTTGTTTGCTTATCAGCTGGCCCAATAAGTCACAATCTAGAATTGTTACGCGCCACGCCGGGGTTTCTCGAACAGTCAAGTAGCTTCCTAAAGAATTGATGCCCTTCGTAACTTTTGTGGCGCAGTTGAATACAATATTTACAATATCAATTCAAAGATTATCTTACTACTTGGACGTTGGCTTGGGTAACAACGTCTTTAGACATTTCTCAGGTTTGGTTGCGGGTTTCCGATTTTTACGCGCCGTTCCCACTTCAACATCGGATGACATTTTTGGTAAAGTGTCGATTAGTGAGAAAGCAAAATCATCGGGCATTTTGTTTTCGAACGAACTGTCCACTGTCTCCGACAACTCCAGCTGGACAGCCTTCTCGGTGTGGACGCGTTGAACGTGCTCCTTAATTTTGTCAGAACGATGGCTCTGGAAACCACACAGCTGGCATTTGTACCGACATATTCCACTCTCCGTGTGTTTGAGGGCATGCCGTTTCAGATTTTTGCTTTGGCTAAATTTACACCCGCATATTTCACAGATGAACCCACGTTCCTGTTTATGCGTTTCTATGTGAAGCTTCATGTTCTCCTTTCGGTTAGCACGGTGCTTGCATCCGACCACAGGACAAGCAAAAAACTCGCCCGTGTGCAGTAGCTTGTGGGACTTGAGCGCCTTCATATGAGTGGTACTGTAACCGCAAACATCGCAGAGCATCTGCTTCTGCGGATTGTGGACTAGCATATGGTTATTCAGTCCCTGCTTCCACTTAAAGCCTTTGCCGCAGTGTGTGCACACATGCGGCGTTTCCGTGGAATGTTTGGGCTGATGGACCAGCAGAGCCGCACGGGTAGTGAAGCGATTGTCGCACTCGAGGCAGAAGAAAGGCTTCCGTAAGTCACCGGAATGTCGACGCAAATGTGTATCATATTCCCGCCAGTCTAGGAAGCCCACTTCGCACAGCGAACAGGTGAGATGCGACGGCTCACAACTGGTCATGTGGGTAATCATCTTTTGGACCTGATAGCACTTGAAATCGCAACCAATACAGTAATTTATTTTGCTGCTTGATTTAACAGCGCGCGGATTCTCTAGCTGTGGATTAGACGTACAAATAAACAATCAAAAAATACGATAGGAATTGAAATATTCTTTCCTTAAAATAGCTCTGCTGGCTTTCGAATACGACTTCCGGTGGGGGCTTCTGTGAGGACTGTAAATTCTCTTCCCGCTGGTTTGCCTTAGGCTCTGCAGTTCCGGGCTCATCCTTGGCAGGTTCTACTTCCGAGCCTATTTGGTATAAGTTTAACAACTCTGTGACAGCTAGTATTTTGGCCAACTCGCGAAAGTGCGGCTCGTGCTCCTTGGATATGGTAACGATGTCTTCATAGAAAAAGTCCACAATTGTGTGAAAGCAATGGCTGCATTTAAAATTTTGAATTGTCACTTTAAGCGGGTTGTGTATTGAGAATTTGTTTTGACTCTGTTGAAAATATGTGACGCCAATGAGCTGACTCTGTGCCGCCACTACACAAAAGTGTAGTTTTACAATATCGTCTGTATTCTCTAATTCCAGCATAAGATCGCAAAATTCGCCGCATCGACGCTGATTATTTAAGTAATTGGAAACCTTTGAGTGCAACGGCTGATGCAGTGTGGGCGCCGGTGATTGTAGCATTTCAATTGCAAAATTAACAACGACTTTGAAGCAATTGTAAACAAAAATGAAACTCAACACTCCGGACGAACAGCTGTTCAGGGTTGCCACACCGCGGACACTGCTTCGTCAACCATTCACAATAGATGCAAGCTACATTTGAGTGTGTATGTATGTAGCTGTAACGGACATTTCTTTATACGTACTCGTATGCATTATTTCAATAAAGGAAAAAATGTAATTACACATTCCAGGAAATAAATTCATTTTAAAAATAAGAAATGAGTAACGCACTCTGGAATGTTAATTTATTGTTTCAATTTCCAATCTGACCTTAACAAGAGAGCTGCATAATCTCATGGCTGCTGTTCCAACTTTAGTCACAAACTGGAGCCCGACTTGGCAAGAGGCGCGCGTTGTTTATCTTTTGAGTCGGAAGTTCTCTAAATAGAATTGATGCACTTAACAAATGTTAGTTGAAAACAAAAAAATATCAATTTAAACAATAGCTAGCAAAAAACCACAACATTTGTGCGTTGCCTTTTTTACTTGTACAAAACCTGCAACATCAATATTCACTGAGTTCCAACATCCGTGAGACTTTTTTGTTCTCTTTGCGTGTCAAAACCATATCTGCAGTTTAATTGTTTACATAATCTACATAAAATATGCTAACTCATGCCACGATACTACTACATAGACGCTTTTGATAACTATATTTAAGTAGTGCATGTGGAATAAATTATATCGTTTGAACTAAGCGAAAATAAGGCATTGACCTAAAATTTTAGCACAAGCCAACCACTCAGTGTGAAAAATAACGCCTAATTATGTGTCCAATTATGGAATGACATTTGTTTATTTGCTTGGAGAAGTACCGTTGCAATTGCTTACTCGCTAGATATCAACACACAGATGCACACACATATGCACTTGCAAACAAAGCCCGCGTTTTTTCCGGATGTACATGTGTGTGTGCGTATGTGTGTGTGCGTGATATGGAGCTAGAACTAAGCGGGCGCTAGACAGCCTGACACCGCGATTGGCTCCCGTGCTGCCAATTCATCAGCGTCGAAAAAAGCTAGATAGATATATAATTTAAAAGCTAAACAGTTAAAACAAATTAAAACATATCTAGCTCTATAGCCATTTGAATACGAAACACAAATCTTCAGTATTTTTTTGTATTATGTTTTTTTGTATTATTACATATATGAAAAAAATTAAAAAGAAATATTATATGAAATTAGAGGAGCTTCCGAAAACACTACATTTTCCAACAGCTGGAATTTTACAATTTTTTGAACTGTAGAATAGACGGAAAAAATAGCTAAATTGGCCAACCACTTTATGTCTGAGCTCAGAACAATTTGTGCGATTGTCGGAGACGGTTGATCCGTGCTAGAGAGGCTGTCGTTGGTGCTGATTAATGTATAGAGCAATCAGATCGGATTAGTGATAATCTAATAAAAACAATGCCAATCATGAGCACGTTGTTGCGAGTGTTTTTTCTTCTGGCATTGGCATTGGGAAGCGCGGCAAAGCCAGAGATAGATGCCGGGAAACTCAAACTCTGGCTGACCATAAGCGCGCGTAAAAGGTTTCTCGGTGTTTCTTGGAAGAATGCACCGGCTCGGGAGGGTGACAATGTGATAATAACTGTGCAGGATGCACTCAGTTTCGAGCAAAGGACACTACCAACGGGTACGCCTATAGCGAGCTTCGATAACGTGGAGGGCAGTGGCTCTGCCGGTAGTGAGGATCAGGCGGACTATGTGCCATTTCATGGCTACATCAGCAGGCCTACCACCGAAAATACTTCAACACCAATCAACTCTTTCGCCACCCCGGCACCGCGCCAATATTGGGTAGCAAATGGCGGTACCAATCCCATTGTCGCCGCCATCAAGCCGACCCTCTCCGCCCAGTGGTTCACAACCGGAGTGCCCTTTGATTATGCGCTGTCGAGCAATGTCACCATTCATACAACGTGCTACGGCTTTTGGGCCAATTACATCGATGCCAGAGGCAATATTATGGCAAAAACGTGTCTTCGTGTCTATCCGCATTGGATGAACGAGCAGCGCCTACTGGTTGGCAACAAGCGACTACGTGATCTTTTCATACCCGGCACCCACGACTCGGGCTCCTATAGACCCAACTTTGATCCCCTATTGCGCGAGAACTTAGTCACCAAGTACTCTCTGACCCAGGACGACGATATACGTGGCCAGTTGATGCATGGTGTTAGATATTTGGACATACGGGTGGGCTACTATCGGGCATCACACGAGAAGTTCTTCATATACCACGGCATTACCAAGCAACGACCCCTGCAAGAGGTAATCAATCAGGTGAGGGATTTCGTGCACGAAACCAATGAGATTGTAATTTTCGGCCTAAAGGAGTTTCCAGTAGGTGAGTGTGCATTATCTTTTTACAAATTTCATTGGTGTACATGTATTTTTTCCATATTTCCATTTCCATAAATAATAGACACAAACTAGCTAACAGATAAAGTTTTCCAGAGATACTCCAAACCATTGTGAGAAAAATAATCTGCTGTAAGATTTACTTTTTCACGTTCACGTTATTTTTGTCCCCTAATGCCCCGAAAAAGATACTAAAAATAATTATATTACGTAATATCACGATATTTTAGAGGACTTATACACATTTTTGTTATAGGCTTTGGCAAGGGATTGGGCGTCCATCGGCTTCTCGTCAGCTATTTGCGCGAACAATTTGGAGAGCTCATTGTGCATCCTTCGCTGAGTTGGCGCGCCACTTTGCGCGACATCTGGACAAGGAAGCAGAACGTCATCATCGCCTACGACAAGCACGCTATAGTCCAGGAGTTTCCGCATACAGTTTTTGGCGGTGTGGAGCAGCGTTGGGGCAATGTGCAGACTTGGCCGCGATTGGAGCGACACCTCCGCGACATTAACACCTTCGATGTTTCGTGAGTTCGCATTTAAGAAATGTATTGGAGACTACTTAATAACTCCCTCGTTTGTAGGCGTTTTTCGAGCCGTCCTGTGGTTGACATGGCCGAGTTGACTCCCGAAACTTGGGATGTCATTCTGGATAAGCCTGGCGGTCTACGAAAGATGGCGGACAATGTTAACTGGCGTATCTCGCAACTATATCGGGAGGAGTTAGGCGAGCATGCAAACATAGTGGCCGCCGATTTTATTCGCGGCACTACACTAGTGGAAACTGCCATCGAGTGGAACAACCGAAAGTTTTCATAAATATAAAAATGTTCAAGGTTCATTTAATTAAGGACAGTTGATGAATAGGTCGGCAATAAAACAAATATATATTGATCACATATGTATATGTTTGTTGAGAAAACTCAATCAAGTCTTTCTTTTTTACAAAAATTGCTTTATTGTTTGGACTTAGCAAAGATTTTTGCTTGAAAAGCCCATAGTTTGAGAAGACCTCCATTGAATGCAAAACCGAAAATCATTCAATAAATACATCTGCAATTTATTTATAAACTCTTTTCAAAGCCAAGCTATATAACAATCTGATATTTATTTTATTTATGTGTAGATTCCTTAAAATCGATCTTGTACATTTGCAAAATGGTTGATTCCCTAAAAATGTCATAGTTATGGAAAATGTATCTTAATTAATCCTGTATGTGGAAGCGAAAAGCGAAGAGCTTAGTTACTAAGAAATTTGCTTTTTAAGACAAATAAATACACAATGCAAAAATCTAGAACTACAACTAAAATATTTATGGTATAAGAAGTACAATTATGTACGGAAATGCCACATATATATAAATATGAGTGCATAATTTGTATGCACACAACGCAGAATATCAACTTTAACAATATCGTTAAGAGTATCTATATGTACATTTACATGTATGGCCGAACAATTATTCCTTTAATGCCTCGGACGATTCGATGATTGTGGTGTTAAAGATGGCGCGACAAAGGTCGACAACGGCATTGGACAGACGTCCATAACAGCGGGGCTTCTGCTGCCAGGCGATGCAAACGTAATAGAATGGAATTCCGGCCAAGGTAATGCCAATACCGATGAGTAGATTCTCTGGTTCCTCAAAATTTGGCAGCAGCACGAGCGTCACGCACCCGATCATAAATATGATGGGCAATGCTAGATTCACCCGAATGGGACGTGGAAGGTTTGGTCTGTAAGTAAATAATAAATTGGAACCATGATTTGGCATATTCTGTATTTATTCTCTCTTTTTAGTTCTAAACTCTTTTACGCGTCTTACAAAAAAGAAATGGACTGGTGGATTGAAAGAAGCAATTATAAACAGGTCTTTCATTTGTTCCGGAAGACCCTGCATACAAAGTTTTTACAAAAATGTAAGTCTCATTTCTTCCCATTTGTTCTCTAAGGTATACTAGGCGTATTAAAGATTCAATTATAAAGATGTCTTTAATGGGAGTTTCCACAACAGACATACAAAGTTTGGTGACCCCGACCTTCTCTACTATACATAGTCTCTGAATTAATAGATAAACGCACAGGGAGCCAGATATAAATACTTACTTTTTGTGTCGCAGCCACAACATGCCGGCAATGCTCGCCACCACAGACAGCCAAAGCACCGAGCTGAAGTAGTTGATCAGTAGATAGACATTATCGGTCAGCAGCATAAGCAGCGACATCAGGCACTGAAATTAAACTAGTATCAGGTAACTGATGAGACAGATAAAAGGCGAAATACTTACGGAAAATATGAGAGATGGAATTGGTGTTTGTTGCTTGACATGGAAAAGCTGAAAGAATTTGGGCAAATGGCCCTCTTGGGCACCGGTGGCAAACAGGCGAGCCGATGTGAAGAGCACTCCGTTCACACCCCCGAAAGTACTGAGCGCTACGAAAATGGGCACCATGAAGGCCAATGGGCCAAACATTCGATTGCCGAATGTCACAGCAACGGCCAAGGAGCTGAGCATTTCCGGTTTAGTAACAACCGCGAAATAGGCCAAGTTGACCAGCACATAGATGCCTGTAACTAGTGGCATGGCAATCCAAATAGCTCGCGGAAGGTTCCTGTTTGCCAGAATGAAGGTTAAGAAATGTATTATACAAAAAATAAAAACAGAGACTGGAAGATACAAATATCATTCTACTAAGTTTCTCCCTAAGGCATACAATAATTTATTACCAACTTTGGTTCTTCACTTCTAAATAAATTACACAAAAATCAACATATTCTTTACAAGAATGAAAATTATTGTACTAATACCCTTTCGTCCTTCTCTAAAGGCACTCAAATTGATTGCCAGCGAGGCACAAATGCTGCGTGGTTGTACCAAAAGGCAAATTGAATTCATTAGGCAACAAGTTGGTATTCATTTCCTCCCATGGCCACGCACCACCCACGTGAGAGCATCGGAGTGGAAAATGCGAGAAGTGAATAGACAACTTGTTGCTGTGTCAGGCGCATGGCTCAAGGACAAAACGCAAAAGTTGTGCGTTTTCTATAGAAGTCCTTGAGATACATTAAATGGCACACTTCAGCATTTATCTTATGTTTGTCTGTGTGCCTTACGCTCGTTTGACTCTCGTCCTTTTGATAGTCGTAAATCACGTCATGCGTTTGTCCTTTTGGTACTTACTTGTAGGGATCCTGAAGCTCTTCAGTCACAAAATTTAAGTAATTCCAGCCGCCAAATGCAAATAGACCCGAGTAGAAGGCATAGCCAATGTTTCGCCCGCTATAAGTGCCCTCCCACGGATTCGAAAAGTTGTCCAGATTGCCAGTCAGCATATAATAGAGGCCAGCAAGTACTATCAAAATTAGTGCCAGAAGTTTGCCAACTGTGAACAGATCCTGGACCTTCATCGACAATTTCACGGACAAACAGTTTATTGCCGTGAGCAGACCTACGAATAAATCGTACATATATGAAGTAAGGGTCAGTTGAGCCCAATTCTTTTACCATTTTAAGTGCAATTCAGAATTACTCACACAAGCATACAGCTGCTAAAAGCTTGACAGCATTTTCTGGAGGCGAGCAGTCCTCAAAGAATGGTTTGGCCGCATATTGTGCAAATGTCAGCGCAACTATGGTCTGAAAACATTATAAATTAGATATTAGGATTGGAATTTGACAATTTTGCGAGATATAATATAATATATAATATATATATTATAATATAAATGAATTCTATTAGAATAATACTATAGTTCCATATTAACTGGTATGGTAAGGTAAATAACTTTAAACTGTACGCTAAATGAGTAGTACTGCTTGAAGCTACGAGTGCACTGCCTTATCGACAGCACTAACGTTAAATAGCTCACTGATTCCTCTTTCTTAATCTACACACACACATACACACACATGTCGAAATGCGGTGCAACGGTTAATGAATTGAAAGTCATTTTCCAAAACTGGTTAAGATATATTTTCTAAACCCAGTCGGACGCCGTTTTAATAAATTGTAATCTTTTTACTAGACCAGGTAAATTAAATGAGTACAAAGCAATGTTAATTTATGAAAAGTCCGCTTAACAGCTTTGCCTCACGGAAACAGTTGCGATCAAGAATCATGCCACATCACATTAAAGTTTTCGTTTATCTAAAAATGCAGCTATATGCAGGGTATTTTTCCAATAATAAGGCTACATTTACACACACCTCCCCCTTCGTTTTCAAAATTATTGCTGGCAATTCAAACAAAAATACCATACCTGAGTTGTAGGTCTGATAATGAGCAGAGCAATCCATAGTCGTAGAAATCCCACCAGAGGCCCGAATGCTACCAAAAGGTAGGCATAATCGCCACCAGATCGGGTAATGCTAGTCCCAAGCTCCGCATAGCAAAGCGCGCCAATTGTTGATAAAATGCCGCAGGCAAGCCAAATTAATAGGGAACTTCCGACAGATCTGTGGAAATACATACATACATAGTGACCGGCATTCATTCAAAATTGAGAGGAAATGCAATTGACGAGGCGGCGAGGTGCAATAATTGCTAGAATGATGAATTGAGCTTTGTAGCCGCCGCTGAAGAGGTTTCCATTCTAAATTTGTTTGTATGTGCCGCCGAATTTGATTTGATTTGAAATTCGAGAAGTCTTGTCACGCAAACCGACTCTATCAATATTTATACCATTCATAAAAAAAGGCAATATGTAGACGAAAATATTTTAATAAAAATAGTTATAATAAAGAATAATTTACTTGTACAAGAAGAGCTGATGCAATAATTGCAAAAGATTTCAAACCTTTCGAATATTCGAACATGCGTCAATTGGCTTTATTGCTTTGGTTAGCCTCATCCGCAAGCAGCATCTCAACCATGTAGGCTTGATTAATTGAAACTTAAAAACTGTCAAGCTACAAATTCCACTTAATTGCTGTACAACAATGGGCCATTTACCACAAACTGTACATACTATACTATGTATATATTAATTGTCATGTACAAAAATTGACCTGAGTGGATCGGCCCCTTAAACTGTCAGCTAAAACGTAGAAATAAAGCGTCTTAACAATTCACTTACTCGGTGTATAGGAAAACGCCAGTGGGTGCTATGAAGATGCCAGAGCCGATAATGGTGCCGACTATGATGGCCACTCCGTTGATGAGCGTTAGTTTTCGTTTAAGTACGATTTTCTCCTGGGAGGGTGCAGCGACGAGGTTGTTGGCGGCTTTACCATCCCCATTGGAATGGGACAAGGGCTTCTCCACCAAATTAGTGGTCACCCCATTCCCGTAGCGGTCCCCCATATTCTGATAATAATTTTACACACTCTCTTATTTCCGTTTGAACCGTTTATAGTTATTCAGTGGCGGGTATTATTATTACTTTCCCGTTATTGACATTGCCACTTTAAAGAAATGGAAACTAAATTTTAAAATCAATAGAGAAGGCTTTAAAATATGTAATTGAAACTAAAAGAAAAATCTTAAAAAAGCTATTTAAAAATTGCAACGGCAAACCAATACGATTTTATCATGCTTAGAGCTGAGGGGAATATGTACATATATCAAGTTTGGTGATTAATAGTAGCTCCTACTCCTAGATCCTTCCGTTTATACAGAAGGACATGTCTATATCGACTTATCCCGTCCTACTGATGAGAAATAAATACATTTTGTGGGGTCTGCCACGTCGCCTTGTGCGTAATACACAAATTCATCTATTATGCTTTTTGACTACTTATTTAATTACAATGTATATTTTTACTGCATATACATACGTACATATATATGTAGATAATGCGTAAGTTCTTTATCACACTATCAGCGCTGGGAATCTTAACACGTGCTCCCTAAGGTAATAGCCTCCCCCCAGACGTCGGCAACAGGTCTGGCAGCACAGCTGCACTTTTTTTGCAACCTGTTAGCAGAGAGACTCAATCAATTTTGCTCGTGAACTTGCCAACGCTGCACTTATGGACACATTTTGATATATCACAAGACAATTTTATTTTTGTTATCATGACTGCTTTATTGTTATTGTAACCGTCAAAATCACGTTTTACGTATGTATATGTATATAAGATAATGCATGTATGTATAAAAGTGTGTATGCAGGTACCCGGCACAGTGATATTTACAAACAGGTGCCACAATACTAGCATACAAAGGTATGTTTATACATTTGTATATATTTATATGTATGTACTATGTTGTGCATGTGGCGAGAACAGTTTTAAACTTGCGCGTGCAGCCGTCATTCGTGGCGTATTGCGTGAACTGGCATCGGTAAGTTTGTCTGTAGGTTGGTTTGCTTGTGCACCTCGTGCCAATTTTCACGATTTCGTCATCCACGTACTATACCAATAACAAATACACGATAAATCAAAAACCTGCATGGTAATAACTAAACTTGAAACTTTTTAAAACCATTTCAGCTAACGTCAGTTACTTTTAACTGAAACGGGCTGTCAACACTTTGATTATTTTACAATTTTATGTCAATTATTACCGCAAAACTATGTCTGTGTTTGGTCTTCGAACAGCGAAAGATATAATGCGCAAATCTGTAAGACACAACCGCCAGCTACGCGTTCATATCCAAACTGTTGTCGCGAAACGCACTCGCCTCTCAGCGATACCGGCATTTTATTTAGGCAATGAGTCAGAGAATAAAGTAACTAGAAGGTTGGCAACGTTGTTTGATCTTCTCTGCAAATGACGTCACCCGATGCTTCGTGGCGTAGAAATTTTGAGGTATTAAGTTTTTTAGAGCTGGCTCATGCAAATTTAATAATTCAGTTATCTCTAAGATTAACCATTCAACGTTACGCCTTAATTGGGTAATATATTTTACGAAAGCGTTTATCAGTTTAGTTTTTGTTATGACGTACTTGCTCAGTGCGAAAAAGTTGCCATACTTTCTCTCTTTTCAACATGCGTCAACCCCAAATGTGGAAAGCGTAAATAGAGAGCGCACTAGAGAATTTAATTGCTCATTTCCATGGTATTTTTTATCAGAAACAAATGCCTGGGCAGATATTTGTGCATGCAAAATTCACAGAAATCCAAAGTCTGATGCAATAATTTAACTTTATACCAAAAACAAACAGTTTATTTGTTTTAAATTTCTTAAACAGAAATCAAATGATAATAATTAAAAATCTAAACGCAAAATTTAAACTGGTTTTACTCTGGTTACATTTATTTAATAGATATACATACATATGTTTATCATTACTGCCAATGCTATTTTTGTGTTCAATTTTCCGCGCTTTATCTCAGAACACACTTTTCAACTATCGATAGTTTAATTTTTAATTTTAAATCCAATCTATCGACATGTTCTCCACATACATCGAATATTCATTAAAAAGCAAATAAGTTAGCAGCCCTTCTAGCTTTGTTTTGATTGCGTATCACACGTGTTTTGGTCATTCGTAATATATTTTCAGAAAAAACCAACCATGTCGGACAAGTAAATACACCAAATGTAGACTAAGTAGATGCTTAAGTGACGCTTATTTTTTTTCACTACTTAGATATGCTGTGCCCAACAAATTGCCTGGAAAAACAGTGTCAGTCCTCAAGCACCGAAAACGGCGCATACAACAGGACCAGTCGGTTGTCCAACAAAAACGGCAAAACCGTCTCAATCGCGTTAAGAAGCTGAAGGCTCACCACAGTTTCAAGCGCGCGGAATCCTTTGTTATGGACTATTTGAAGGCTGAGCGCACATCCAAACGCATTAAACAAACTTTATTACGCACCAACGTCACAAAGCAGAGTGCCGACGCGGCCGAGAAAACGAACCAAAAACTGTTGCTTGTTATGCGGCACGCAGGGTGAGTTGAAGTGCGCTCCACGACAGTTAAATTATTATTAATTCATTATACTTACAGCAAAAAGATCCACGACGAAACCACATTGAAGATATTTAAAACATTGCGCATGTCACAACGCCACAATGCAGTCTTTTTAGAAAACACTAAAGAGAACCAATTGTTGCTGCGCGTCATCGAACCATTTGTTGTTTACGGATTCCCAACCATAAGTACTATACGTGATTTGCTATTTAAGAAGGGCTTTGCACTCGTCAATGGCAAGAAAGAGGCGATACAATCGAACACCATGGTAGAGGAGCAGTTGGGCGAGAAGGGAGTGATCTGTTTGGAGGATATAATTCATGAAATATTTACGGTGGGACCGAACTTTGAAGCCGTTACTAAGTTCCTCTGCACCTTTAAGGTAAGCATTAAAGGGGAATAGTAAAAGTTGCAATAGAAATATAACGTTATTTATCACGTAGCTATCCAGTCCTCGAGATGGCTGGAAAAAGAAAGTGTCCGTATCCTTTAAGCGAGGCGGCGAGTATGGCAATCGTGAGAATGGCATTAACGACTTAATTGCGCGCTGCATTTAAGTTTGTGCTTAAAGTAGGCATTTAAGTGACGGAAAATGAAGCAAAGTTAGTTTTATATAAATATTTGTACACATATTACGTATTAAAAAAAACCGTATCTGCGTAAAAACCAAATCGTTATCTATTTATAACTTTAACAAAATGTCCGTCTTTCTGAACGCGAGTGTGAATAGCGATCCGGAGATTATCTATCAGACCATATCTTCGACAGCGTCTGCAATAAAAGAGGAGCAATCGGAGCGTCTGCACGATCGCATCTCACAGGAACAGCTGGAGAAGCTGCACGCAAGTTTTGAACAGTTTGAGGATCAAGAGGTCGGGTTTGATGATCTGCGAAACATGCTCGAGGATGTGGACATAGTGCTGAGCGATTTTGTTTACACACGGTTGTTTCTTAAGATAAATCAGAATCGCGACTTTTTGGTGGACTGGAACGAGTTTGTTTCGTATTTGATATTCGGGTTTCAGGAGGAGGATCCTAGCAGTCAAAAGGAGTCCCTAATACTGCCAATATCGACGCAGCCCATCATTCGCAAGACAGAACATCGTTCAGCCGTCTGCTGTTTGGCGCTTTTAAAGGTAAAATCGGATCAAATACATCCCGATGAGGACACGGGCGAGACTATTAACATTAGCTTTGGTGGCGAAGATTCGCCAGAGGCCTCTGGGATGTGGATTACGGCTAGCCACGAGGGCCAAATACGGTTCTGGACTCCCCACATGGAGCCCATACGTTCTGCCTATTCGGAGAGCTGTGAGTATGTGCGAGTATTTTAGACAGCAGCTCTTTTAAAGCAGTCGCGGGGCACAGTACATCTAAAGGTACCCACGTGGATTCTGGCCGTGCAGGCACTCTCCGATGTCAGCATTGTTTGCACCTCTTCGACAGAGCGGGAGTTGCGCTTTCACGAAACCATCGCATCGACCTTTACACTTCGGATTGTCATCCGTAGTCTTCCACACGCCGTCTATTGCATGAGTTATAGTTTTTATACGAATGGCAAGGCGGAGTCGAAGCTGGTGCTCGGCGATTATGCGGGGAACGTACGCATTTTGTCCTTCACACCGCATTTGCGGGGACCCTTCCAGGCCAAGCCGGGTGCTGCACTCATTGAGGTCGTCTGGGCGGATATCTTGAAAGTAAAAACTGCATTTCCGCTCTTGTTCTCGCCACTAATTCTCCGTTCCAGGGTAAGATTCCGCAGTTCAAGCCGCGGGAATACATTAATCTGCACAGCGAGATGATTTCCTGCCTCTACTATTCGTTGGAAATGAATGCTCTATTCGCCTCCGCCGAGTACCGCAATACAAAGAAATATCGCGGTCGTTGTCCGGCTCTGATAATGACGTCCTCCGATGATCGCAGCAACTTTCGCATTCCCCTGGTAAGGCACGCCTTTCTATAAAGCGACAGATCATGCTTAGGTAGCCTTGCATTTCAGGGCGTCACCACATTTTTTGTGGATGAACGCCATAACATTGTGGTTACGGGGGGGCCGGACACCTTTGTGCGGATCTGGGATGTTTACATTACATCGGAACCGTCGGGCATACTGACGGGCCACAATGGAGGAATCGTCATGGTTTTTGTGCAGCCCGAGGAAAAGAAGGTCTACAGCGTGGACTACCATAAGATCATCAAGGTGTGGGATCTGCAGGAGCACACCTTGCTGCAGACATATGGCGACCTGGTGCGCCTGATACACCACACCGAAACCGATCTCGTCTACTACTATCACTCGCACTTGCGCGAGCTAATGGTGGGAGGTCGGAAGCTAATCTCTGTTAAGTGCTGTCCGAGGGTGCGGGTCGACCTTACAGACGGCAACACGCATGCGCAACCGGTCTCAGTAGTGCTGTATAATCGGCTGTTTCGAAATATCGTTACCTGTGGCTTGGACAGCTATATCATCGTGTGGGATCCTTGGACGGGACGTCGCAAGATCATCATGAAGAGCTGTCACACAAAAATGATTTACGGCGAGACTATAGACATTGAGATTACGGCCGCCTGCTTTGATCCGCTCGAGCAGTTCCTGCTGACGGGAGCGCGGGACGGTTCGCTCAAAATTTGGAACTACAATAATGCGGTGGTGGTGCGTAATATGTGCATACAACCAGATCAAGAAGTGACGGCGGTTATATGGGTTGTAGAACGGTAAGAAGCTCCAGAGATCTAAAATAGCCTTGCCTTCATTCGCTTCCATTTAAAGCATTTTGGCGATGGGTTGGGATCGCCAAGTGACCGAGTTTAATGACGTCGAGGGCCGGGAATATGGTGATCCCAAGAAATGGGCCAAATTCCACACAGACGACATTACTTGCGGGGCCGTAAAGCTGGGGGAAGGTGTCGTCACAGCCACCTATTCGGGCGAAATCATATTTTGGAAGCTGGAAACGGGCCAGCCTTACAGACGTTACAGTGTTATGGACCCCACGCGTTTCATTGAGGTTTACTAATCCTCCTATAGTTTGGGAATGTATAAATAACTGCCACCCCTTCCTACTATAGCTGAAATTGAGCAAAGAGGAGGACAAGGCTATGAAGCGTGCGAAAAGACTGCAAGCGCGTCAAACGACCCACTCGGAGAATCGCTACACCGTGACCTCCACACGCAACACAATTCACAGTACCAGGTCCACAACTAAGGTGGAAGACCCCAAGTATAACATTTCAACCGCACCAATATCCGTACAGGCCGTGCTATTTCTGCAGAACCGTCCCATGACTAAGGTGCATGGTAAGTTCATCTGAATTTGTAGTACCTTGTTCTTTGTATTCAAGCCATCCAGTTCCACTACAGGCAGTGTCCTTGTTTCGCTGGATACTGGATTTATTCAGGTATACTCCCATCACCAGCGCGGTGGCTATCTCAAGGAGTTCTTTGCCGTCCATAAAACTGGCGATTGTGTGCTGACAATGTGCACTGATCGAAAAAATCGCTTTCTGTACACCGGTACTGCATTTGGATACATTAAGGTTTGGTACATCGTTAACTTTTGGTAAGTCTTCTCTTTTTCTGTATGGCTACAGTCTCCCATTCTTTTAGAAAATTGATTGGTATTGATATTAGGCTTACTCTTCAATTTTTATAAATACAGCAATGTTTTGCTAAGAAAAGTATACTATAATCATTAATAGTCTAAGGATATTTTTCTTTTTACTGAGGAAGCCCTCCTTTGACTTAATATGGGAAAAAAACAAAACTTTGGTAATTTGTTTGGTCCATAATAGGAAAACCTAATATAAATACCACAAACGACTGTGGTTATTATTGAAACATGTCACAACATGCACATACATGTGTATATATAATGGAATAACACCCACCTAGTAGTGGGTGCAAGCAAATGATTTGGAATTCCTGCGGAGCCTTGCGTGCTTAGTCCAAGTTTTGTTTCTTTTTATACCCTGTACCCGTAGGGTAAAAAGGGTATATTAGGTTTGTGCAAAGTATGTAACATATAGAAGGAAGCATCTCCGACCCCATAAAGTATATATATTCTTGATCAGCATGACGAGAGAAATCGATCTAGACATGTCCGTCCGTCTGTCCGTCCGTCTGTCCGTCTGTCCGTCTGTCCGTCTGTCCGTCTGTCCGTCCGTCTGGATGAACGCGAGGATCTCAGAAACTATAAAAGCTAGAATAACCAAAGTTGGCATCCAGATTCTCCTAGGTCCGAGTAAGGACGAGTTTATGTTTTTTTTTTTAATTTTCCCCCCCTTCCCCCGCTACAGAATTTCGTCAATAGCGTCCACATTTCAAATGCTACCTAAACCAAACTTTGCACACATAATTTATATATAATTGTCTACTGTTGTATAAAATTTTATTCAATTCGGTCAATTCTAAGAAAAGTTATTAGCAAAACAAATTCTCGACAGTACAACCCCCCCAAACTGCAGCAACAAGTTCGCTCTTCTTCTTCCTCTTTTTGCTTCTGCTATGGGCGCATATAACTCAGTGACGGAAGTTTACCTGGGTACAGGGTATTACACTGTCGGGCTTGCTCGACTGTAGCGTTCTCTCTTGTTGTGTCAAAGTTTTGGGAAACTACCAAGCATTATAAACAACTCATAAATGTCTTGCCAGCCGGAAGTAATGGAATGGGGTGGGGAGGGGTAGGCAAACAGACGGAAAAAGACATGACAAGACAAGACAATTTAGTAACAAGTCCTAAAACACGACCGATTTTTTCTATACCCTATAACTGAAGGCTAAGCGCCAGATGAATGTAATAGGCAGAGGGAGCGGTGTAGAGTCCATTTTGTATGATTAAGACGACGTCAATAACTTTTTAACCATCTGCAAAAAAGATCTCTTAATAATATAGCTCTATTATTTATACAAATATTTTAAGAATATTAAAAATATTATGTTAAAATCCAAAGTTGTATTCAAGTCAGCTCACTATAACTGCCATTGAACGATTGTTGAAACAACCTTATTTAATTAAGTGTAAAGATTCTGAGGGTGTGTGGGGCGGATATAGGGTATTTGAAGGATGGGTTGGCACGACTTTGGCGCTCTATTCAATCACAACTTGTTGCCAAACCACACGATATACTTATGTGGCCTTCTATTAGTCGCCTGGCATTATACTAACAAAGTTCAATTCCTGTCGCTGTCTAGCGTGCCCGACTCGGAAAGGCAGTATGTGTGTATGCCTAGATTGAGGCTGGAGTTCATTTTTCTAAGAAAGGAGCTTTTCCTGACGCGGGCGAAGCGCGTGGTGCGGAATCAGCCAGAGCCTCTGCTGGTGAGTTCCCTAAAAGGACATCTGAAGGCCATCAATTCGATTGCATTCATCAATTTGCCGAAAATCATACTAACGTGAGTACGTTTTGTGGCAAGTGGGAATCATTTGTTAACTATTATGTATTTATAGTGGTAGTCACGACTATTCCTGTCGTTTGTGGACGCAGGGCGGACGCTATTTGGGGACTCTGGGTACGGTGCTGCCTTGGTCGAGACTGTCGCCCTTCGAGAAAGCTGGACAGGACAATCATGTCTATAGGCTGCCTCCCGACATCAAAAAGGTGGCCAGCTCGACGACACTGAAGGTGGGTGGACGTGGAATTCAAAAGCCTAAATAGTGGTTCAATAATTTTAATTTTGTTCAGGTTATATCGGGAATACAAGTAGATCGGGTTAAGATGACGGAACGGGCCGCCAAAACGGCGGAAGAGAAGGAAGAAGAAGCCGCACAGGCGGCTGATGAGGGCACAGACCTGAAGAGTCTGTTTGAAAAACCGCTGCGCGAACCCATACTTGGCAAATACTTCGCCCTACCGGGTCGTAGTGCTGTGGAGCAGCACGTCGAGTTGGACACTACACAGTCGTACATACCGGTCTACTCGCACCTGAAAGTACACCCCTCCGAGGAGTTGGAGAGGCCGCCAACACCACGGGCCATCAAAGCCGTACAGGCTGAAAACTATTTGGAGTTTTATTTGCCCGTTGAGGGCAAAGTCGATCCCAATACATCGGCTATAAATATAAAAGAGCCAAAGCCACGACGCTCACTCGAAAAGGATAAGGAACGTACGCGTGAAGTGCGCTATTCGGACAGTCATAACTCGCAGAATGAGCCGTAAACGTGCTTTGATTTATTTATCACAAAATGTTAAAACTCATCAGCTGCTTTGTTAACAAGTTACCAAAATATTTGCTTAAATTAAAGTGAAGTTACAGGAGGAGGGAGCACACAACTACTCATTCCTGTAGCAGACGACAAGCATCGTACATCTGTCCCAATATGGGTAAATGCTTTGAATCCCGCCGGCTCAGACACTTATAGGCATGAGTCAGAAGTTTTCCCAAAGCGATCACATCGATCTCGTCCGGTCTGGTTGCCGCTATCTGAATGCTTTCTTCCGACACGCACTCTTTCTGTATACGATAGAGAGAGATGGGGAAGGACAGTGTGCGCATGTGTACGTGTGTGTGTTGGGGTTCAGTTCTGCGGATAATAAACACTCGCAACACTTACTAAATTGTCCAGATACTGCAGCAGATGCTGTCCCACCGAGGCGATTTTCAGAAAGGTCGTCTGCGAGGACTCCGCATACAAATTCAATCGTCGACCCGCAATCTCCAGCAACAGCCGACCCAATTCCTCATCCTCGCTTATGTCCTGCAGTAGTACTTGCGCTTCCGCATCGTATCCAAAGGCATACAATTCAACAACCTGTATTTCGAACAAACATTTTAAACAGCCCTTAACACTCTGCTCGGTCTCACCTGTCGGCGCAAGATGGGCAGTTTATCCAACTCCCAACTGTCGGCCAAGGCGCATATCTTAGCCATATAGTAGACATGATCTAGTATGTAGAGGTGCTCCAGATCCTCGCGGATCAGATCCATGGTGGCGGCCACCACGCGGCAGAGGAAATCCGTTCGGTGCTGCTGGAGCACTTCATCCGGCGAAGGTAGCGCATAGGGCAGCTCCTTATTGATGTCTGCGAGCAGAGCTTTGTTAGCCATGGCATCGAAAAACGTCGTCATGGGCTTGGGCACTTTTAGCTGAAAGAACGCAATGAAGTGGAGGACGCTGCAGAGCTCGTACTGAAGCCGCAATAGATGGGGCATGCCATGATGCTGTTGCAAGGCCAGGAATTGCAATGGCAGTGGACCTTCGCTCAACGCCTGTTCGAAGCGCAACTCGCGCTTCTCGTGCTCTAGCGAGCTGCTAAAGTGATCGAGAAATTCCAAACAGAGTTCCAGAAACTCAGGCACATGGCTGGCGGACATGTCCATGTCCTGCTGACACATTTTGTCCACCGGCAAACGGCCCACTTTGTGCATCAATTTGGAGGCGGACTGCAGGGGAAACTTGAGTGTGGCATTCCACAACAAGCAGCACATGCCGTGCTTCAGCGCCCAGTCTGACTCCTTTATCTCCGCCAGACAACACATCGCCGCACGCATAAATTCCAGCGAGGATAAGTGCTTGCTCCAGTGCACCATATAGTGCCAGGACATGACACTTAACAGCGTGCCCGACTCCAGACTGAAGGGGAAATGTGCGCGCAACAGCGTCAATTTTACCAGCAGCGGTTCAAGTGGCTCGATGGCTTCAGTTGCCATTGCTGGTGGCTCTTCTCCATCACCCTCTTCTTCAAGACTTTCAGTTTCAACGTGGATTTCACTTGCATCTTTCTTAATCTCCTGCTTAGCTTTTGCATTCTCTTCTGTTAGCTCACTTTCAGTTATAACCTCGAGCAGTTTATTCGGATTAAGACGTGAGCTAATCAGCCACTTAGCTGTCAATTCGGTGACAATTCCTTTTCCCCCGTTAACGATGCTCTTCAGACTGCAATCGGGCAGCTCGTAAGGCATTGGTGGTCCGCTCGGTTCCCGACACTCCATGGAAGTGCTTCGAAGGCATATAGCAGTTATTTATATTGAATAGACTTTTCTCTTCCCGGTTGCTCACCCTAGTATTGCGCCCAGCACGGACACATCTTCCAGTTTGCCTATCAACAGGCCCCACTGCGCTTCTTCATGTGAGATGCGTTCCCAGCGCTCCTCTTCCTCGTTCTGTGACGATTCATCGCACGAACCCTGCATAGCGAAAAAGTTATTCATTATTTAAGCCCTTGCCGTTTCAATTGCCCTTTCAATTTGCCAATTTTTTGATTCTTTTACAATCATCTTTACCACTTACCTCTCGCTTATTTCGCCACAACTCAAGGGCGACTGTTTTGCAGACGATGGCCACCAAGAGGCCGGAGAATTGCTTGCTTTCCAGCAACAGTTCTCGCACCTCCTGCCACCAAGGCGATATGCCATTGTAGGGATAATCGTTGATGTGCTCGCCAGCGAATTCGCAAATGCTGCGCACCATCACTGCAATGCGAGACATGTCCGCCACAACTTCATCACTAAAAGCGTAAAAGGTAATTGAACTAGATCAGAATTGTTATTTAATTAATTAAATTTAAGCCACTTACCAATTTTCGTACTTGAATGGCTTCTGCAGCCAGAAGGATATAACTAAAGTGAGGAGCGCCTTACTAGGCATGCAGGCTTCTGCGGCCCATTTCTTGAAGTCTTCGAAGCACAATCCTGTGCTTAAGAAATCTCTAAAAAGTCCGTTGCTCACACTTCCAAACTTGTCGGCACGCTCCATATTTAGTATGAGGGAGTTGGGCGTGTCTATGTTGAAAATACTTAGATATTCGACAAAGTCCTCGGCATCGTGCTTGGGCAGTTGAAAAGTTACTTCGCGGGGTGTCTGCTTCTCTCTGTCATCGTTCAACAGCAACACCAATTGATTAATGATGACCAAATCAGAATCGGAGAGTTCCAGATGCTCCACAAATGTGTCGACATTGTTAGGCTGCTGGCTATTTGTAAGCGATATGTAGAAATCCGTTAAACGTTTGTAATTTTCAATTTGCTGCAGGAATTCCTTGCTGCCTGGCAGATTCGATTGCTCCCTGCCGGCAAAGGCGTTTAAGATACATTGAAAGACTTGCGGCTGCAATTTCTTGTTCTTTAGCAGCATTTCCAGACACTGTTGACGGACCTCAAGCGTCTGTAGCTCTGCAGCCAATTGAGATAGGGTAAGCAGCTCTTCTTTCTCCTTCAAGCCATTGTCGAGTGCCACACTCCTCAGCTGATTGCGCAGGCGACGCAACATATGAATGTCGCGCGAGGTCTGCGAATTCGTTTCACTCAGCGCATAATGGAATGGTATCTGGACCGTCTTGAGGCTGGCATCGGTGGGATCCAGAAACAGGCAGTAGTTAATGGCAGCCGATTTGCGCGAAGAGCCGCTGTTGTTGCTGCCCAGCGGCTTGTGATTACAGTAGCTTAATTGCCCGCTCTTACACACGGTGAAGGCAGCCACCTTGGGTCCATTCTGCAGCGCCCAGATATCCAAACAGCCCAAGCGTGGCGCATAGATGACTAGGAAGAGGGCCTTGCGATGTTGCGTCTTAATGCCCCGCACAGATTTCTCTTTTACGGGAACAAAAGCGCACTGTGCATCACGATAGCCCTTCCAGACTCGCAAAATTAATTGTTGCATTGTATCCACAAGCATAACGCGATCTAAATTATCGGTCACTGCTGCCAGATGGCCTCCCGGGGCAATGGCTAAGGTCAAACCATCGCGTTTGCCATCGTACAGACCACAGCGAGTTCTCATGGGCGCTTCCTTTGTAGGCTGCGAAGCGGCTGAAGCCTCCGTAGGCGAAGGCGGCTGCTCTGGCCCTCGCCGCAAAAAGCCGCCCAGCAAATTCTTATAAGCCATTCCTAACACATCTTTGGCAACTTCGCCCAGTGATGCTGTTTTGTAGCCCTCCTCTGCCTGAAAGAATCACAGGTAGTGAGATATATATTTACAGTTTCTATTAATTAAAAGCAGTAACCTGAAAAAATCCGAGATAGGGTTCAGCGCCGGCAACAATTACTTGAGAGCTTCTTGCGGGCGTTGAATTCATTTTGGCAAAGTATCCAAAAGCAATGCTCTGGTCAACAATGTGGTCATAGCTGCGAGGATGCTGGTTGCTGATCACGGCGGCATCGTTAATTATCGTCTCACGTTCACGGTTGAATTTGTATTTCTGGAAAGGCATAACATCGCTGGTGGGCAGCGCGCCTCTTTGCAAATTATGGCGACAGTCGGCGAGCATGAAGAAGATATCCTGTCCTTTAATAAAACACATGCAATTGCCATATACGACGTACATCAAAGAGTCGGCCTCCGTATTAAGCTGTGGTGACTCCAATTTTATCCCCAGCACGGGGTCCTCCTGAAAGCTAAAATGGAGACTGTTAAGCACCTTTAATGATATATTATCAGTGCATACCATTGCGAGAAGAGTTTGACGCCTGAATCCGAGTAAAAGACCACCATTCCGGATACCAAACCCACTGCTACGCAGCTCCATTCAGCACTTTCACCACGATTTTGCTTCAGAGGTATGCACAACAGACTGGTGACAATTTGTAAATCCTCCAGCTCGCCGCACCAGGTGAGCGCGTATGTGTTCGCACTGCCATGACTATTCCAGCAGGTCGTCAGAAAGGCCAGCTTCTCTCCTTGGGCCAATGCAATTAAGTCGCCCGTTGGGGACATTGCATAGTTTATTGCATTCAGCCAGTTCTCATCTGCAAATTCAACGAATATAAATTAGTCCAGAAGGCCCGAACTTCAATACTTTACCGTGACCAAGGCCAAAGTACTCTTGGACTTTCTTAAAATCGCGTATTTCCGCAAATGTTTTTACTTCGCAAGCCATATGTACAAATTCCTTTTGTTGTCATTACTCAGAAACCAGGGCTGACGAGTCTGCTTTGGCAGATTGGCAGTCACAGTGCGACGTCATCAGGAATCCACTGCTGCATCGACAGCTGTTAGAAGCTTTTCTCCCGCCAGCTATGGAATTTTTAAATGGCGATAACGTTATAGAGTTTTTGGAGATTCACCGAAAAGAAAGAATAGAATAGAAAGCCCTATGCCTTTTACAGCTCTATACTTTTTTTGTTTACATATTCGCTATATGCTAATATTTAAATAGATCTGTTCCAAAAACGTTTTGTGCCATTGTTTTTACCGTGACATTTACTTTTCTACCTATTTCTTTTATTATTTGGAAAACAAATTTATAGCTCAGCAAATTAAGAATGGTAGTGTAGAAGAATTTGTACAAATAAATAGATATTCATTCAGGGATAGTTGAAACCCTTTGAAACGGACTTCTTTTAACAACTTTCATATATGTAATTTGTATACATTTGTACTCCCATATCGTGTGCCACATTAAAAAAAAAAGTTTGTTTGTTTTTAAATTTTTTAAAAACTGTACAGCATTCCTTTTATATGAACCACAATATAAAATATAAAATATTCATTTACATAAAAATGAAGGGCAATCCAAATCTAAATCAAATCCGATTCTACGCCACTGTCAATGTAGTCCTTGAGTAAGTGACCGCACTTAAGAGGCAGTAGTCTGGTCCAATTATTGATATGGAGCAGGCTCTTGGGGATCGTTGTCTCCAGGCAGTCCCCACGATGCGCCTCGACAATCCGCATGGCCACTTCTTTCGGATCCAATAGGCCCAGTATTGATGGAAACTTGACCTTCGGATGCTTACACAAGCCCGTATTGGTCATATATGGATATATGGTTGTAGTTTTTATCAGATCTGCATAGGGTCCTTCGCGCAGCTCCTCATGCAATGCCTCCATCATGCCGCGTACTGCAAACTTTGTGGCACAGTATGGCACCAAATTCGAGAGTCCCACAATACCGGCTATTGAGGAGAGTGAGATAATGTGGCCACGTCCCAGCTCCTTCATTTGTGGCAGGAAGGCCTCAAGGGCCCAGAACTGTGAGAAGACGTTGACGTTAAACACTTTTTGTATCTCCGTTTCGGTGTGTTGCGTCAATGGATGTGTCGGCATTATCCCAACATTATTGACCAGCACCGTCACCGGACCCACTTCAGATTTCACGCGTTCGGCCAATGAAAGCACCTCAGCGCGATTCGAAACATCGCAGCTGCAAAGAAATAAAATATAATTATTTGACTCTCAACATGTTATCCTCCTGGTTTACATAAAACTGTGCACAGCCCCCTGATTGAGGCGCCTAGCCTTTTTCACAGTTTCCAGATTATTTTTCTCATTAATATCGACACACACCACAGTGCTGCCCCAGGTGGCATAATGCAACGCCAGTTCCTGTCCAATGCCATGACCTGTGCCGGTTATCTGCAGATATACACATTGTTGTTTTTAAAAAATAACATTTATATGAGTGGAAATTTCGAAACCACTTACCAGCACGACTTCTCCACTGATGTCTTTTAGGTTTCTTGACAAAATCTTCTCAGCCAGATTTACAAACAGCTCCAACAGAATCCGAACAAAGAGCACAAGGAACTGCAACACATCTTGCAAGACATCGAACAAACGCTTAGAAGCAGTGGAGGTGCTGAAAACAAATATATTGTCAGAGTTGTTGAGGAAACAAATAAATGTACAAATATTCGAAATAATTCATATTCTATTGATTCTTCTGTCCCTAGTTTTAAATTCCGTTTATTACATATTTGAAGGTTTACGGCTGAATTGAACTTTGTCGAGTTATTCAACCTGCTCGGTTCAAGCATAGCAATATAGCTTTTAAGCATAATAATGTCGCTTTGTATGTTATTTATAAAATGTCCAAACTAGAATCATCAACATTATTATTTGAGTCGCATCGACGCTTTTAATTTTGTCAATTTGTATGCATCCCCGTCCGTGCAAAGCTCTTAAGTCTAAGGGCAAAGTAAACTGCGTTGAGTGCCACAAATGATTTTACAACAAATACTGTTGACCCTGTTCAGGCCTGGGGCAATAGCCCAATACCCCAGAAAGCCAATCAAGGGAACTTTGGGTGCGTTTGGTGAACACTAGAACTTTGAATGTGTTTTATTTGTCTATGAAAAAGTTTAATTTAACATTTATGATACTGCTTCCAAATGGTTCACTAATGATCCCCATAACTTGTAACAATATCATTATTTATTTTAAATATATTTTCTTGATAAATTATAACATTATTCACGATAAATATCAACATAGCTTTTGCAATATACTTGTAAAACTGCTATTCAGCTGGCAAACAGTATTAAACTAAAAACCATAAATTTCAGTTTGAAAATGTCATTTAGTTCTAAAAACTATACATTTTTGTATCAGTTTCCATTCACTTTCACACTTACTGTATTATTTCACGCTCAATCATAATGGAAAGAGATGAGTTTTGAAATCACTTGGAACAGTATTATTTGAGGTTCTTCAACTGCGTATAATTACGTACTTGTATAATTTAATTATTTGTGTGGTACAAATACGAGTTTAAGTACAAAAGCACAATCTGAAAATTGAAATTATTGATATTTTAATGTCGCGTTGTCTTCCGGTATTGCGGGGTTTCGTTTAGCACTGCGCAAGTAAGTATGAGCGTTTTGTGTTTGCAGTTTGTATTTCCACCTTTTGTTTTATAGTATGTTGTTTTCGTTTTTATTTTATAACCGGCAGCAAGCCTCGTTCGGCAACGTTGCCGAACTTTGGAAAATGCAACATTTCCACTTTCGTTTTCACTTGCCACTAAAATAAAAATTACGTACACTTGAATGTGGCACAGAAGAAAAGAAAAACAAAATTACAACAAAGCAGACACCAGTTGGTGGGTTTACAGTTAGACCACTGGCAGGCCTGAAATTAATCGCAGACGCTCTTTGCCGGCTCTCTTCTGGTGGGCGCAAGTTCTCTTGCTCCGTTTTTAGCTCTTCTGGTTGCAACTTTGGGTTGCAAGGTCTGTGTGTGTGTGTGTTGCAATAAAAAGGCAACAAACATATTGAAATGTACTTTCAAAAACAATGCGAGGTGTGATTTCGAAGTATAGGCATTGAAAATAATATAAATATGTAAATAAATTATTGATTGAACTATGAGGTTCAACTTCATTTTCTCACTACAATTACTTTTCACCAGCAACTACCCAGTTATACTTTAATTTTTAATATATTCTGCGGACTTAAAAATATCTCCTTTTAGGTATATGACGCAGACAATTGTATTGATAAAGAATTTGTGCAATTGTTTTACTTTTAAAAAGCAGTCAACAACTGATCTATATTGGTTTCAGAAACTTTTTTGATTCCTTTAAAGGTAATGTTCATATTTTAATTACAAGTTTGTTCAATTGAATCAGAATTGGCAAATGTGTTCAATTCCAAAAAAATGTCTGTACACAGAGTATTCCAGTTTTTTAACCCAATTGCTCAATCTTTTTTGGACATGGAAGTCTAGTTGAATTAGTAGAAAGAACTGTAAACTATTTTATTTCAGTTTGAAACAGCTTTCATTTGCATTTAGCAGCACTAAAATCTTCATATTCTGTCCTATTTGGACAGATTGCAGAACACGGGGCGTATGTGTAATGTTAATGGCGATTGCAGCATTTACTTTATTTAACGTTGCAACACCTATACGAGTACGCGGATTTGTTGCGAAAAACTTAACCGGGTATTCGAATCGCTAAAACACAACTCAGCTACAGATTGTAAAAACTGACAACCGAAACGTCTCAGTGCTAGCCACCAACTGATTTATGAAGCAGACGCACACGTCCACAAAATTCAACCGGCACGGCCCGCCAGCATAGGCGTAGCGAAGAGGGAAAAATCTCCCTAGAATGCAAGAGAAACACAAATACTCTTCGCCATTCACAAATGCCCATTCATTAGTTGTCTATTTTGTTTATGACTTCATTCATTTTAAAGCGTTTTTGAGATTACTAAATATTTGATTATAAAAAACACGTAACCTTTCCTAACTGTGATTCCGACTACGCCCCTGGCCGCCAGCAAGCACAACAATATCGGAAAGAGGGAGAGTTGTGCAAGTGTCAGCGACAAGAAGAAAGCGAGTCGCGCGAGTGCGTGATCCTTCGCAGCTTAAGCTTAGGATAGTCTTCTTCAACTCGCGCTCCCGTTCGACTGAAGGGCGGTCGCATATGTATGTAAGTATGTATTGTTCACAATTACCATGCGCATTGTTGTTTTGTTTTCATCATTGCTTTGGACCAATAAACAAACAAAAGCGACCCTCACGGTCACAGCGTGTCGATGTTGACAAGTTTAAACAAAAGCCTCGCCTGTCTTGTTGGATCTCTGTTTCTTTTGTCATCTCTTCGCACACTGAACATTTACCGTTCCTGGTTTAAATCTGAAAATCAAGTTCAAGTTCATGCATTCGAATAAATCGTTCATTCAAAAGGAATGCCTTGCTACCGGGTAAATAAATATTTTTTCAAATCTCTACTCTGATTAATATATGATAATATGTTTTGAAATATTTCTTCATATTTTTTAATTTTTATCTTACTTTTAATTTAGCAATAATCATTGCGCAATAAAAGACCATTTAGCGAAATAATCATTCCTCGCAGCTCTTTATTGTGTGAATTCAGATTGGACTTTCAAAAAGTTGCCAAGTGAATTGTTCGTATCGGTGGAAATTGGAGCAGCAGATCTTCATCGTATTGTCACCAACAAGGGCGGGCGTCCTTGACTGCTGCCAGACTCTTAATTGGCACATAATTTAAGTGCAGGCGCACTCGCACTTGCTGGCGACTGGGAAAAATAACGGCATTAATCGCCAAACCAGTATTTTGTTCTGAAAGTGACTTGAAGCTTTGCGGAAGGTCAGTTAAGGGTTTCGTCTTCGGCAGCGTTAATTGAACGCAATCATCGGGACGTTGACATAACTGGTGTCATCTTGGTGTGGCATCCAAAGTGGCTTTTGGCTGTCTCTGTCAATTAATTCAGAAAATGACAAAGCAATTGCATTCGACCCACAAATTACGTACACATCGTACACATATATGTATGTAAATGAGAAAACTTTGCTTTGTTTATATTTCCCCCCAACAATGTTTTATTTCCAAACGCAAAAGGCAGGCTCAGTGCCTAGTGTTTGATGGGGTTTTTTGGATGTAGCGTGTACTGCTTGTTGCTCGCTTTTCGTGTGTGTGCCTCTAGGGTGACAGTGATTATTGATATGGCATGTATTTGCGTTTATTAACAATCAATACGACACGCTCGCAATGAAATTATGGGCGAATGTAATTATTGTACCCTGCACCCGAAAGGCTAAGAATGTTTGCGTCAAGGTATGCGCTGGGCAGAAGAAGTGGAAATAAACAAAAATTTATCTTTCTGTGTTGTACCCGCATTGACAAAACTTGGTATGTAGAATAATGCAACATGTTTTGTTTTTTTGTAATGCATTTTTTTAAACTTTATTCTATGTTCTGATTTGTGGGATTTATAAATTCGAACTAACGTAGTAGTAATTTGAAATGTTTAAAAAAAAAAATAATTATTATTATTTACAAAATTATGGAAATCTATGGAATAAATGAAATTCCACATTTAGTTATATTTTATGTCTAGTTGAGTTTGATCTTATCGTTACCGTTAGTCCAGGCATACTTTTTTGAGCTCATCATTTTTATTGCGCCCAAAGGTATGCTACAGTTTCTGCACGTCAACAACCACTATACACGTACATAGATAGCCGTTTCATAATAAAATCAGCCATTTAACTAATTGAAAAAACATTGGCTATACTGAAACTAAGATGGAGTATAAAAAAAAGGTACTACTCGGCAAATCGCTCCAAGTAATAAAGATTCAAATAATGATAAGTTATTTATTAAGAAAACAATATTTTTTTTAAAATATTTTAGCCACTTAGCATGTAATAACCATAATTATAGGGAAATTGTGTATTTTTTGGTTTCGGTAACTCTTTGGCAAATAATATAAAATCACAAAAAAATGTAGAAAAAAATAAGTAAAGGGATGAACCCAGCAAAACTTACGGCTTAGAAACGTCTAGTAAAGGTGGCTAAGAAGCACATGACTTGCTTACAGGCTGTGTTAGTTTTTTGCAAGAATGTGGGTGTTTTGTCTATGAAAACCGTTTACTTCTCCTCAGAACTTCGTCCCGTGTGTTGTTTGCACAAGCAAGTGAAATTTTTTTTCAATGAAACACTGCAACTTGGCGCTTGTGCTTTTGGTTGTGCTTGCAGTTGTTGTCGAGCCGCCAAGCTGTGAACACCGCGCGGAAAGCTGCCGGAAGCGGAGTATTTATAGAAAATGTGAGTGCATATCGCACGGCATGTGTATGGTTTGTGTGTGTTTGTAGTTGTGAGGTTGGGAGTTCGTGATTTGTTTACATGTCAAAATCAAAATAATAAAAACAAGTTTCGGGTTGCTATTGCCGCATAAAGTATTTTCACAGCCCATGTTGTTGCAATCGAAGTTGTTGCCGTTGGAGGTTGGAGGTTGGCATTGTTGCCGTCGAAACAGAAACAAGAGTCGACTGCCTTGGTTTATGGCGCAGTGTCCTTAAACAGCGTAAACTGTTGCAGGGCTAGAAATTTGAGGATGGTGTGTAGGGAGACTGACACGTGCCACAAGCCACATAAGTTGCAACACTCGGACTAAATTTGTACTAAGATCTGCACTCTGGGAACGAACAATTCTTGATGGATTCGTATTGATTTCAGGCCCGACCTTATCCTGGCTTCATTTATTTCATGTCTTGCTAATAGGCTCCATTTGGGATTAGACTTCATTTATAAGTCAAAGTAGAATTTATTTTGGTAATGTTGAGCTTCATCTGAGCTTCCTCAATCTCGATTGATCTGGATTGAAGCGCACTCAAGCAAATTACAAGTACGATTCGAGTAATATTAAGCACGTACGCCCTTTTTCCATAATGTAGCGTTGTCTGTAAGGGAAGTTTATAATTGAGCCTCAAACGAATGGAATCACTTTAGCTTTTCACTTCAAACTAAAACAATAATAAAACCAATAACAATAATAATTTTTGTAATACTTGTAGGTAAAGCACACATTGAAACATTTTGATGACCCCTCGAATGCTGTTGATTGTCGAAGCATGTCCGCAATTTTGTTGCAGCAACAACGCGTGCGATGCTTTAGAAAATCAATTATTGGCGCTAGGACTGCCACAGAAAGGTGCATAACTTTCATGAGTCGCGAGCTGGCAAATAAGAAGAGTGCCCCTGCCCCGCTGCGCTCGCAGAGACTGCTCTGCGAGAATCTGGAGCTCGAGAAATGGCGGCGAGCTCCATCTCTGCCTTCCGAGAGCATTATGCGCCACCAAAGACCGGAACTGCCGGGCGATGATTATCGCATCTATCAGCAGAACATTGATCTGGACTCCTTTTTCGGGGACCAGCCGAAATACGAGAAGGTATCGGACGTCTGTCTCGTCAACGATCACTACATGCTGGTGAAGATGCCCGACTCTGAGCCGCAGTTGCTGCGACGGGAAACCCAAGCAGCCGAAGCTATCGCTCTATCGAACGGTGTGAAAAAATCTAGATGGGGCTCAGGTCCCAAGATGCCTCGATGCTTCAAATGCAATCGCAGCAGCCGCGTTTCACCGATCCTGGAGGAACTGGAAGATGCCGCAGACCCACAACAGGGCCAAGTTGTCGCCAAAACTTGGACGGCCTGCGACGATGTTGAAGTTTTCGAGTCCAGCACTCGCATCATACATCCTAAGTCGCCTAGCCCTTTGATTTTTGAGCAGCCAAAGAATAATTCTGTTGAAACTAATCTTCAACTAGAGTCCAACGCACCGCCCCAGCCCCATCCTGTGGTGCGCAGCGCCCTGTACTGGTTCCTGTGGCCATTTCGCCGGCGAAGCGGAAGCAATGCAAGGACAAAGGTCAATGCCGCCGTTCATAAAACATATTTTGTGCGTTGGACCAAGCCACCAGACACCCTCTGGCAAGGCTATGGTGTGGAACGTGCCGACAAGATCGCCATACGTCGCTGTCGTTCCGCTTTATTCTAGAGGTTGGACTGAAATCAACAAGGCAGTCTTGGACTGCTTAAGCTAAGTAAGAAAACTGTGGGTCCAGCCAAACTTGTTAACATGGAATTTGCTTATTGGTTTCATTATAATAAATAGTAACTTATTCATATAGTATATGTACTTACAAATATACAACTCCTTCAATATAACTAAATAATAGACACTTCAGTTTGTGATAAATTAAACCACAAAGTCAAAATATCAATAACTAACTGTTCGTTGATTGCAAAAGAGTATTCTAGAGTGCTGTAGATACATGTCGAATAACAAATGGATATGGCGTGGTAGAATAGGGAATGAATGATGAGGATTTGTAGCATTTATAGAATAATGGTTTTGTTTATCCAGTAAAAACTTGTCACATTGGTTTTCATTTATCAACAAATCTATTTAACTAACTGGAGAGAAAGAAGGCTCTTAGAACAAAATTACAGATTTATTCATCATACAGATTCTTTCAGTTTCCAGTTTCCAATCATACAGATTCTTTCAGTTTCCAAAAAATATATTTAAGAATTTTAGAGTACCTTAAAAGGTTAAACAATTACTTTTAGCAAGCTTTTAATGCAATTTTGCATTATTATTCCCTAACAGAAAATACCACAATTCCACAACCTTAGTTTAACAACCGAGTATACGAGTATGGGCAGGATACATATAAAATTGGCTGTGCAGTTATCTGCAGCAGCAAAAACGACTGGAAAAATAATAAAAAAACTAAGTATTTAAGTTGCAGATAAAGCTCAAAACTTTATATTATTTTCTGCGGAATTTGCACGCGTCCGTGAAGTCAACTCTAGCGCCCGAGCCCGACGTTGGCGCATACCGTGAAGAGGCTTCATTAGTTGCATACGTGTATATGGATGTACACTGAAAAAAATGCCCGAAATTGCATTCACCTTTAAAAATTCGCCACTAAAGTAAATCTGAAGGTAAAGACCCAAACAAACATATTTTATAATATTTTTACAATATTAAGTAAACGTTGACCGGAAATTTAGCAAAATATTTCTTAAAATCAGGAATTATAAAAAACTGTTTGGCAAAATAATAAATAAAAAAATCCACCTTAGTGAAAAATCCCAATTTTGAGCACAAAATTATGCATCTGAAAAAAAAGCATTACTGAAAATTTCCTACTAATTTAAGAAAGATATTTCTTTTAATAATTTAATAGCAAAAAAAAGTTAGATACTACCAAATTTTTAAATTTTAAATGTTAGGTTTTTTTCTAAAGCCTAGAAAATCTATTTTTCTGTGTGTATGCATAAACGTTAAGGCATATAAGTATTCACATGTATGTATGTATGTATATACATACATACATATGCAGTGTTGAGCGTGCTGTATGAAGTTGGGGCAAAATATCGGGCAATGTCGTTCGTTACTCCCGTTAAGGTGTCCAGCCCGACGGTGGCGCTGACCGCGAACTACCTGCCACTACTAATTACGAGAACAATAACAGGCGTAGAAAAAAATAAAACAGCAATTGCCGGGGAACACGATAAAGAAACCAACTATTGTCACATGCACGACTCCAACTCCCGACTCCGACTCCCGACTCCGACTCCCGACTCCGACTCCGATACGGTACTCTACTAGTGTCGGTCAGAAGGAGGCCGTATGCCGAGGACTGCAAGCAGCCGAGCGCCACACACACACACACACACACACACACACACACACACACACAATAACAACAAAAATTAAAACCGTCACGCCAAGCGCAATTGCGGCGAAAACAAAAGCTAAATCAACAGCAGAAGGAGTTGTCGCTGTTGTTGCCTAGTGTTCAATGCTAGAGCGAGACAGCAGGTCGTAATATTAAATCATTAATATGCATTTCTCGTTCCCCCTCTCTGCTACTATGTATCGTTGCTGCGATTGCGATAAGAAGAACGCGTTTTGTATATCCAAAATCGAACTATGATATATACTGCTATACAGAGAGAGTGGCCAACATTTCTTGTCCGCGTCCATTGTTATTTTTATTTTATATGTACCCTTCCGTTGCGTTTCTGCTATTTGTCATTAATTATAATGCCGCGAACATTGGGCCTTAAATATGCGAGCATTAGCATTAACCATTAATATCCCCAACCGCCAGAGTACGTGTGTTTCCATGTGAAGGTGAAATAAATTCGTGTTGCATATGGACTAGGAGCGCCAAGTTTGGTTAATGTGCGCTCAACCGTTTCCGAAACTGAGGTGTTCGTCGAGACAGATAGGCAGACGGACGAGCGGACAGACGGACGCACACATGTGTAGATCGATTTCTCTGGTCATGCTGATTAGGAATATACAATCATATACAGTCGACTCTAGTTAATTCGAAACTCGAGGGACTCTTAAAATATTACGAATTATCGAGAGTTTGAAATATCAAATGGTTTGAAATTTGTGAGAGAAAATAAATAAAACATCGAATTATTAAGTGTTGATCAATAATTATTTATTAACTGCTATTCTATAACAATGTCAAAAGAGTAAAAGTAAGAGAGGTTCGAATAATCGCAGGTTTGAATTAACGAGAGTCGACTGTACGTATACTTTATGGGGTCGGAGACGCTTCGTTCTGACTGTTCCATAGTTTTACCAAACTAAATACACTACTACTCCACAGGTACAGGGTATAAAAGCAGAAAACACTTGCTGAGAGAGTTGCCAAAAGGAAGCTGACAAGTAGCCCAAACAGCAAACCCAAACCGTACAAGGGGAAACACGAATGCAAAAGTCCCGCAAAGCATTTAAAATCAATTACGACTATTTAAAAGATCAAAAGCAGAGTGAAAAGAGCACACACATACATATGTACATACATACATGTATACTCTACACATGCATTATCAATAAAACTCCAACTGGCAGCGCGCAGTCAGAATACAATGAAGGTGCAAAGAGAGAGAGCCCGAGAGAGAGAGAGAGAGAGAGAGAGAGAGTGAGAGAGAGGTAAGATTAAGAGACAGATAGCAAGCAAAAAAAACAGTTGGTGGTGAAGTGTTGACAGTCCGAAGTCGTTGGCACCGACTGCGCAACGACCTTCGGCACTTGGGACTGCTCGTCCTGCAATCATCGTTAATGATGCCAATGTCCTTGTCCGCCTCAATTTGACAAATCAATTTGTGCGCAAACAGCGAGCGCTCAAAGTGTCTAAGTCAGTGGGACAGCGAGCGAGGACACACATCGGGCATTAGCAGGCCTGCCAAACGGATCCTGCAACGAAGTAGCCCGGTAGCTTGTGTGACAGACGAAACCAACATGTTTTGGAAACAGACGGTTATACTGTTTGGTCATGGCTTGCAAGAATAATTGCAATTATTCTTATGCTATTTATATTGCAAATGGAACGCAAGAGCGTTGTTTACAATATCTGTTTCGCATTCTATTCAGTTGTAAGGAATCGAAATAAATGTTGTCCAAACTTATAAAAGTATGACATATTGGGTCTGGAAAATGGCTATTATTAACTAAATTAAGTTAAGCCGCATTACTCAAATGCTTATCGAATTTAAATGCTTTAAACAATTTCGAATATAATGTTTGTTATCTTAATGTGAGTTTTTGAATCTTGAACCGGTACAGGTATACGTGTAAACCTAATTTAACATACATAAGTCTTAGTTTATATGTGACAGACCCTATAAAGTTATTCTTGATAGCTTTAACAATATACACAGATTTTATATAAATTATTATTTGATCATTTTTAAGGGAGTCAGCAGAGCCTAAAACTCTCTATTAGTATCTGACCTAGTCGAAAATCATTTGAAATTATGATTGATATCGAACAAATTGTGCATATAGTACAAATTAGTCATTTCTGTATGTCCTCAATCTATCCTTGACTTACAGACTTTGCTATGCTCTCTTGTGTTGCAATAGAACAGCTCATTAGTGTGGATTATCTGCCAGCTCAACAGCAATAGCAACAACAACAACAACAACAATAACAACAGCAACAAAATCGAAAATGAAGAACAGCCCGAAATGAACGCAATTTTCGTCCCGCTGCACTACCTGAAAGTCTAGAGTCCTTACCTTCTAGCGTCAACGTTGAAAACTAAGCCTTTCTCTCAACTCTTGCCTGCGTGTGACTTTGGGAAGGGGTTCGTGTCCTGACTGAGTATCTGAGCCATAGAAGAAGAATGGCAATCCATAAAACTTTATAGAGTATCGTAAAAGTCGAAACTGTTGCTCATGAAAGAACTGAGTGTGCTGTGCAGAGTTTATTGCATGCTTCCTGGCAGCAAAGGATTATTTCCGAACTCTCTCTAATCCCGAGTCGCGTCGCGTCGCTGGCTGCCTGTCTGTCTTTCTGTCGGCCATGCGTCTGAACTTAACAAATCCTTTCGCAACCTTTGCAGTAGACGCGCTTACTGACCTAATTCCAAGGAACAAGAAGTAAGGTTCGGGAACAAATACGCATGTTTGGACGAATTCTCAGCTTGCCTCTGAGATGTGATGCGAATGCGATGGGTAAATATTTTGAGACTTGGGCTGCAGAGTTGCTAATCCGAGCTACAGAAAGCAGAAAAGCTTAGCCGACCTATGAAGGTAGGGGAGTTCACATCGCCGCTAAGAAGCTGATAAAGGATAAACGACTTTTAAATGAAAAAGAAATTGAGAAAAAATTGAATATGATCCAAATGCTGCGGATAGGACGTACCCATGAAGAATTTAAAGAAGTTTATTAATGTAAGGACGGTTAAACTAAATCGATAATAAATAAAGCCCTTAGCCTTGCTCACAAGAGTTGAGTTGTGAAGATTTAAGCTCAGTTTTGAATCAATCATAATAACGTATGTTTTTTAGAAGCGAACCATCGCAACCTCATGAACTTGTTGTAAATGGATTTAAGTTAAGTGACGGGTTTTCTATCTTTGATGTTCGACACATAGCCCATCCATTAATCAAAGGAAGCCCACGATCGGGGCAACTGTGCAGCAAAAAGTTAATTAATCGAAAGTGCCACTCCAGGAAACCCTTTCGTTGCGGCTCCCAACGGTACCAAATGGAGGTGGAGGCGCTTACAAGAGAGTTACAGACCATTTGGTCTTTGAGCTTTCGTTTGTGCTTTTTGGCTTTTTGTGTAATTTTTTATCGCTACCGAAAATTAATGCGTAGTATATCGGGTTTGCAGCATTCGAAATGAATTGCTGCGCCCGATCAGAGCTCCATAGCTACCGTGCACAGTGGGATACGAATTAAATTATGTTTAAATCTTATTGCATTATTAACGTAGCTGAAGTTGCTTGGCATTGGTATCGGACTTGGGCCATTAATTGTGTTTTACCATCGTATTTATCAGTAGCATGACCAGCGAGTGCGTTTAAGATCGAACCAGATACGGTTTCAGCAAAATAAAAACACACACACAGACCCCTAAAAGGATTAGTGCTACCTGGAAATTGTAAATGGTAGGAAGTCAAAGCAAACATAACTTGGACACAATTTGTCTTCATTTGTTCTTTTTTATGAAAACTGGATTACAATATTGAGGATCGGCGTCGACCCCTAAGTAAGAATGACTCCATTTATCTGCCACAAAACCTGAAGAAGGTGTTGCCCTAGATTGCCTTCAACGATAAAGGATGTGTTGGCAGGACGGACAAGGTGCGAATTTGAGGTAAATACTTTGGCCAGGCAATTACTCAATTCGGAAGAACGGGCAATTAACACCTTGGTTGGAGTTTAGTTTTTCGCTAGTTGGGTTCCTCAACTCCTGTCTATCAGGACATTTGTTAATATCCCGTTGAGGCAATTGGATGTACGGCCGATCGTGAAAAGTCTAAAAAAGACCATGATTTTTGTAAACTTGAGTATTGCCCAAATTATAGGGAAATTCGTGATGTGATCAGCATGAAGGATAACAACAAAATTCCCGACGCCACAAGATAACAACCGCTATAAAGTATTACAAAAATTATTATTGAATTAGTATTGATAAAGGAATGAATAATAGAAATAATGAATTTATAGAAAATTTTGGTGCATTTTTTATTGCTAAATATTTTTTTCTATTTCAGATGAGATAGAACTTAATAGCTGGTTGCAATTAATTTAAAGTAGCTTCATGACTTTAAATAAAAATGAAAAAATATACAATGTAGTGCATATCCAGCAATCCACGATGGACAGTTCTAAATAAAAACACTCTCCTAATTTACTAATTTGTATATACTTGTATATACCCAGCAAATCTAGAATATTAAATCACCACTAGAAATAAAGCCAGAAACTTTTATAGAATTTCTTAGAGTTTAACAACATCTTCAATAATCAGAAATTCTTCGAACTTGGAGTCTTCAACAATATTAAAAAATATTTGAGCCCTTTTTTCATGTTATTTATTGTTATATATTTTTTTACCTGTATACTTACCATTCATTAAATTCATCGCCATTGCCATCAGAAAAATAATAAGATTGAAATTAGAAAAGATTTCTATATAAATTAGTTAAATTTTTATTCATCTTATATCTTCTACTTAAGCTCCTTACTTAGATTTGAATAAAACTTAAACTACAACGAACCCTTTTGCAGCTCTCATATAACTTTCAAGATTTATAGGTAGATATTGGAGATCTGTCAGTTTTAGCACGAGCTGACTCTCAAACTTATAGGAACGGGATAAGGCATTGAACTTAGAACTAAGAATTGAAACTATTATGAAGTAGAATCAAGGCGAAGACTTACAAACTTTTAAGCGCTATTTCATCCAAATACCCAATTACTTGGCAGACTTAACATTGTATTTAAAATATTGGCTATTTACTATATACAAAAATATATATATCGAAATGGAAATGATCTTGTCTTTGGCGACGTCAAAAGTCCTGAAGGCCGGCTCTGATCAGAATCTCCACGAAAACCGTTTCGAAGAACTCCTCTAGTACGAGGAGTGATAGAACGGCTATCGGAATTGTTTCGGAGACCGCCGAAGGATTCCTCTGGTACCAGGAGTGGTAAAGCGGCTGGGGTGGAAACACTCTCTTAGTACCAGGCGTGATAGAACGACTGAGGCGGCATTGTCGGATAGTTTACGTTGACCTTAGAGGGCGAGGAGAAGGCAGCTGCGGCGGCGGCTGCATTGAAGTTTTGGGGCATGAAGTGCGTTGACGACGTCGGCGGATAGTGGTGGGGTGCGGTCGGATATTGAGGAGCATGTGCATGGGGATGGTGCGCATGCGGATGATGGTGGTGGTGGGGATGAGGGTGCGCGGGCGTAGAATAGGGCGCGAACTGTGGCGTATGCTGATACGGATGGAACATTTGATGGGCGCCGGCACCAACACCGACACCGACACTGCCTAGACTCGCCTCCAGGGCATTCGACGTGGTCGAATTGAGAGAGTCCTCCGGCGATAGCGGCGCATTGGGGCGCAGCGTAGAGCTCCAGCTGCTGTAGAGCTGTGGTTGGGCGGCCACAAGATCAGCTGCCTCCACTTTTAAGGCAGCCGACAATTCCTCGCTGCTGGCGCTGCCATTTATAACCACCTGGGTCGTAGCATCGCCGCCAACCACGGCTGATAGGCTGTTGGGCGTGGGTGGCAGCTGTATAGTGTTCGAGCCGAAGTTGGAGGATGCCGACTCATTGGGGCTCTCGTTGCGCGGCATTGTCTGATTTGGATCGGACTCGGTGGTATAAACCGAAGCCAGCTGGCTTTCATAGGTTGACGTGCCGGCCAGACTGGAGACAATGATGTTGGGTCCGCCGCTGCCGCCAGTGGTAGAAGCGCTGGAGCTGGGCATCACATAGCTGGCTGTGCTGGACGGATTGTAGAGCTGCTGGTGGTGTGGCGGAGTCGTCGAGTTCATGGACGAAGCTGTTGTGCTGGGCGAGAGATTGCTGCTCACGGCAATGGCAGTGGGAGCGCTGCTGCCATAGAAGTCGTATTGCTGTTGATAGTCGATGGTGGGCATCATTGCTGCTGCGGCGGCAGCGGCGGCCACCGAATGGCCACTATAGGAACTCACATTGGGCACCACAGAGCTGGGCGTGCTCACGCCCGTCACAGAGGTGTGCTGCTTCCGCAGACGTGCCCGCCGGTTGCTGAACCACACCTGGATGCGGGCTTCCGTCAAATTGGTGCGCTGTGCCAGCTCCTCTCGCGTATATATATCGGGATACTGAGTGCGCTCGAAGGCGCGCTCCAGCTCATCCAGTTGGACGGCCGAGAAGGTGGTGCGGCAACGACGCTGTTTCCGCTTCAAGGCAATGCCTGGCTCGCTCTCGCAGTCGGATAAGTCCTCATCGGAGGGCTTGTGCGAAAGATCCGAGCTACAGCTGGAGGGCTTGTGGGAGGAGAGTTCTCCTTCAAGTGGAGCGTCACGACCGCGTACTAGACGCGATATGGCCGAGACGGAGGGTGCAGTGCTGCGATCGCAGATGCCCTCTCTTATCAGCTTTTCGCGTATTTCCCAGGAGAACATGCCCGGATTGGTGCGCTTATAGTCCTCAATGCGATTCTCAATTTCGGGCGTGGCGATGCGTGGCTTAGAACCGCCAATCACTCCCGGCCTAATGGAGCCTGTCTCCTGATAGCGATTCAGTATTTTGGAAACACAGCCATGAGAGACGCGCAGCTGACGCGATATAACGCACGGTCGTATGCCGTCGGCAGCCATCTCGACAATTTTGAGGCGTATATTGTTGGGCAAAGGACGCCCGTTTATGAAGACTCCTCCTAGTTGATTGACACGACCTTGGCCGCCGTTCATGTCTGCAAGTAGAGAGATAATAGAGAAAGTTAGCAACACATTTACATTTCCATTTCCATTGAAAACCCAATGCTAGTTTTTCCAATTTGAGCGCTAAGCTGCCCAGCAGGAGACGCCACTACCAGGTAGGATGTGCACGTTGATCGCGTGCGACCCGCCTGGGTGTGAATTTATTTTTCTTGTGCCACTTGATTTACGACCGTTTTCATCGCCCGTCGAACAATTGACTTCCCTGGAAGCAATCTCAGCGATGCGATCCGAGGCGCAAGGTCACGCGCCTTCAACGATCAATGCTGATGGTGGCAATTAGAGACCGTGCCAGGAGGCCAGCACTAGCTGAGTGCTGAGAGGTAGGATTTCCTAACAATTGGGAATATTTGTGCTGCCACATAAGGGAGTGGACTGGCCGGAACTTCCCTATAGGAAGGACTATTCAGCAATTCATTAATTAGCTACCGATATGGAATAGATTGAGGGACAGAACTTTTTAACAATTTGGAATGTCTCCGAAGTTTGCTCCTAAATTATTAAAAAATTATTTGTATTAATAATAAATATAGAACCTTGTGATAAGTCAGAGACTATATAGACATAGACATAATTTACGTTCGTCTGCCTTTTAAAATCACTGTCAATCACTATGGAATAGGTATTCCCACAAGTTTTAGGTTACCAAGGTTAGAAAAAGCTTACAACCAGCTTAGAAATGATAAAACTTAAAAAAGTTGTTTGTATTTTAAATTGCAATCTAAACAGCATGAAACAGCTTTCTTTTTATACACGTATATCATAGCACAAAAAAGGAAGGACACTTTTTAATTGAAAAAAAAATATTTGTTGCTTTCAAAGAGCCTTTCCTTTCCCCTAAATAATATTACTTGTAATAATCACTCACCTTGCATTGCTGAATATCCATTAAAGAAGGGTCTGTGCATTGCGGCGGCTAACGCGGTAACTGTCATATTTTTTATCACACCACTTAAAGTCAAAACTTTTTCTGTGCTCGCACTGTGGAATTTTAAATACAAGATACTAAAGGAACTGTTCTCCTTGGTGTCGTCTATGCGTTTGTAATTTCACACACGACAGCGTGACAAGTTCAATAACGTATGGAGATCATCAATAAGCATTCCGAGTCAATATTATTCACAAACTGTCAAAATCGGCTTGAGTAGAGAACCGTTAAGTTGGTTTGCAACGACGAAAATGACGACGACGGCGATTGATGTCTTTCTCGTTACCCGGCCACTGCCTGACTGATTTGAGGAAACGTCTGCTGCGCAAGATCGTTGGCTTTCTGTGAAGAATGAGGGAAGCAGAGCAAACAGCAAACACAACAACAATAACAACACTACTAAACGAAAATGTCGGCCATCAGTCGCAGCAGGTAGCACCACGCGGACCAATCAGCAACGTTGCGGTTGCTGCTTCTCGCTCGCACTTTAACCAAACAGCGATCTGTTAAGGCAGCCTAACCACTCGAACTGAACACTGGGGGGCGTCGTTCTCCGCACTCTCTGACTTTGTACCGCAATTTCGAACAACAACAAAATCCAGTTTAACCAATGGGAGCAATTCCTTTCAAGGCTTGACAAACAGGCCCTTTTTGGCGGTAGTCCTGTTGACCCAGTTCCAGCTTCCGTTGTGGCCACACAAAGACCATGACGCCCAGTGGGGGAACTTACAAATTGGCATTCGAATTTAAATGGAAGGCATAATGCATTCGAACACGCATTAAGTTGTTGACAAGCGTATTATATCCTTTATTAATACCTCATTATTGTTCAATTATTAGCATTAGTGAATAAGAAAAGACAGTTCTCAACGTCTTCCTGAACCAAGCAAATCGGTACGTTTGAAGCTCTAAGATGTGGCTCGTTAATATCTAAGTAGTATGCGATAAAGGAAAAATAACGAAAGACAGAAATATACGTATTTGTAAAATGTGACCTTAAAACTAAATATTTTCCAAGTTATATGCTTAAATAATATAATTTTAAATCGTTTTAATTAAGTTTAAAACAACTTTTTGTAAAAATGTTTTGCGAGTATTTTTAAATGCTTGAAGAAGTATGTTTGTTTGACTTTTGAGCCTTCCCCCTTTTATGTGTGCCTCGAAATGATTATAAAACGCGACTTGAGCCTACCATGACCATATCCTTGTCACGCTCAACCATTATGCGGCTTCCCAGCGCGCATGTGAGTTTGATTGATTGTAAAATTTCACGCAACAAATGTGCGCAAGGAAAACAATAGAAATGAAAGGGCAGCCCTCGGAAGAAGAACAAAAAAGCGCCAAAGGTAGCTAGAATTAATGGTTCGGGAGCAAAGACAAACGCCAGCGCGGAAATTAAAAAGAAGAAACTCCACGGTGAGTCCCACTCAGAGACGTGACGAATGCCTCACCATGGTTCGGCGACGGAGGTTGAAGGACAACGGAGGCCGCAAGACAACAAAGAACGAGTTTCTACTGCTCGGTCCGGCTGCCCGTTGGGCCGAAACCCAACAGAAGTGCAACTGCTGGGCTTGGCAGGATAGCGACCTTCAACTGAAGCTGCATCTTCCTCTGACCTTGGCAGAAAGTGCGATCCAAAACTTTTAAGCTACAGAGCTTGCAAGAATTTATTAACTTTCATAATTCCCTTCAATAATTTACTAATTTGTGGCAACAATGCGCATTGAAAGGAAATCCATATAACACTAATTTTTCTCTATCGACGGCGCAAATAGCAAATAACAGGGCCCGATTAGCCGAAGACGATCGCGTCTGAGCCGTGCTTCGCAGTAGGTGGCAGAGTCATAAACGCGCACAGCAACACGTCCCGCAGCATTTTCCACGGAAAGCCAACGGAAAATGCGAAAATGAAGCCCATCATTGCTCCTGCGGTGCTATGAATGAATCTCTCCTCTGGTGTTGCTACAAACATTGGCGATCCCTCGCGCTTACCTGCCAGCGAGCTTGACTTCAACAAGTCGGCGAAATAATAAGACGGCAGGGATTACTTTTTCAAAAAACTTTATTCCCTATTTAATATTGAATTTTTAAATGTATACATTCGTTGGTTTCTATTTGAAATAATAATCATAAAACTAAAGGTTCAGGCAGCTGGATCGTATTCGGAAGAGATATATGGCTCTTCTAAGACTAAGAGTAACTATCGGAGTAATCGCAGTGGCAGAATCGTTTTTTCTCAAATAATTTACCCCCTAAGTGTGACTCCTTAAATGGGAAAGCGATTTCAATTCAGATATTTAAATAAAAGAGCTTCTATTTGCAATAACCTTAATATTTTGTTTAATGACTTAAAAGTAGTTCCCACTCTAATATTTAAAAGTTTATTAAGAATTAAAATGGTAATAAAAAACACAATTATAATGATACCCGCTGGAACTGGAAACTGATTAAGAAGCCAATCAAAATCGTCCTGTTATAACTGGGAACTGATTATAAGGCTATGATGGGCTGACACCCCGCACAAGCCCACATAATTCCCCTATTTTTTTGGTATTATATACACGTTGCGGCGGCGCTATCGCCACCGAATAAAATCAACTTAGTGTTGCATTTTTCACGGTCCTTCCATAACGCTCAGGTTTTCACAAATTCAACAGTCATTGTGCAATGCTCGTAAAAGATTTTTCTACTTTTTCTCTGGTTGTTGGCAATTGATTCGATATGGCCAGCCGTCGTAATGGGGTCTGTGTCTGTTGTCACACATGGAATGGCCTTGATTGTTTCCATGTCCACGATCACGTTCACCTTCTCCTGGTACTTCTCCTCTCCATGGCTACTTTAGAACAACAACAGACCCAAATATAGGCTACATGCATGACGAGATCTTCCCGACGGGAACTTCAGAAATCTTGATAAGCCGATCTCACCCATCAAATCGCATTAGCGGTTTGAATTTAGACCAATCTAGCCCATTTCAGAGGATTATGCTCCCCAAATGTGATTTAACACTTCTTTCATATTATCTAGGTTTCTAGCTGCACAATTATTTTGAACTAATTAATTAGTAATTAATATGTAAAAGCGTAAAAGTTGTGCCAGCCCGACTGTAGAATATGCTGTAGCCAACCTTTTGGGATATCTTTAAAAACAAAACCGATCAAACCGATTGTAAAACAAACTTGCAATACATATGGATAAGTCCGTCAAAAGTTTTCGGCGCTCATATGGACGAACAGAGGGGCGAACTGTCAGATGGACGTGCCTATATCGATTTATCTCTCATTTGGCGCTTTATTTCCTAGTATATCCTTTCACCCTTCGGGTGAGGAAAGCTAAATTTTGTATAAAGAGGATGCGTATCATTGCAAACTAACGTGGCTATATGTGTAGCTAGCATGTGGCATTTGGTCACAGTTCCTCTGACCATTAACCATTGACCACTGACCTGGTCGAATGCTGCGGCCAACCATTGGATTATGAGCTGGCATTGTTTTGTAAGCAGACGGCGCAGATCTCGGGGAGTTTATTTTCAATTTTCAATTGAATTCAGCCGGCATGAGCTTATAAAGTGAGTTAATTTGCGGACAATGGACTTCCCCAGAATGTGCCGTGACCCACAAACAACTAATGCCTTCAATTAGCCAAACTAAACACATTTTCCAGCCGCCGTCTCGCTTCCACAAGGGGTTAAGGTTTAAGGGTTAATCGCATTCGAGCTGCTGCTGATCGCTGCCAGAAAAAGCCCACGAGGTGTTGGGCGTGGGTTGCGTTAAGCCGCTTTTTTGTTACCTGGGCGTCGGGCTCTCCACCCACGAACCGGCTCAGATCCGTGCCGAATCGTTTACAAATGTTGATCAATAAAAGGCTGGTCGTCGGTGGCGAGTAATGCGATTATCCGCTATAATCATGCCAGATACATGGCTCAACACTTCAACATTTTTGCAAAATATTTGAAAAAGTCAACTGACTATCTGACGGCTCTAAGCTGTGCGACTTTCTCGCTAATCTGGCATTTTGTTGCTATTTGTTTGCATGCTTTAGTGTGGATTTCGCTTTTACGATCACCTTTCAGGGCAAGACCCAGGCGGGAATCTTTGCAACACGTTCGAGGGCTGTTACCCAGGGGCAGGACATGGCCACATATTTGAGCCTTGGATCGCCTAAAACTAAAGGAAGATAAGTCAAGAAGTTAATTTGCCAGCCAATCCGTTCTACTGCCAGCAGTAGTTCGAATATCAGTTACTCTTCTAAGCCCATTTTAATTAAAACCGGTATACAGAAATATTTATTAAATTCGCTATTACTTGTTAATATAAAGAGCAACTTGTTTTTTTAGTTATATTTAAATTGAATATTGTTTTAGGTTTTTATTGCATGTTTTTCGCATTTTCGGGTTCTGCAATATTTTTACAATTAGAATAAGTAAGAATTAAAATGATTTTGTTAAAAAAAGGAGTTGCTTAAAACCAATTATTTATTATTACTTTACCAACGACCCGGTCTGGACATTATTGTTAAGGGCTTTTGTATTCGGACTAGTTATACATATTTCTAAATCTATTCATAATCACAACTAGAAGTAGAGAAACCAACTAAAGAAACAAAAGGATTTCATAGGTCATTCGACTTGATACGAATATTTTATGTAAATCTTTGGACAGCTCCTATGAAGGGAATGCTTAAAACTACATTAGTTATAGTCGTTGCTTAGCATTTGATTTGGACGCTCTACGAGTCATTCATTTGTACTGTATTGATACAGGAAATTTATTTAAATGGGGCGGCCAAGTATTGCCCCAGAGTAGTTATGCAAAAACGACGGATGGCATTCCTATGCCGGGGAGAAATTTCCGTCAAATTCGTCACTGCTTTGGTTTAAGGACGAGGCGTTTCTGACCGATATACACCCACTTTTGTTAAACTCATTAGTTGGGCGGCAACGACGACTCGATGCCAAAGCCGCTAAAAGACAACAACAAAACAATCCAATCTAAAGATTACTAAACGTCGTGTCGGCACGATCAGAGGGCACCACATACATATGCACCTTCAACAACAAATTGATCATTAAACAGAAGGCGCAAGGTGGGCGCAACAACAGCAACTACTCGTACAAAACAGCAACAACATCTCCAATACCGAAAAGCGCCCGCGGAAACAAAACACCAACACCAGGTCGGGCCGTCAGCCACAAAATCAAACATCTGGAGGCAGTGTTCGAATTCCCGTTCACGGCTCGCCACAGGGTAGAGGAGCAGAGGTGGTCAGGGGTCGTGAGCACGCGTGATAATTGCTTTAAAAAACCTGGAAAAAACACTTAAAACGTTCAATAACTCCTGATATTAGTCAATACAACATCCTCCGCACATACTGAAGAATTCAAAGATTTATAGTGATTTATTTATTTTTATTGCAGATACTTAGCTCGCTTATTTAATTATTAGTTTACTTTAAATACAATTTTTCTTTATACTTAATAATTCATTATTATTATATATTACTATTAAAATTCCACTTACAATTACAAATTGCAAGCAGCTTATAGAGTAAGCTATAGCTACTAAGGCTTTAATATCTTGAAATCTTATTTCTTATCATACCTTTTTAGAAAGTCAGTCTGATTTATTCGATTTTATCGTACTACTGCCATAGGAAACTTCAGTCGATGCTGTATTTTAATAAAAACAAAACTCATTTCTGCACTAAGCTGTATAACTAAGAATTCATAATTTCATCATTTATGATTGTATCTAAAAAGATTATTCTTTCCACAACGTTATATCCATAAATATAGTGTTAAATCGTGCTGGGCCCTCCATTTCGTGACTCTGACGTCTCGAACCAGGTCCATCTCCAGTACTTGTAGGTAACCTCATCGAAAACGCTGCAGGGCAGGGAAAAAGTTTCGGGGGAAGAAGAAAGTGACCAAGCAGGCGAGCGACTGACCGACCGACCACTTGTCCGTCTGTCTGTCAGTGACAACAAGATTAATATGTTTTCCTCTCTTGCTGCCACAACGTTCGATCACCACCATCCATCCATCCCGTCCCATCACCATCGCCTTCAACAGTAAACAACCTGTTGCCGGCACTTTAGTGATTTGTAATTGTTCTGCGCTTCGGTGTTGGACGGCAGTGAACGACTTCTTTCAAAATCTTTGGCTATTCATCATTATCAACGATCGAAATTATTATAGTCGCACCGATCTCACGAAGAAGGTGGCGTTTTCTCTCACTTAGTCTCTCACAGCCATCGTTTCGTGGCTGGCGTTTGAACATTAGCAACGGTTCGTATCGGAAATATGCGAATTTAAATAAAATTATTCAATCCATTCATTAATCAAGTCAATGACTTTAGCCCGAGTCGAGCTCACATTATTGTAAAGTGTCTCCCATGCCTATTATTTTGTGTACAATGGTTTCCATGAGCTGCATTATTATCCCCTCGTCCAGCTCAATACCCAACATGGAGTTATCTTTCGTTCTCTGATATTGTCGATTGGATGATTTAAATGTGTGCTACAGTTTCAAAGATTACAACAACGTGGAATTGAGTTTTAAAATCAGATTTAGAGCTCCTAATGATGATGATAATTAAGGAGTCCATATATGTGGTACGCTGATCTAAAACTTATAGTTGCCTTTCTAGCTGAGAGGTTTGCTTCCACACTATTGCCTGTATGGGGATCAGAGGAACCATTATCAATATATTCACCTGTAGATAATTCTTCTGGAGACTGATCTTAAAAATGATAGCAAGCTGTCGAAAGTGCTTGTACAAGCACTGAGCACTAGCAACTGATTGGCCTGGGACCTATCTTGGCAAAGAGCTGATTATTCGAATATAAAAAAAGATGATATTGTAAATGCCGTTCTAAGGTCTGTCCTAAGCATCAATTGGAATCATTCTTTTATAGGTGCCATGAAGAACTTTCTTGAACTCTGAGGAGGCTATGTAATATAAGCTGCCCCCATTTCTTGGCAGCCCGTTGGATATCGGCTTTTTTTATTACTACCGTTGACTCTCCAAAGTTATGTCTTTTATTCAATGGAGATTTCCATAGCAATACATTTCTAAAAGTTAAAGAAGGAGGAGAGATGCTTTGCCACAGTTGTGTGCATATGTTCAATGGGTAGAGGGAGTATAAAAAAAGCAGGCGTGACCAATCGGTAGGCCACGAAGCCCACACTTAATTTCCATTTAATCACACTGAACGCCACAGACTCAAAGATGTGCCTCCACTAGCCCCGCCCCCGCCAGCTGTCGACTGGAACGGAGACGGAGACAGCGCACGAAGGGCTCATTTGCATGTTAGTAGGGCGTTAAGCACTTTGATTTTGATGCGCTGTACGCAGGAGGGGAGTGCTAGTTGATGGGCCATGCGTTTAAGACGCAACGGGTTTCGTCATTTCTGAAATTTCAAAAGAAAACTGCGAGCTTGTTTGACAATTTTCCATGAATTGTCGCGGGCGATCCAATCGCAATTATCACGGCCGCAAACATATCAAAGGAGCCAAAAACAATTTCTCCCTGATATCATTCCCGATCTGTGCAACCAGACGCACACACACACACACACTCACAGACACGCCAGAGCCCTCAATGAACAATCATTCGCGCAATCTTTGGCATCTTTAGTTGCTCATAAAGCCGCACAAGTCCACGATTATGATGGTCAATAGAAAGACCATAAACCTCGTCGGACAAGTTTTTGGCAGGCTAAGAAGCTTCGACATTTTTCGTTAAAAGTCAAACTGAAAAAAACTACCTTCTAGCCGGCATTGTTTCGACGATCAGTGACCGTGAAATCACAGCATTCTCAACGCTATGATATATGGTTCTCAACAAAGTTTCCAAAATGCAAAGAGAGAGAGTAACACAGCCATCACCAGGTCCGGCCGAACTCATTATGCGTAGGAAGTGAAACGCTAGCCTGGACCTCTGTTTTATGATGCCTCCTGCTTACGTTTTTCTTCTTCCAAACTTCTAGAAAACTATGCGTGCGCATTCCTCTGAGGAGCAGGCAAACAGGCAGGTAATTTTTCCGACTCTTATTTTCATTTGTCGCAACCGATTATGTCCAAATAAACCATTATTGGTAACTGCTCGCGAAGTTAAAAATTGTTTTAAAAAAAATATGCTCTACTCTCCTTTCCATTGTCTTCAAAAGGGTTTTTACGCTTCGACTTTTGTTTTGACTTTTTGACTCGAACGGACTTAGTTCGATGGAAATATTTTGACAGAAAACATTTCTCCCATCATATATACCCGTATATATGCAGAGTATATGAATATAAGAAATGTTTTCCAAAAATGACGACTTTAAAAGCATTCCAAATAATGTCAATTTAAGATACTGGGACAACAAACCCATTCTGCTTTTCATTGTCTTCAAAACTGGTTTAACGATTTAGCTTTTGTGTTAATTTTTTGACTCGAAGTGGGTCTCAGGATCTCAGGTCTTTGGAAATATTTTAATTCCAAAACGTTTCTAACACCATACATGTGAAGGTATATAACTAATAAAACTGTTCAATATTGTCCAAAATAATTACATATTTATTATATAATTCTTCAAATTTTCGTTGGTTTAATTTGCTATATTTATCTTGTTTATTATTTTGCAAGTATTTTTTAATAATTTTGTAACATTGTTTATTTTTATAAAACTATGTTTACTGACTGTTTTCACTTGATTTGTTGATTTAAATAAATAAAAAACTGTCTGTCTACCGGATAGGCTTTTAAAAATTAAATTAAAATTAAATAGTAACTTTTCCTTGTTTATCAACACAAATAAATAAAAACCAGACGATATCAAATTGATATTTATATTCCTTATCAAATATCCATTATTTATAAATACTATTTATTTCTCTTAAAAACCCTGTCCAGTATTTGTGTATTTGTATTCGTAGAAGCCGCACATTCATAAACTCCGCCCCAAGCTACCACAAAACACGTTATGTCGAATCTCATTTGATTCGCTGTTCGGTCAGTATGTGGTTTAAAGGAAAAGAGTATGCCAAACATGAGGGAAGGTCAATAGGACTAATAAAAGGCGACCTTGTAGAAGCGCCTACTAGACTCCCTACTGGAAATGTTAACAAGCTTTGAAACCGATACGCAAACGCATATGCGGCTCTGTGGAACCGTTCTCGTTCCCGAATTGGTTTCGCATCGCTTGTTATATCCTCAATTTTACACCAAAATTTGCAGTTGTGCGGTTTCGGTTTCCATTTTTGGTCGCAGTTTGGTCGCCGATTTTCCACTCTGCACAGCAAGGTGCTCGACCTTTCTGGCGTTTTGGCTCGTTCGTGGAAGTTCTAACTTGCAAATGGTCGTAAATATTTTGGGTGATTATTTTAAATAATCGTGCATTAATGCCCTTGAAATTCTACGTTTTAAACATGCATATTCTGCAAATTAAAATTTTTCCTTCTGAAAATTATTTAAATTTCCAGATTGGCTTTGCTAAAATCTTTAAATTTTCTTCCAGTTGGCTTATGAAGTTTATGATATTTTATTGAGATCGTTTAAATTCTGTTTAAATTTGGATCGCCAAGAATGCCTACTTGAAAATATTTGCAAATATTGTTTGAAGGGAAGTTTTTTGAATTAAATTTTGAAGCAAGTTCGATTAAATCTCTCTTTATAAAGGCAACCGTCTTTGACCTACACTGTCACGTCGATATCGATTTAGCATATTCGCATATCGGTATCGGAATGTGCACATCTCGAATACAAATTGTCAGTCAATTAAAAGAAGAAGAGAAGGGCGAACGCATTTAGCGTATTTTGCATTTTATTTAGTGATTACAACAGTTTTATAAAGCATAAATAAAATGTCTGACCAGAAGCCAAATGGAGACGATCTAAATGAACTGTTGGACAGTGAGTGCCGGAAATAAAAATATACATGTTGTTTTTTTAAATTACATAATGCATATCCATTTACAGATGCGCTGCAGGATTTTGACAAATCATCCAGTAAAGGAGACACGCAAGGCTCTGAGAAAAACAACTCCTCAGCTGAGGCTGGTGGAGTGACAGGCGATAGTGGCGATGATCCAGATTCATTTTTCGTGTAACTACCCCATTGTGATTGTTCGTCGTGCACATTTTAATATGAGACACTTGAACTTTGTAGCGAGCAAGCGAAAATATTGGCTGACCGCATGAACACTTTGTTTGGTGGACCGGACACACCTTCCGGTGATATACCACCATTGCCTCAAGATCCAGATCAGATAATGGCTGGTTTCAAGAAAATGGCTGAAGCAGCCGCCCTCACTCTGAGTGGTGAAAACCCAGCGAACGACGAAGAAGTGTCAAAGTATTCAGATAGCATTGCTCAAGCTTTAAAAGTGAGTAAAAGTAGTAAATATCGTGGTAACTTAAAACCAAAAAAAAAAAAAAAAAAAAAAAAAGTAGTAAATATATTTACGGTCTTTGAATACAATATGCTTCTACTCAAGGGACTGCAAGAAGGCACCGAAGGTTTGGCGGCGCCCGCCACAGAAAACGACATTGCTGGCATGTTCAGTTCATTAAATTTGGATGGTGTAAGTGCATCATCAATGCTGTTGCTATGGCAATGTTTAACCAATTTACAAATATTAGACCGGCGATGCGGATGGCAACATGTTCTTGCCTTTCATGGAGGGCATGATGCAGAGTCTGCTTTCAGCCGAAATACTATTACCTAGCATAAAAGAACTATTGGAAAAGTATCCAAAGTACCTAGAGGATAATGCTGATAAATTGTCCGCGGAAGACAAGGAAAGGTGAGCAAGTTATCCAGGTTGGCCAACACAACTTGTTAATACTTTATACAATTTAGATACCAAAAACAACTTGAACTCTACAAAATAATTGAGGGTCATCTGGAATCGCAAGGAGCCGATGATACGGCCGCTGTGAAGCGTGAGAAATTCCGGGTCGTTCTTGACGACATGCGCAAGCTGCAAGATTATGGTCAACCTCCAGCAGAAATTCTAGCCGAAACAGGAGGTGATCTACCCTTTGGCGACCCCACAGCACTGGCTGGTGGTGCTCCGAACCCGCAATGCCCCACCATGTAAGCTGGGCTATGGCAGGCCTGAGCGAACGTGCCAATTGCGTCCCTATCTGTTGAATGTTTACATAATTATGATAGGAGCTTCATAAACATTACATATTGTCGATACTTGTGGTGGTTTTCGGTTAGGCGGTGACACTTTATTGTTACTTTTGATAAATTCAACAAAAATTGTTTGTATTTTCTTTTGTTATTTTTAGTCTGTTCGAATGTAACAAAACGCAATTACATACTGTGAATGACACGTAATCTTTTAAGTGGATAATAAAACTAAAGGAAGAAGCGACGTCTCGACTCCATAGCGTGGCGCTTGTTACTTATAATCCAAGTATAATCACCGGTCTTGCTGTCGAAAGTTCCTTCCTGCAAGGATCGCAATTTCAACGTAAATCGCGGTCCCAATTCGCGCAACTTCACCCGTTTGCCCTCCTTCGAAAATTCATAACGATGATGGCGGAAAAAGATGTAATCACGTTGATTATGAAATGTGACAGCCCGACGACCTCGAAACTCGGGCTCATGATGGAAAAGAGCTCCCAGCATTCGTCCCACTGTCAGACCAAGTCGCGTTGTAAAATTTGTGAGAATAACTTCGGGCCGATGCTTGGTAATCTCTTTGTGGCTCCGCTTAATGTCCGTTGTCAGTTTCACATTGGATAGTTTGAAATGCGCAGTGGGTCCATTTGGCAAATGAATGACCAGCAGGCCGTTTGGTTGGCGCCTATCTTCATGCACTATTACAACGTCGGTGAATTCCTCTCGCTCTGCACTTTGGCAAATTTTCTTCACAGATGCCTTGTTGCGTATTTTCACGAGCGCATTTGGGAATATTCGAGACAGCTCCAAGCCAAACTTGCGTGTCTTTGTCACCGGATTATCCGCGAATGTTATAAGAACCTTGGGCACATAGGCGCGTTCAAAGTATGAACTAAAGTCGTCAATTTCTAGTTCTTTGTGCAACTCCTCATTGTCTGACTCGTTAAGGGCGTTGACATCCGTTTGGTCTTTTTCGCGCAGACTTTCAATTGTGTGTCCTGGATTAGCAGGTACTCCAGCCTTACGACGTGCCCGGCGCTCCAGCATCTTCTTCTTGTGCTTCTCTTTTTTCATTTTGCGATAGAGTGCCATGCGCTGCTCCTTGTTTCGCATAAGGCTTAACGGATTCAATAGTGGCATCCGCGGTTTGTCATCTTCCGCATCCTCATCATCGTCCACTTCTTCCGCATCCTCATCATCGTCCACTTCATCGCCATTGCTATCACCATCGTTTTCTCCGGCTTCAGCACTTTCTTCGATTTCGCTTTGACTATCATCGCTGTCATTAGACATTTCTTCCTGGACCTGCTCATCCTCGGCACTGCTGGAATCACTGTCTGAATCCACTTCAACTTCTTTTTTCTTGGGTATCTGTTTTCCTTTAATTTTAGGCATCTTTATTACAAATAGTGCGTAATTCTATTAAAACAATGAAAAGCGGCACGTGTTGACGTTCTTCTTTTTCAATTAAACAGTTCACAGCGAGCTAGTACACGTATTAACCAACACTGTGCTGAACAGCTGATCTCTACTGCTCGTGTTCAGGGCGATCAAATAGTGGATAAATGGAATTGGGGTTTCGAAGTAGTTATCTCAACCCCAATGAAGAAATGTTACTACATGTATTAATTATACAAAAAACTGTTTAATTAACGAGAAAACTAAATCACTCCGCAATGGAATTACGGGTTTTAGAATTATTTAGCGGCATTGGCGGCATGCACTACGCTTTTCAATGTAAGCAGAGTTGGTTTATTTTGCTTTATTTATTTACATATTTGATTTTTTGCAGATGCCCAGCTGAAAGGCAAGTTTGTTGGTGTTATGGACATAAATACGGTGGCCAATGCAGTTTACGCACATAATTATAAGAACGTCAAAGTCAGGACGAAGAATATACAAAGCCTCAGTGAAAAAGAAATCGAAAAATTGGATGTAAATATGATTCTCATGTCCCCGCCCTGTCAGCCACACACGCGTCAAGGACTACAACGCGATATAGAGGATAAGCGGTCTGACGCACTGGCTCACATATGCCGGCTTCTTCCTTTATGCAAAACATTGCGCTATGTGCTAATGGAAAACGTTAAAGGGTTTGAGGGATCCCAGGCGCATGAACAATTCATCGGCGCTTTAGAAAAAGCTGGATTTTACTGGAGAGAGTTCATTTTAACGCCTACACAATTCAATGTACCAAATACACGCCATCGATATTATTGCATTGCTCGCAAAAATAACGACTTTAGCTTCCAAGGAGGACAAATTTGGGACGAAATCCCGCTGCCAATGACAACTAATCATCCAATGCCAACAATATCCACAATTCTCGATCCTGAAGCATCAAGCGAACTAGTCCTTCCAGATGACGTACTTCTGAAACGAGTTCCTGTTATGGATATTGTCAATCCAACAGACACCAAGTCTATGTGCTTTACTAAAGCATACACCCACTACAGTGAGGGTACTGGATCCGTCTTTACACCTCTTTCGGGTGAAGAATTTAAACGTATATTTAAAGCTGCGAATGAACTTGAAACAACTTTAATATCAGATTGTAATTCGGCGGACCTACAGCAAAGTCGTCTTGCGCTTTTGCGGCAATTAAAACTACGCTACTTTACGCCGCGGGAAGTCGCCCGCCTTATGAGTTTTCCTGAGTATTTTGAGTTCCCCAATGACACAACACTCCGCCAGAAATATCGTCTTCTTGGCAACAGCATTAATGTACGCGTCGTAGGAGTACTTCTGAAAGTACTTACTGATTGTGAGAAGCAATAAAAAATTGATTAAACAATTTTTGGAAATTGTTTTTGTATAGCTATAAATTTAACAGACTAATTCTCAAAGAAAAAGAAATAAAAATAAATTTACAGCTGTAATGAAAGAGCGAGGAAAATAAAAGATGTATTCCAATTTTATCGTTCCAAAATCGATGCTGACATATCGATAGTACATCAACAGTCGGTTCCATAGTCAGGCTAGTCATCTGTATATTTCGAGGATAGGAAAATAAAAGTGCTTAATTGTTGAAAATTATCACAAGTAATTAAGTTATTTTATCAAAATGATACCGAAAAAAATGCCGGTAAAGGATGCACATATCGTAAAGATAGCCGTGCAACGTTTTGATAAATTGGCACAGCTAATAAATCTCGACCAGCGACACCCCCTGGCAAGTAAGTAATTAAAAAATCAACAAAGCCAAATATAAACAATTTACAAGCATCACATCTAAAATATTTTGTTTATATATAACACTTACAATAATTTCAAAGTTCCAACTATGAGTCTGACTAAAAAAGGGCAGAAACACTTTAAAAGCCAACGCCCTGTTCGAAGTCTTGTAAAGAAAGAACGATTAAAATGAAAACACCTTATTCTAGGCAAGATCCAGGAAATATGCACAATTTGGGGCATAAACGATCATCAGAACTACGCCTTGCAGTTTTCCGAAACCAATAACAAAAAGTATGTTACGGAAAAAAATCGCATTGAGATCAAAAATGGTTCCGTACTCCTACTGCAGTACTCGCCTTCTAAAACAGCCATGGATACGCTGCATACGCTGCGCGAAGGCAACGACCAGGAAAAGGTAAAGTGTCTCAAGGAACTAATGGTATTGAGCACGGATTTGACATTCGCATTGGAGTTTATCAAGGAGAAAGGGCTGAGTATCATCATTAATATGATCGAGGATGTCACGCAGAGCGACAATGAAATATTGAAATACAGTTTGGGTAGCTTTGTGGAGCTAATGGAGCATGGCACGGTGTCCTGGGAAGTACCGGAGAACTCGTTTGTCGAACGCAACATCAATATTGTACGTTATTTCCAAAATTATCAACATTCGCACATACAGTGTGTTGAGAGCGCAGTTTCCAATCTGGAAAACATCGTGCAGAGCAGCAAGTATGCACTGGTGGCCGAAAAAGTCAAATTGCAGGACTTGCTGCGCATCCTGCAGGAAGTCAACTCCTCGGTTTTGCGTCAGAACACAATTGCGCTCATTAATGCGCTGTTTATGAAGGCGGATGAGCAGAAGAAGCGGGAAATTGCAGACACAATTAGCGCCAAGCAATATCGTCTGGCCTTGATCGGAAATGGACGCAGCACTGAAATGACGCATCAGTTGTACGTCCTGCAGACCCTCACACTGAGTCTGCTGGAGAAGCGAATGCGTATGAAGATGAACGCCCAGGATCAGGATGCTCATGAGAAGATTAAGGAGCTACGGCATATCGCTTTCGATGATTATTCGGCGGCAGTGGGCCCCACAGACGAACACATACGACGAGGTGGTTGTGGCAGTTCAAGCGGCGGAAACATACACTTTCCGCAATACTATAAAAAACTGGGCTTCAAATGTGACATAAATCCCGCTCAGGACTTTATTGAAACGCCACCAGGTGGGTCTATTATATTATAGCAAGTTACTCTATTGATTTGGCTTATTTACAAATAATTACAATTGGTCTAATATTTGTAAAAGGGGCGAGTTGAATCGATAGAGCCTTGCCTTTTTGGAGGAGAATATAAACGTTATTATTCGTTATAATGCTTGCCTCCGAACAGGTATGTTGGCCCTTGACTGCATGGTTTATTTTGCTCGCAACTATACCCAGCAGTACACGAAAATAGTGCACGAGAATTCGTGTCGGGCTGATGAGCATGAATGTCCATTCGGGCGCACCTCTATTGAGCTGGTGAAGGTCTTATGTGACATTCTGCGCATTGGAGAACCAATAGCGGAGCAGTCGGGTGACTTTCAGCCCATGTTCTTCACGCACGATCAGCCCTTCGAGGAGTTCTTCTGTATTTGTGTAATAACTCTCAATCGAACCTGGAAGGACATGCGCGCTACAGCTGAAGACTTCCAGAAAGTGTTTAGCGTCGTGCACGAACAGATAACACGTACTCTCAAAGATAAGCCGGAGAATCTTGAGGACTTTCGCAGCAGAATTGCTTTACTGACATACCAACAAATCACAACTCTGCGCGCGCAGGAGCGCACTTCGAAGGAGCAATGCGATTCTTCAACTTCGGCAATTGTTAAATTAAAGGAAAAGATATCTCCGCACATTATAGAACTTATTAAGCAGCAACGTCTATCATTTTTGGTGGAGGGTAAGTCATCTATCAAAATCATGTGTTCTCTACTAATTAAATTCGTGTACAGGAACTCGTTTTTCCAAATATTCGCGAGGCACACGCACCAAAGACAAATTCTGGTATGCGCGCCTTTCGCCCAACCATAAGGTCATACATTATGGCGACTGCGATGAGAAGACGATTCCCACGCTCGAGGAATTGCCAAAGAAACTACCTATAATCGATATTAAGCAATTACTGGAGGGAAGAGAATGCCCGCACATGAAGGAGCATTCCCGCATTCGAAAGTCGGCTGTTAGCTTGGCCTTCTCTATAACATTCGAGAGCATCGAACACTCAACACTGGACTTCGTGGCGCCAGATGAGACAGCCTTTAATTACTGGACGGACGGCATTAATGCGCTGCTGGGTCTAGAAATGCACAGCAAACAACAAAAGGAGGATTTCGATACGCTGCTCTTTATGGAGATTAAGTTGCGTTTGCTCGATACGGAAGGCGTTGATATCAGCAAAGATCCTCCGCCCATACCAGAGGATCCCGAGAGCTATGACTTCTGCTTCGAAAGCTAAAGAACGTAAAATACAAATATTCCATTCTATTCAGATATTTTATTTGGTAAGAGTTTGGAATTTATAATTTAATTATCACTTATTTCTTTCCCTACTAGGAACCTTTTTCTATAATATATTCATTCGCCGCGCAATATTTTCAAATTTTCAAAAACGAACATACATATGTAAATGTGTATTGTATATGTATGTATGTACATGCCAAAGTGGAATCTACCAAACGTCTCATCGCGAATATTATAAGCTAATCGGAATCGAGTATTACATGTGCAATTTTATATAAAAGTCGCAAAACATTTCTATTATCTTATACTTTTACATTTATTCATTACATATATCGTATATATATTTTAAATATCTTTACTAAATACAATATTTTATACAATTTATACAACAAAAGAAAAAAAACAACTGAATTATTGAAGTAGACGAGATTGAAATCGTGGGCCTAAATCATATTCGTTTTAAATATTTTCTTCTCATCAGTCCATCTTCTCAGTAAGTATTTGTGTTAAAGGGGTTTATTCAGAGCATTACTCATTTTCAGTTGGATTAAGGTCTTAAAAACTTCTTCGAAAGTATTAAAAAATTAAAATTCCGATGCTTCTTACAATACATACGAAGGTATATAGAACACATTTCGCAAAGTTCGTTGACTCATATTTAAGTATGAATAACTTGATAGACCTATTTTTTTTTAAATATCTTTTTATTATAGTGCAAATAAGTCATATTGCTTGTTAATTTCATTCCTGTTATATTTTTTTTATACTTTCTGACACTAATCGAAATCGTAGTGATTCCTATTAACTTTCAGCCCTATCGTAGACTGCTGTGTTACTCGTGACAACATATTGCACGCAATCATTGATCATCTCTAACACATTTATATATACATATGTATATGCACATATGACTATATAGATATGTTTACCATCCCTAGATTCACTCTCTCACTTATTTTTGTTTCGTAAAAATGGTTGACAACGTGGTACCGGAGTTAAATAATTTGGATATAAATAAGGAAAAGGCATGTTAAAATCTTAACTAATTGCATTAATGTGCTGAAGAAACGATTCGTCGGCAGTATATACATAGATATGTTGAAATTGGTGCCTGTGTTAAGTTCGTGTAGAAGAAATAATAAAAAGTTTCGCATCCTTACAACCTTAAATATTGCAACACGACCTCGACAAGCAGAAAAACAACAACAACAGCCAAGCTTGCCACACGGGTGCAGCTATCGGTGCTACGCAACTTTGGTTGGTGTTTAATAAGAACAAAAAAAAAACGTTAATTCTAAATGTTTGCACGTGTGCGTAAAATGAATCATTGCAGCCGGTCCCGTTGTTGTGACATCACACTAACTGACTAACTTTTCATGTATGACCCCAAACTGTTTGCATATTGCATCAGTTCCGTTGAAAAATTGATTTGCGAGTGAGGAGACATACAGTGGCTTCCAACTTATTTGAACCAATTACTAATTTAACATTTATAGTCGGCATTCGGCGAAAGTTGTACTTCATTGATACTTGAATAAATACAATGGTATATAAATAATTCAGTAAATGCGGTGGTATGTATTAAGATTTGAGAGGACTATTTTATCCCAAGGGCCGGAAACTAACGCACTGGTCAGAAACAAATGACAAAAACGTTTTTGTCCTAGCTCTTCTGAAAGCTCATCCATTTAATAATACTGAGGACCTAGTTGCTAGAACTAGACATCAATTTATCTGAGAATATACATACACATTTAAATAATATTTCAAGCTTGAAATATACGTACATACATATGTATATTAATGTGTAATCTGTGTTTGTGCTATACCCATATATATATTGGTTCAGAAATTATAGCTTGGAACCACTGTACTGACATATGAAGATAAGAATTGAACACATACCCTAGAAGAGTAAGTGCTCAAAACTTAAAAACCAGTTTGTGTATCGTGAAAGTTATTGCTTTTGTAACAACTGTTTAAACACAACAAGGCAAGAAATTCACGTCCATTTAATAATTGCCGAAAAAAAGTACACCAACGCGTACAGGCTGTTCTGGTACGCTTTTATTGATTTGGTTCTTGTATCGATTATCTTTTCAGGCGTCCAAAATGAAGAAAGAGAAGAAGGAAAAGCCTGCTGCCGGCGGCGGCGATTCTCGCAAAGGTAATGGAAAAAAGAAAAATACTTAAGAATCATCACCAACATCTTATCGGGATCGTCCGTTTCAGAACTCAACCCTTTGCCGCAGTACATCGAAGAGCGGAATGTGTTTTGGGAGAAATGCAAGGCTGAATATTTGGCGGAATTAGCTGCAAAGCCGCGTTCACCCATCAAAATAACACTGCCTGATGGCAAACAGGTGGATGGCACCAGCTGGGAAACAACGCCCTATGATGTGGCTCGCGGCATTAGTCAAGGTCTCGCTGACAATACAGTTATCTCCAAAGTTGATGGTATTGTGTGGGACTTGGATCGGGTACTGGAAGGCGATTGCAAGCTCCAGTTGCTCAAATTCGATGATCCGGAGGCACAGGCGGTTTTCTGGCACAGCTCGGCGCACATAATGGGTGAAGCCATGGAGCGTATCTACGGTGGACACTTGTGCTATGGACCCCCCATAGATAGTGGCTTTTACTACGACATGCATCTGGATGGCGAAGGCGTATGTCTAAGGAAGAGCAGAAAATAACACTTCACTCTAACAATTTATTTTTTTAGATCTCCACCAATGACTATGGCGCTATAGAGTCTGTGGTGAAGCAAATCGTGAAGGAGAAGCAAACCTTCGAGCGTTTGGAGATGAAGAAGTCGGATTTGTTGGAAATGTTCAAATACAATGAGTTCAAGCTGCGCATTTTGAATGAAAAGGTGGATACTGATCGTACTACAGTGTACAAATGCGGTTCACTGATTGATTTGTGCCGCGGCCCCCACGTGCGTCACACCGGTAAGGTGAAGGCCCTAAAAATCACCAAAAACTCATCCACCTACTGGGAGGGCAAGGCCGATGCGGAAACGTTGCAGCGCGTTTATGGTATCTCGTTTCCAGAGCCCAAACAACTCAAGGAATGGGAGAAACTACAGGAAGAGGCGGCTAAGCGCGATCATCGCAAGATCGGTCGCGAACAGGAGCTATTCTTTTTCCACGAATTGTCGCCGGGATCCTGTTTCTTTCAGCCACGCGGAGCGCACATTTACAATACACTAATGAACTTCATAAAGGCCGAGTACAGAAAGCGCGGCTTCCAAGAGGTGATCTCGCCCAACATCTACAATGCCAAACTGTGGATGACATCCGGCCATTGGCAGCATTATTCCGAGAACATGTTCTCCTTCGAGGTGGAGAAGGAGAAATTTGCACTGAAGCCCATGAATTGCCCCGGCCACTGGTAAGTCAAAAGACCAGGAGATTGGTGACGATAACTAATATTTATTTTCCTTCCGCAGTTTGATATTTGATAACCGCAATCGTTCCTGGCGTGAGTTGCCCCTGCGTATGGCCGATTTTGGTGTGTTGCATCGTAATGAGCTTTCAGGGGCACTCACTGGCCTGACACGCGTGCGCCGCTTCCAACAGGACGATGCGCATATATTTTGTGCGGCCGAGCAGATTAAGGAGGAGATAAACGGGTGTTTGGACTTTTTACGACACGTCTACACCATCTTTGGCTTCACCTTCCAGCTAGTTCTGTCCACACGTCCTGAGAAATATTTGGGCGAGCTGGAGCAGTGGAATACTGCTGAGAAGGCGTTGGCTGAATCGCTAAACGAGTTCGGCATGCCCTGGAAGGAGAATCCTGGTGATGGCGCCTTCTATGGCCCCAAAATCGACATTACCATCACGGATGCCCTTAAGCGAGCCCATCAATGCGCTACCATTCAACTGGATTTCCAACTGCCCATTCGCTTTAATCTGAATTACGTTGCCGATGATGGCGAAAAGAAACGACCGGTCATCATACATCGCGCCATTCTCGGATCAGTGGAGCGCATGATTGCCATTTTAACAGAGAACTATGCTGGCAAATGGCCTTTCTGGCTGTCGCCGCGACAAGTAATGGTGGTGCCTGTGGGTCCAGCCTATGACGAATACGCTCAGCAAGTTCGCCAGCAACTCCATGCAGCCGGATTCATGAGCGAGGCGGATTGCGATGCCGGCGACACCTTAAACAAGAAGATACGAAATGCTCAGCTCTCGCAGTTTAATTTTATACTGGTTGTTGGCGAAAAGGAGCGCTCCTCCAGCACTGTTAACGTTCGCACTCGCGATAATAAGGTGCACGGCGAAGTATCCATTGCCGAACTCATTACCAAGCTGCAGAAGATTCGAGACGACTTCGTCACAAATGAGGACAACTTCTAACCCTAATAATTTATAATCAACTTTGCAAAGCAAGCTGATAGCATTTTTCAATTTTATTTACGCTTACCAAAAACCTCAATAAAATATAACCTCAACATGTTTGAAGACAATTGCAATCTGATTTATTTTCATATAGAATCCTTTTATAGGTTTTATATCAAATTGATAAATAAAAACATTACTTCTAATGATGGTCGCAGAAAAAGGTTTAACTCTGCAATTCAATGAGTTTTGTGGAAAGATGCAACTAAGACAGTCGATACAAAAATAGTTCAATAAAATAACGCAATTATCTGTAATTGACGTAGACGGACATGCAACAGAGTTGGTTTCTGAATCAATGTTTTGCGGTTCGTTCTGCTTACTGATAACTACTTTCTGAACGTAGGGGGGGGGGGGGGGGGGGGGGTCAAATAATTTGCCAGATAATATTTCCATATTAAAATATAGTTTTCTGTCATAAAAACGTTCTCATCTTTAATTGTAAAATAGCACACATTTCGGATGTAATGATGTACACGCCTGACCTTCGATTTGTAGACATTTACAAAAGTTTCCTGCTGCCAAAAATGATTACAATTATAGACAAAAGTGATTCTTTTTAATTTATTGCTAGTAATTCCTTTTTTTAATATATTGAAAATGCACAATGTTGTTTCTAATCGAAGCAAAAATTTGTTGTTTAATGGTTACTCTTCTCATCGTTTCATAAAAATACAATATATATATATTTATTCATAAGATGCATGTTTCGAATTTTTCTTTATCCCGACCCAATATTAATGTTACAGATCTGCTAAAAACAATTAATTGAACGTGTGTGAAAACAAAGCAGGCGTTTAATTTATTGGGCAGGTGTATTGATAAAAAGTAACTTTCCTGCTGGCTCCTCATCATCCATGGATTTGTATCAGTGCTTGAACACAAGGCGGCTTTTGGTGTATCGGAGTGTCTAAATGGAATGCTTGGGGCTCTTTAAAGAGTCTCAGACACTATTGACGCCTATGTAGGTGTTCAGTTAGTAAGTACATAAGGTTTATTAAAATTTTAAATGAGGATTGTTAAAAATGCACAGCACTGTGGCATCTGTTAGGCATATAATTATATTATCCGATCGGTCCATTGGCGCCCATCCATAACTATCAGTTGTATTGGGTTCACATTAACGTCTGCATTTCGTCTGCTGTTTAGATATCGTTTAGTTAATGTTGTTGTTGGTTTTATTATTATTATTATTTACTTTATAAATAAACTTAAGAATAGAATTGTGTGTATGTGTGTATTATTTCAAGCATCTTTATCCGCCACATACACATGTGTACACCCGTCGCCAGCGTATGTCAGTGTGTGAATGTTATCAAGGCCGAAGCAGGGGAGTGGGGGGCGATGGAGGCTGGGTCCTAGTTCTAGCATGCGCAGCCACCTTCGGGATCCTTTGTCTCATTGGGTGAGTCCTTCAGCACAACCTCTTGCATGTCCTCTGAGGGTTTGTTCTCGGTTGAATCCATTCCGGGCAACGCGGCCGCCACACGCCGGAACAACTGTTTAACGTTGTAGCCGGCTTTGGCGCTCGTCTCGATGAACATCACATTTAGCTCCTTCGCCTTGCGCTCCCCCTCCTCCGTGGACACTTGTCGTTTGTCCGATAGATCCGTTTTGTTGCCGACGAGCATAATGATGACGTCACTGCCCCGCTCCGTGCGCACGTCATCAATCCATTTGGAGGTTTGGTGGAATGAATTCGTATTAGTGATATCGTAGACGACAACGGCAACCGTCGAGTCGCGTATATACGAGGGTATCAGGGATCGAAATCTCTCTTGTCCCGCCGTATCCCACAACTGCAGTCGCACTGTCCGATCTTCGAGGTACATAGTTTTGGAGAGAAAATCAATACCAATTGTCGCCTGGTAGGTGTTGTCGAAGCTGTCATACATAAATCGTGTAATTAGCGACGTCTTTCCCACACTCTGTTCCCCCAGAAAGACTAATTTGAATTTTCTCAGGGGATTGCCGAAATCGCCGGATGACATTGTTGCAGATATCGTGTCTTTGATTTCTTCTTCTGCCGCTGTACGTGTCTACTTTTCTTAAATTGCGGGTTTGCTGACCTCTCCTCTCTCACGTTTGCGTTCTCTCTTCCCTTTGTTGTTGTTGCTAGGGCTGGGCTGCAACTGCCTTCTTTATCTCACTTCTATTGCACTCGTTTCGCTTTTGTATTCGCTTTATTCACTAATTATTTCCGTAGCACGCACTCTCCTGATATATTCCTGATACGTGATATTGAATTGCTCGATCAAATTATAAGTTAATTTATCGTAGAAAAATTACGGCCAGCAAAACTGTCTTCTTCTTCCACTTCTGAGTCAGGTGCAGTGTTGCCGTGTGCCAATACCTGAAAAATACTAAATACTAAAAATACTGAATAGTATTTTACAAAAGCTTCAAAATAAAAAAATTAAGAGGTGGCAAGTTTTCAACGTTAATTGAATTTGGGCTTTTTAATTCTTAACAATAATTAGTGTATGCGAATGTTGTACTATTTCATAGAACATGTGTATGAGTATTTTATTTTATTTCGACAAGTTATTAAGTAAATCCAAGTTTTGCTTAAATAAAACCCATTTTTCAACAATGCTATTTAAATAATGCAAAATAAAACTAAGTTATCAGTTCTGATAGGACACTCAAAATTTGAATATATTTCTTATTTATATAATATAATTCTTATTATTAAACTGAAAAGCAATCAAAAAAATTAATAAATACATTACAGCTTAGGGTCTAGTTTAACGTCATAAGTCCAAGTTTTGCAAAGTAAAACTAAATAGCCACTTCTGATAACAAACTCGAATTTTGATATGCAAAATTATTTATTGTTTCTTATCTTTCAAGTTCCAAGTATCTATTTAAAAATTTTTAAATGGGCACTTACAATGGTTGTTATTAGAAAAGCAAAACAATTTATTACAGTGGGGCATTACCGACTGCAAAATACCCGAAGCACTTTTCAGTGCTTGTTTTAAAGATTTTTAAAATCTATTAAGGGGCTTCCCGATATCCATCCTTTTTAAGTTATCATAATCTTTTTTAATTTTCATTCAAAAATCAAAAGTTTTTTATATTGATCTTAATTTATTTTACAATAAATTTAATTTTAAACAGAAACCAGGAATTTCCTAAAAATTTAACAAATAATCTAATGGTCACAATAAGGTACTTCTGTTCTTATCTTGAAAGGCAAGTGGCATATTAAATATCTTATCATTAGGGGGCTGCGTCGCGGTAATTTCGTATCTCAGTTTAATATAAACTTCTGAAAATAATTGGCTTCAACAAATTCTCGGAAGTCATGGCAGCGAACGGGCACACAAAAATATTTTGCACTTACCTATTTTTGTGCGTTATAGGCCTAATTCTGGGCCTGGGCGGGGTGATCGCGGTATCAGCCATTCCCAATGGCCGTGTAGTCGGCGGTGTTGCTGCCACCGCTAACAGCGCACCCTACATAGTGTCGATGCAGTATCAGGGAACCCACTACTGTGCCGCGAGCATCATTAACCAGAACTGGCTAATAACGGCGGCCCATTGTCTGACCAACAGCGCTCAGGTGCTGCAGAGTACTTTGGTTGCGGGCAGCATATACGTGGCGGGAACGGCCAGCACCACTCAAAAACGTACTATCACTTACTTTATCGCCAACGATCTTTATACTGGCGGTACAGCGCCATACGATATTGGTCTAGTCTATACACCCACTAGCTTTGTGTGGTCAGCAGCCGTCGCACCCATTTCTCTGCCAACAGCTGGAGCTGTGCCAACAGGATCTGCCAATCTATATGGCTGGGGCAGCACTTCCACCACCAATACTGCGCAATATCCCAGTGTCCTGCAAGTTGCCGCCAACATTCCGATAATCACTTTAAGCGCATGCGAGTCCGCTTTGGGCCAGCAAGGAACTAGTGTGCATTCGACCAACTTGTGCACGGGTCCACTTACTGGCGGGGTCAGCATTTGCTCCTCTGATTCCGGTGGTCCTTTGGTTCAGAACAACGTTTTGATTGGCATTGTTTCGTGGGGTAAGCTTCCCTGTGGCCAAGCGAACTCCCCCTCGGTGTATGTGCAAGTTTCTTCCTTCACAACATGGGTAGCTGCAAACCAGAAACTGCCAAGCAAATAATTGTGTTTCCCTCCTTTTCTGTTACACAACAAAACAATTGTGGAAATATATACGAATATGTGAATACCAATTTTTAAAGAACAATTTTTTTATAAAACGAATACCATTATTCTATGCTTATGTTTTACAAAAAGAAAAGCCGTACGGCTTTATGTGAGAGAAAGCTTCCTGGGGAAATGTATATTTAAATTTTTGCAAATGATTGTAAGTGCAAACTGTTTATGTAAATAATTTTAAAAGATTATTTTTATTATTTTAAATATAAATTTAATTTAATTATTAAAGAAATGTAAACGATAATGTGTTCAAATTGTTATTATTTATTTTTAGTATTTTGTTACTTTTGATCATACTTATATTTAATGTCTGTGTGCCCACTTATCAATGATAGTAGTATAGTATAGTATTTATTAATGGAGCTTTCTATAAAAAGCCAAAGCAGTCAACAAATAGATTAAGTTGACTGAATTGTCGCACTTATGTGTGCGTGGCTTACGGTAATATTTAAAGTAATAGAGCTGCCAATTTCTCTTAAGCAACATTGGTATTTCCCGTATGTGGTATTTTATCGCTTTCCACATCTGGTCACTGAAATACTAAGCTCACAAAGAACAAGAATCCCAATTAGAGATTGGCCAGCAATTGTATAGATTTGTCCGTAATTTGATTCAATAAACCCAAGTAAAATGGAAGTGGAAAGCCCCGAGCACAACAGAGAGTTTGCCGAAGTAGACATTAATAATGGTGCAATAACCGACGAGGAAGAGGTGCCCGCACCCGGCACCGTTTCGCTGGAGAACGAGAGCGATTTGTTTGTTTCAGCAATGACTCCAAGTGAGGTGCAAGTAAGTCATACTAACATCCCCCTGGCGACTGAACTATTAATTCTTTTAAGACGAATGGATGGCAGAGCCATCGTCAAATAGGTTTCAATTGGCTTTATTTGATGTTTGGGTCGCAGTACACGCCCCTTCGCTCATTGTTTGCACAAAAATGCAACTGTATGTACAAAAAAGTCTTATCAGTATCGTACATACATAGATATAGCATATGTGTTTGTACATACATGCATATGAATATGTATGCATTATTCCGATTACAATATCGTGTTTTTGCCGTCCGGACTTTTTTTCTGGTGTAAAAACAAAATATTTTACAATGATGTGAGATCGGTCTATGTCTGTTTTCCTATCCATTTGTGAAAGCTTCGTGGTCCGGGTTTTAGAATATTTACTGTAAATCGAGAGAAGAAGAACAGATGGCATAAGGTGATCTAAAAAGTTATAAATTCATTCACTTTTCCATTCAGCAGCGTCGAATTTCGGTCAGTAATTTAGAAGAGGTCCTCACAGATGATGGCGATTACTTTATAGAAATATCCGTATCGGATCCGCAAAAAATAGGCGATGGCATGAGCTCGTATTTGGCGTACAAGTGAGTCATTATTTGGAATCCAATCGACCTCCTTCTAAATGTTTTATAATTGCTAAGTAGGGTTACAACAAAAACTAACATTCCGAAGTTCAAGCGCAGTGAATTTAGCACACTAAGGCGTTTCAGTGACTTTCTGGGCATACACGATTTACTGGTGGGCAAGTATATGCGCTTGGGACGCATAATTCCGCCGGCACCGTCGAAAAACATTATCGGCACTACGAAAGTTAAAATAAGTCCACAGCAGACGGAGCCGGGCACGGCAACGAACCAGGAGTGGGTGGAAATACGTCGAGCAGCGCTGGAACGCTTTGTCCATCGCACAGCACAGCATCCAGTGCTGCGCGTTGATATGGACTTTATGAATTTTTTGGAGAGCGACCAGGAGTTGCCTCGTGCCGTTAATACAGCGATGCTGAGCGGAGCGGGCGTTATGAGACTGTTCAACAAAGTTGGTGAGACTGTTAACAAGATCACGTACAAAATGGATGAGAATGATCCCGTAAGCGAATATCTGCGCCATTAAAAGAGCTGTATCTCAAAATATTGTTTTTCTCGCAGTGGTTCGATGATAAGATTACTGAAGTAGAAAATCTTGATGGTAATCTGCAAAAACTACACGCAGCCCTGAAATCTTTGGTGACTTCACGCAAAGAACTGTCCGCTCTAACTGGACTTGTGGCCAAATCAGCCGCGATGCTCAGCACATGTGAAGAACACACTGGACTGTCGCGTGCGCTCTCAAATCTCGCCGATGTGGAAGAAAAGATAGAGCTGCTGCGCTCCGAGCAGGCTAACTCCGACTTTTATATTCTCGCCGAGTTCATCAAGGACTATTTGGGGCTTTTCGGTGCCATTAAGTGCATTTTTCACGAGCGTGTTAAGGCATTTCAAAACTGGCAATACGCACAAATGCAGCTTTCCAAGCGTCGAGAGAATCGTGGACGATTTGAATTGGCCAATCGTGCCGACAAACTTGATCAGGCACAACAGGAAGTCGAGGAAGTATGTTCTTGTATTATATTTTGTTGCGCTTACTCATTTTTAATCTCTGGATTGCAGTGGCAGGGCAAGGTTCAACGCTGTCAGCAACAATTCGATGACATATCCGCGGAAATCAAACGAGAAATGGAGCGATTTGAATTGACCAGAGTGAAAGATTTTAAGGCAAACATTATTAAATATATTGAAGATCAAATGGCTCATCAACAACAGGTAAACTACATCCTATTGTAAAATTACAGCTCATAAAAGAAAGTATCTATGTGTACTTTCTATAGATCATCAGCTATTGGGAAACTTTTGCACCCTTTGCCCGAGAGATCGTATAATACGATTTAAAAAAGCATTCGGTCATCTAACAGAAAGGCGTGCATATATTCCTTGTGAACTCAGCGGGACCAATTTGTCGGATTAAACATCGCTATTGCAGTTGAACAACAATTTGCCTTCATTGTTATCTTCTAATTCCTGCGTATTTCATATCAAACGAGCATTTTTACCATAAATCTCTGCTTAAAAGAAAAGTTCAACTTTAATTAAGAAACCAACATTGTTCAGCCTGACATAAACGACAAATACGCATGCAGCCACACGTCTCATACACACATATAACAAAACAAATATATAATATTTAAAAGCATGTAATTATACATAATTACACTTTGCAAATATTGCTTTGATTTCACTAAAACTGTTTGTACAGTGCAAACAGTGTTATTATTCCTTTTTTCGGTATTATCTACAATAAATACATACTTTTAAAATGATCGAGTTTCCCAAAATCCCCTGGTAGGGCATTGGATTATTATGTACAATAATAGTGGGAACGAGTTTCTCGTATTTGTTGGTAAAAAGATATAAATGTATTATATATACCTTATTAAAGCATTTTGTAACATCGCAAAAAGCGTTTAAAATAATAAAACTGTAAATATGTAAAAAACAATTATGTACAATTAAATTATTTAAAAAAGGTAAGTTAAATTTTCTGTAATTATTGATTGGGATTTTATGTTTTATTTAAAAGTTTGTATGCATTTTTCACAACATAAGCAAAATATTTGTATATATGTATTGAACATAAATGAACTATAGTGCTACCAAATAAATAATAACTAAAAGAAAATATTAAATAAAGCAGAAAAGCCCTTTTTTCGAATGTGATAAAGAAGTAGTTAATCACGTACGTGAACTTAAAAACATTAATTATAATTGTAGCTTTTTTAAAAATATATATTTATTTATTAAATTTTGTAATACGTTTTAGGCAAACCACTGTTACAATTTTTTCAGTGTGACCACATACAGAATGGGCTTAAACTTTTCGTGGCAGCGTATTTTTAAACCGATGACTGCGCTTGCAATAAAACAATCGTTTACTATCGATAGAGATAACATTAGGAAGTTCGAAGGAATGTTTAGTCATTGTTGAATACATTCTGGAAGCTTTTATTTAGTCATAAAGTAGTATAAATACATCACGGTGATAGAACAATTAGTTATTTAATAATTACCTGCCGACCGTAAACATGGAGTTTCCCCACTTGGGTCAACATTGCAGTGAAGCCACATGCAACAGACTGGGTAGGTGCTAGTATAAAGTAATTAATGTAATTAAAATACAATATGTTTCTATTTTGGAACTCTATTCCTGTAAATAGATTTTTTGCCAGTTAAATGTGATTCATGCCACAAAGTTTTCTGTGTCGCGCACTACAATTATGAGCGTCACGACTGCCAAAATAAATTCCGTGGAGTTCAGGTGCCAGTCTGTCCACTGTGTGACCAACCAGTTCCCACAGCTCCTGGGGTCGCACCCGACCTCACAGTGAGCCAACATATTGACCAACAGTGCAAATCGGACACCAAGAAAATCTACACAAATCGTTGCAGTGCGAAGGGCTGCAAGCGCAAGGAGCTCATACCTGTGGAATGCACGCAATGCCATCTAAATTTCTGTTTACGTCATCGCCACACCAGTGACCACGACTGCCGGTCAGTAAGTGCTGGAACTTCGGCGCCCACTGTGTTCAAGGCGACTTCATCAACGACTGATACGCGCTCCATGGCGGCACGCGCGGCTGAGAATCGACGCCAAAACAAAACATCGAATACGCTCTTTAGTTTAAATGCGCGACCAACGTCACAACCACAGCGCGCCTCCGCCGCTCAAGTACAAAATTTACAAGGGAATATGGTAAGTGCCTGTCTGTTCATAACAAATATTTGCAATTGCTCATATATTTATCCCAATTGAGACCGAGGATGAGGCTTTGGCTCGTGCGATGGCACTGTCCATGATGGAAGAGGAGGAAACAGCGGATGGAAATCTACGCAATGATTTGGCAAACACAGCCCAACGTGTGCCCGTAGGCGGTCGTGATGCCCAGCAAACAAATGGCAAAGATAAATGCTCACTGTCCTAGTTCCAAATAATAAGCCTATACTGCTGCTATTGAGACTGTTCAGAATTCAGATCAAATGTGTCGAAAATGATTAAATTCTGCTAATCAATTTATGCAAAATAAAAAACTTATTAAAACTGATTTCAGTACAAACGTATGAAGGGAGTTCCCCCACACCAAGGAATTGGAACTCGACTTTAATGGGTTTACTGAATTCGTGAAAATTTGATCGTATGTATTTGGAAACGAAAACAGTCCTATATATCTTTCGTGCATATCCACCAATATCTGACCAAGCTGCCTGTGTGCCGCCAACTATTATATTGATATTAAAACTATATTTGTTAATATGTGTTATTTTGTAATAATAAACTTCGTCGCATTCTGCATTATTAAATGTATAATAATAACATTGTTTTGCACATTTTTAGCCAATTTTAGTTATACAAAATCTGCTGAGTATGCAGAATTATTCTATTCCGGCTGGCGTAGCATCAATTTTCGCAGCTACTTCGTTCTCCTGCGTTGTCTCTGCTGTGGTTTCCTGAACCGATGCCGCCTTATTGGATGATGTGCTTACTTTCCTGTTCGCAACTGTTTCCACTGATGAGCTGGTGCTTATTTTGCGCGCCGCTGCGGCAAAGCTGGCCATGCCTTCAGCCGCCAAAACACTGGCACTCGACAATAAAACGGACACCTGTTCTGCAGAGGGGCAGCTCGTGATGGTCATATCATCTGTGGAGTAACCATTTGTGGTTAACAATTGCTCCAGCTTGACGAAGGACTGTATGATGTTGTTCTGCAAAAGAAAGTTAAGTGTTGAAATTCGTCTTCAATTTGGAAGCTTCAGCAATTTACGCGAATTGGTCGAAAGATTATGAACTCTGTGTCTCGATTGCTCAAATAGAGTTGCATGGCACGCTGTAATACTGCCAGTTTGCTTTTGATCAGACGTTGTGTCTCCTGTATAACGCCACTAATCTGCTGCGGACTCGACCACACGCATTGTCTAAGCGTCGACTGGGCAGCTGGTCCTGCGGCCAACGTAGCCTGAGCCTTTTCCAGGAATGTCATCAGCGGACCGACGAGCATATGCACTGCGTCCTTAATAAACTGCTCACAAGTCGTTTTTAGTTGGCGATCCACTTCCTTGCGGGAGTCGAGCAAATGCTCTTTGATTTGTGGCGTACCATCGATCAGAAATTCAAGTATCGCATTGTTACTGCCCATGGAGAAGAGTTGTTTGCGTTTGTGGAGCAAGCCAAAAGCTGCTGTCTTCACCTTACTAAAGTCCAAAGAAGTCTCCTTTATGGTGAAATCGACACGGAACGGCGCAATTTGTTCGCGTAGGATGAGCAGATGCTTTATCTCAAAAAGCTCGCCATCGATGGGAGTCTGCATGGAGGATATTTGTTAATAGCTGCTATTTTGTGGAAACTGCGGACGTACCTTGGCGGCGGATATCTTGCCAGCAGCGTACGCAACGCTTTGTATGCACAGCTTTAGCGCTTCCTGCGACAGACCCTGGAAAATGGGTCGATCGACGCAGCGATAAAGTCGCGAAAGGCATACTAAAGTGCGGCGTACTGTGGGATACCACATGCCATGCAGATCGGCTGGTGAATCTAAAGCAACAAACAAAGTTAATAGCTGCCTGTATTAGTCACTTTTTTTTGGGGAAGACTCACTCATTTGCTGAGCTCTGTAGGCGGTGTCGACGCTTTCCGTTTCCATGGCGCTGGACACGCTGGAAACCATAGAGCTGCGCGAGTCTGAGCGACGTAGTTGTGCGGGCTCCTGCAGTGATAGGGCGATGCTCTGTATACATAAATCGGAATTATTTATATGGCATGATTATTTAATCTAGCGCCGTTCCCACCTCCATCATTTCTAGCTTTTCAGGATATGCCAAATCGCCCGTTGAGGGGTTATAGTTTTGTATATCCGATTGCAGATAAAGATGGGCGCGAAATACTAAACGTTCCTGCACATCCTGCAGCAATTGGTGTGTTATGGTGGCAAAGGCTTGCAAGGTGTTGGCTAAATAGTTACAAATGGTTAAATATTTAATATATATTTACTACATTATCCAGCTTACGATTCTGCTGCACTTGCTCTTCCAGCATTTCAATCCGTAAAATGGAACATATTTCTGCCAGCGTCTCCAAGTGGTTGATGTGTATAATAAAAGGACGCATGGTGTCGTACAAAATTGTGCACAGACCCTCCAGATAGACGCTGTAAAAAGCACAAGTCAATGAATAATTAAATCATAGATTTGAGACAAAAATATTTACGTTAAATGTGCAGCGCCTGTTTCAAAGAATTGGTAATACAAGCGCTGCTCATCCTGGCAGACATGAACGAGAAAAGAGCAGGCGCTGCGCGTGAGCGAGCAATGATCGCCTTTGTGTGCCGCCTTAACATTCTGTATGGATTGGTTGACCGCCGGCGACATAACGCTGGCACGCATCGTTAGATAGTGCTGTTGGAGATCGGTCATTAGCTGCTCGTATTCGCTGCTGTGATCCAAACGCGACTCTATAAGTTGCGCCACACGTTTCACCTTCGCCGCCGATGTCTGATATTTGCCATAATACAAAGCAAAAGCAGCATCGGGCGCCTGCAGTGAGGTCTCGCCAGTGGCATTACGCGGATGCAATGTCGCTTCCGTGGCCTGGTTAATGACGCTATAAACATAATTACGCACCAAGCCGGTGGCCTTGGCCAGGCACTGTTTGTATTTTAAATTATAAGCGGCAGCATCTTTAAATTTTGGCTGTATAGAATCAATATTAGCAAAAATAATGGATATTTACTGCAATTGCTTACATTTTCTGCCAAATAATTCAAACACTCGTCAATTTTGTTAAGACATTCCCGAAAAGCCTCACTGGCCACCGAAAGCGTTGGGCTCTGCAGTCGTTGATTGAGCAGCTCAACCTGATTGAAGAAGTGCAGACGCCATTGAATTTCATTGCTTAACTCCTGCAGTTTCTCCTGCTCGCTGATCAGCTGCTCGCTGGCGGTGTTTAGAGCACTCGTCTTGGTGGACACGAACTCGTACTCGCTGCTCAGCGCACCCAGCCGATCCATAGCCACTGCTATTTGTGTCAGCATGTGGGCGCATTCCCCCTTACGCTGCTCCAACTGCTGCAAATACTTGTGGTAGTTAGCATCGCCACGTTCCTCAATCTCTGCGCTGACCACCACGAACCAGAGCAGGAAGTCGTTGGTGTTATTCAGTTCCCCTGCTGGCAGTTTGATATCAGCAGTGCAGTCTGCTGGAGCTGTACTTTCCTTATTTGTTGGTTTTGTGGGCGTAGTTGCTGGCGATGGCTGTTAATGAACAAAAGTTAGCTAAAGCTGGCAAGGATCGGGTTTTCCATACCGTTGCTACCTCATTGCGCCACAGATTGGACAAAACGTCCAAGTACTCCTCTTGTTGGGCACTAAGCGCCGCTAGAGGATCTGTTTTAGATTCCCATTGCATTAATCTATTACGAATTTTTCTGCCATTTTCATTCTCGCTTCTAGCGCTGGCGACGTCATCCATTTTTTAGCGGTGGAACAAAATGGAAATGACACGTAGATGTTATGAAGAGAACAGCTGATTTAACAGGGCTGGATAATGCGCGATTCTTGCATTGCAGTCACACTGAAAGCGAATAAAGAATATAAAAGAACCAAGTAACTACAGTTTTCAGTAAATACAGTTAAAGCAGAAATAGTTTAAATGGCGCCACAGCCAGTGGTTACAGGACTTTCCCCCAAGGAAGGCCCACCGGGTACGCGCGTTATCATACGTGGCGAATTTCTGGGCAACCGCCCGCAGGATTTAGTTGGTATGCTTGGAATGTAGAAATCGTTGTTCAAATTATCTAAAGCAGCTTATTCATAGGGCTGAAAATATGCGACTCCGACTGCCTGCTGTCTGCGGAATGGAAGTCGCCGAATAAAATCATAGCACGCACGGGCCCGGCCAGAGGTAAGGGCGATATTATAGTGACGACTGTAAGTGGGGGCGTTGGCACCTCCACTGTGCAGTTTAGGGTCTATCATGAGACTATTGGGCCGCTTAAGGAGTCGGCTGTGTGGATTGAAGAATCATCGCCACAAAACTTCGCTTGGGGTCGCCGTACTCTGACCCAATCGGGACTTACACAGGAAGACCCGCTTGGACTGTCGATTGAGGGCAACGAGCAAAAGATACCTGAAGATTTGCGCGACTTGGTGCCCGATGCGTGTGGCGATTTGTCTCAGGAGAATTTTTCTCCCGCCTGGTTTCTTCTCGAAAATCATTCGGCCACTTCATTTGTGGACTTAAAAGCTGGCCTCTCCTATTTAAAACGTAAAGTGGAGAGCCAGAAGGAGGGCCAATTGTCATTTTTGAAATCGAATGCTGGCTCCGTAATCGACCAACTGGACACATTAATGAATATCAGAGACAAGTTGCAGGAGGATACCAAGCTACATGGCAGCGAACCGCTAGATGTGCTGGAGCTGTCTATTAAAAGTGAGTAAATAGGCGCTTTAAAGCTGATATTAATGCTCACCTAATTTGTAGATTCAATCATTGAATCCAAGAAAATCTTTGACGATGTGCTGGTGCGCAAGGAAAAGGCGGATTCAACGCGTGCTGTGCTGTTTGCGCTGTCACGACATAAGTTTCTCTTCTGCTTGCCTAATGCAGTCGATCGGTTAGCCGAGGCTGGCGAATATGACAAGGTGGTGAATGATTATTCACGCGCCAAGAATCTGTTTGGCAAAACGGAAATACCAATTTTCCGCAAAGTGCTTGAGGAGGTCGATCAGCGCATTATGCAGATACGCAAGCAGCTGCACGAGAAAGTTGTCAAAATGCCGCAGCGGGTGGAGCAGCAAAAGAAACTAATCAAGGCTCTCACCAGTTTGGAAGTGCAGCAGAGCGGCACACTTGTCGGCGACAAGCTGCGCAACATCGATCCCGCCTGGGATGCCATTGAGGCGCGTGCGAAGTATTTGGAGACAACGCTGCGACACACCTTTGAGCAGTATGCCAACAGGGATGCAGCCACACAGGATAAGTTGAAGAATCGCGATCCAAACCAAACACCCAGCAGAGTGAACTTTTGCGAGGAGATCTGCGATATAGCCGCCTCCCAATTGCCTGATCTCTGGCGACTGGGCCAGTTGTATTTTACGGGAGAGCTGCGCGGCCAACACGATCCGAAGCCTGGCGACTTCAAACGCATGATATTAAATGCTATTGAAAAGTTTTGTGTATATTTGCGACTTACAATTCTAATAGCCGCCGATCAGCGCACATTGCGTCAGACAACCGGTTTGTCGTGGCCCATTGGCTCTAACACGGCCACGCATCAGTTCCTGTCTTGGATACCGCAGTGTCTGCGCTACACGCGGATTGCTTACGCAACATTAATTAGTCTGGATTTGCCATCCGAGGCTTTAGACATCATACAGAAACTGATCGATGAAGTGCGGCTCTTTTGTTTTTCAATCATTTTCAAACGCGCAACAGATCGCTGTAAGAAGCTGGATGCGCAGGAGACCTGGGAAATGGGTGTGGAAGATTTTCCGGGCGCCACACTCCTGCCAGCCGCCTTGGAAGCCCTGCTGGTGGAGACACTAGACGAAGTGCAGTCTGTTTGCATGCAGCCGGAGGCTCGCGAAGGCAATCTGCTGGAGCCGCAGTCCGATGGGCAACGTGAAGTGTCGCAGCGCCTGCAGGAGTTCCTGTCTGCCTTCAGTCGCGTCATTGAAGAGCTGGCCTATCAATCGCACGATGAGGAAACACCAACACACAATGTATCCCAGCTCCTGGGCTTTCCCAATGCCCAGCACACGGATCCGAATGTCAGCTCTGGCCATTTCTATGCGACCGGAACTTCAGCGGTCACTTGGGAGCAGCGCATGCTCTGCTGCCTTGCCAATTATGCGTATTGCAACAAAAGTTTCTTTCCGCATATTGGAGAGCTGTTTGTCAAGTACGGCTATCCGCTGCCGACGCTTGCCATCGAAACTTCGCGGTATACGGTCAACCAATTGTTTACCAATCTTCTCGAGGAGTATGTCGAGCACAAGGGGGATCCCCTGGTGGGCACCATTGAGCCCTCCATGTACTTGGGTCGCTTTCAGTGGGACCATGAGATGGAGATTGGAAAACTGCGTCCATACGCCCACGAGTGCTGCGATAATCTCGTCGGCGTCTATTCCGAGATCTACACAATTTCGCCAGCTTTGCTGCGCCCGATCTTAGAATCCATTGTGCAGACCATATCGGAGGAGCTGGCGCGTCTCATGAGCTGCGTTCGTCGCTTCAGTTTCACGGGCGCCATACAAGCCAATGTCGACATCAGGCTGCTCAGAGATGCTCTCGAAAATTACGTCAATGAGACGGCCAAGTGAGTACAGAAGAAAAAGTCTTAAAAACCACCTACATTTTTTATTATTTGCAGAAACTACTTTCTAGAGGCTTTAGAAGCCATTAATCCGCCTCTGAATGCTGAACAAAAGCGCAAGGCGGATGAGATTTTGGGGCATGTGAAGCACAATATGAGACTTCAATTGCTCTGCTTTGGAGTTAAGGATCTTTAAAAAACATTCCTTCATATTTATACGTAAGTTTAAATATGCTTACACATACATTAATCAGTAGTTTTGCTTATTTATGAGTCTCTACGTTTTTAAAACAACCGGGTGGGTATACGAGTATATGCATATACTATATTTTAACAAAATGAAAACTAAACGAATCGAATTTTGTGGCACGCTCACAAAATGCAATTATTTGTTTGGCCCTTCAAAATATTTAAAATAATGTGTGTACCGAATTTTTAATTTGTGTAGAATTTATTTCCGCTTTCCTTCTATAACTGGACATTAAAAAATATTGAAATTGATTAGAATACATTTTAACTTTGCATTTTGCAGCCTCCTTTATTGAAGTCTGTGCACGTTAAGGTATTGTTTCCTGTGTGTTGTGAGTGCTGGCAGAGAAGTGTTTCGGGGTTTGCATTTCCCGAATATGTCGTATGTTGTTATGTCCAGTTTCTTGGCTTAGCAGTTACGAAGCAGGGACCTGTTGTGGGCCGGTTGTGATTCCTTTCTTTCCTTTTTGAGTTTGGAATTGGGTTTTTTTTCTCGATCTTTAGTTCTTTTGGCTCAGTAATTCTCTCATTTTTCCCATCACACATTTAAAATCAAACAAAACATTTGAATGTTTTTGTAAAATTTTTTATTTAACCTAAGAAAAAAATTATGTCCACGTGCTCAAAAAAATTCATGCTCAAAAAAATGTCTTAAATGTATGAAAAAAATAGGCTTAATAATATGAAAAAAAAAATTGTTTTTGGTTTACAACGCGCTGACACAAACAGCATATTTTCAAAGCTTGTAATTTTGTTTAAAACATTTTACAATCTGACTTTCGAATTCCTTACAAGCTACGAGATAAATGAATAAGCTGCTGCTTTTGCAATTTGTATAAATTAAATATACAATCCTGGTTGTTAGTTATAGAGTAGGAAAATGTGAAATATGTCTTTATGCCTAAGTCACAAAAATTGGCTGGAAAATCGTGATTTTCGCGTTTTATAAAAGGTTTGACAAGTCATCTTCTTGAAGTATGTCTCTAAAAGTAAATTTGGGAATAGACAAGGAAATTGATACTTTTTTGAAATCAGATTTTTTGTGGTTTCGAAAAAAAAAAAACAGAAAAAATAGAAACAATTAAATCGGGAAATGCTAAAGCAAATAAAGGAGTCAATACAAAATTATCTTTGTAGTATTAAAAAAAAAAAAATTAAATTAAATATACACATATAAATAAATATATAAAAGATCATTACGCAAAAAAAAAGAATACAACGACATCGAGCGAACCAAAACACAATGCTTACAAATCCGAATCGGACATAATATCCTCCAAGGATGGATGCTGATCGTCAGTAGCAATGCTGTTGCCGGCAGCAGCATTGCTCGATGTGCCACTGACGAACTCATCTATGGATTCGATGGGCGAGAAGGGACCAGAGACAAAGTTTTCAACCACTTGTGGCACCGCCGGCGGTGGCGGTATAATGTACGCAATCGTTGTGTTCCCTTCATTGTTTTGCAGCGACACACGTTCCAGATTCAACTCAGCTGGGTCGACGGGCACATCTCCATTGGTGAAGACGTTGAAACCTGTGGGTGCAGAAATTATAATTAACAATTACCCCTTTATTTGAATAATTAAACAGAATAGAGTGGGGGCGTTATAAATCGCTTACAAATACCAAGTTTGGTTTTCATAGCGTAATAAGCATTCATGCTTTTGGTACCGAGAGTGATTCGCTCACCGATCGATCCTACGGGACATATATTCAGTGATTTCAATAAATCGTTCCTATGGCAGCTATATACATATATTAATAAGGCCATATATGATTTGCACTGAATGCATGCCAACACGACTAGTTTGTTGCTTTATACTGTTTTCGGACTTTCTAGTATACAAGCTGGCACGTACAAGGCTTAAAGATATAGTAAAGACGATAACGAACGCGTCTGACCTTGATATTCGCCATTTTCATTTTGCATGAGCACCAGCGGATGCTGCGACTGGTGCAAGTTACTTAGTGCAACAAAAGTGAGGCCTGATAGTGGCAGCGGCTGTTGTTGTTGTTGTGGCTGCGACTCAATTTGCTGCTCAGATGCCTGGTGGCAAGGCTCGCTCTTTTCGGAGGATTTGGCGGGCAGTTCATCGTCCAGATCGCAATTGTGGCCGTCGATTGGGTTGGGATTCTGGCAGCCATTGCACTTGCAGTCCTTACAACCCAAGCCGTTGCTGTAGCAAGGACAACGAGAGCCCCGACACGTTGTGCTGCCTGGTTGGGTTGACTGTCCACAGCGACATGGATGCGGCGCGCGGGTACTTTTGGGCGCTTGCTGTACCTTTTGAAAGGCGCTCGGCCCTGTGCTTTTGATGGCAGTTGAATCCGCTGGCGGCTGCACCTGTATTGAGGAAATTATTGTCGGATTCTTCTTACGCAACTTCATGCGCGTGGCAACGCCTGACGTAGTTTTCTCTTCGTCGCTGCTCTGTTCATTATCATCATCATGCTTGCGCTTTAAGCTGGAACTGCTGAGGGAGGTGCCCAGAGTGGTGATGGCCGGTGCTGCAGCAATTGGCGCTGTCTCTGCTGCGTTCGTTACTTGAACCACCTGGCCAATAGAAGGCATTTGCTGAGTGAGATGTCCGGGGGCTGTTTGCATAACGACTGTATGTGGGGCACTCGGCAATACATATGTAAAGTTGGGCGTACTCGTAGCTAGCCCTGTGTGATGAAATTCTGGAATTGTGATCGCTGCTGTGAGATCTACTTGCTCGTTCCAGCTGGAATCCAGATAGCCGGCCGTTAGCTGTGTAAGAGACTGTTGAGGTATTGTGCTCAGGACCTGTGGCTGAGCAATCACATTATGCCTCAGCATGCGGGAACCTTTGGGCAGTATCGGCAGCGGTAGCTGCGCCTGCTCTGCCGTTGTGGCTGCCTCCAGTTCGATGTCAGTGTAGGACAGTGGTTCTGGTAAATGCTGCTCGAAGGGCAACTCGGGCGTGGTCGCTGCTGTTGTGGGTGGCGTCTCAGCAGGCAGTGAGGAGGGAAAGTTTTTCAGTAACGGAAGATCTGGCTCAGTCAAAAATGTATCCCCCATATCATCATAGTTGGCACCTTCTTTAATGAATTCCTGTGTCGTCTTCGGGGGCAGCTTTATGAGCGGAGTTTTGATGAAACTTTCATAACTTAAATTTGGCTTCATGCCAGCGAGCTGAGCGAACATAGAGGACTGCAGTAAATGGGCGCAAAGCGTCTTGTAGCAGAGCAGCTGCAGAGCCATCGAACGATTCTCCTCGTAGGTCTTGAAGTCCGAGCAATCATTGCACACGGTGCAACTGGGTGTGAGGCGTTTGGTGCCGCGCAGGCATAGACGGCACACATGATGGCCACAACGTCTGCGTTTCGGGGAGTAGGGATCCATTAGAAGCTGACAGCAAACCACACAGGAAAGCAGCTGCCGCAATTGGGGTATATACTCGTTTAGGTCGTCTATCCGGCGTTTAGATAGATTTGATGCCGATCGCAAGGACAGGCGCACAATCTTCAGATAAACTGACTGCGCCGACATTGTGTTGCCTTTTCTACTATTTCTATTATGCTAAATATTTCACGAGTATATATATACGTATGTATACAGTATACTTGAAGAGCGGAGGCGCTTCGTTTAAAGCGGCCGGGGCTCCGTTGACTTTAGACGTTGCTGTTTTGCATTTGTTTTCGCCAAACTTTTAACTCAGTTGGTGCAGCGTAATACTTTAGCAATATCTTAATGATATTTAATGACTACAGCATTACTTTACGCGTTTTGGTTAAATTTTTTGTTTGAGTTGTGCCGTTTTTATTGATTGTGTTGTTGGTCGTTGTTGTTGTTGTGAGTTGCGCTTGTTTTCACTCACTACTTTTTCACGTGCAAAAAAAAATAAACACAAAAAAAAACAAAAAAAAAGGTTAGTCTTATGTTCTTGGTTTGGCCTTACATTGTGGTATTAAATAATTGAGAATATATATTAAAAATGATCATTATTGAAAAAAAAAAAAAATTACCCAAGCCACAACACGCTGCAGTGCTGGGAAACTGGCGATAACTGCAGTTTCATCAATCATCGAAACAATACAAAAATATCTGAAAGTATCGCCCATCGATACAGAACTAGTGTTGGAAAGCTGTTGCACACGTTGATAGAGCTGTTTAAATATCGATGGGTTTGTGTAATTACATACAAACTTCTTTGCCGATATTTTACTTGATTGCGTTGGTGAACTAATATATCAATTTTCCAAAAAGAACAACAGGTTTTTTCAAACACATCTAAGCTATTTGGCAGATACAAATTATAACATCAAACAGTTCTTAAATAAAAAATTTTTTTTTCGATATATTGAATATATATTTTATATACAAATTAATATACTTATGTCTAATATTTAAAATCCTAAAATATATTGTTGACAATCAACAATATTCATAAATTTAATATCTCCTCTCTTCCTGCTCGCTAACAGTTTTTAGTGCTTGGTAGCTGGGATTCGAAAACGCGTCTGCACCTCCGCCAGCAGGTTTGTTTGCCAGCGCTTTGCGAGGTGGCTTTATGTTGACATAATGCTCCTTTTCCCCATTGAGTTTTGTTTCAATATGGTGTCGGGGAGAGGGCGTTGGCATGGGATGGGACTGTTGTGTGAATTTTCGCGACTGCTCTGGACTTTGGTCGCCACTTGATGTGGATGCCCGATGAAGCATGGGTATCTCCTCGGGGGGCCTATCAAGAGCGTCTACTGTGGGCAGACCGTTTTTCTTTCGGAGAGGTTTGTGTGCGTTGCTGTCAATGTTGTTTGCCAGCGTGGGGCTGTGGGGCTGATCCCGTCGGATATCTGGGAAAGTGAAAGAAGTTTCGGTGGTTTTTGTACATGAGTTTTCCGGAATATCTGCGGCTTGGGATGTGGGTGTATCGCCCTTGGGACGCGTGGGTGAGAAAATGGCGGTGGTGTTCTCGAGGCTCAGTTGTAAGTTATCATCTGGTGGCACATCGATACCTATGCATGGGGTTAATGAGAGATCGAATGTGTATGTCGGAGTGCTGTTGTTAGTACCAAGTCCATTGAAGCCTGAACTAAAAGGCTACTTACGAATTTCGGGCACAATATGGCCATTGACATAAGGAGGGGGCGCGGGTGCGAGCTCATCGGGTGAACCCATTAGTGCCAAATAGTCTGTTGGCCGATTCTTCATATACTCAGAGTTTGAACGCAGGTACGGATCATTGAGATCCATGTAGTGCTGCAAGGATGACAAATGATATTATTATTATTATATCTTTGCAAACATGAATATTTTACTTACGGATGCCACATCCTCGCTGAGCAATGCAGCGAATCGCGTTTCCAACTCATTGAATAGAGGTCGAGATTCTGGATTTGTTCTCCAGCACTCAAGCATTATTTCATATAAATCATCGTTAGCAAACGCCGGTTTCTCCATGCGGTAACCATCCTTCAATTTTACATACAGTTCCTGGTTTGGATCTATGCCCGGATATGGTACCTTTGCCAAAGAGAAAAGCTCCCATAGCACAATGCCAAAGGACCACACATCAGTGTAGGTGCTGAACACGTGATCACTAAGGGACTCCAAGGCCAACCATTTGATAGGCAGCCGTGCATCGCCCGTTTTTTTGTAGTTATCTCCCCGGTACATGGATCGGGCCAGACCAAAGTCACAAATTTTGACTACGTTGTCATCACAGAGAAGAATATTTCGTGCAGCCAAGTCGCCATGAAGCACTTTCTTCGATGACAGATAGTCCATGCCACGAGCTACTTGGAAGGCCCAGCTGACCAAATCGGTCGTCGTTACAGTCATAGCTTCTATTGAGTCGGGCTTGTAATTGGAACGCCAAGCCGGTTGTATAGAATTGTTTGACATCACATGATCATCATCTGGAAATTCGGAGTAAGCTTAGCGTGTCGCATGGATCCTCCAAAAAGTGATGAATGCAATACATACCCTCTATGGTGGTCAGCATGGTGGCTTCTGTGGCGCATGTGTCGGTACGTGTTTCGTAACTATAACCAGCAGAGCCGGGACGACCGGCACGTGTACCGGATCTGGGATCGTTATCCGAGTTTCTGCGATGATTGTTTGTATAGTTGTTGTTGTTCATTTGATTGATATATGAGTGGTTCTTGAAACTGAGGTTAGCATACTTCAAGACACCGTTACCACCACCACCACCATCACTGGATGCAGAGAGTTAATATTTGGCACACACACACACACACACACACACACACATAGACATTAAGAGTAGTTCAGAGCGGATCAGAGAAGAAATACCACAACCACAGGCACAGGTGCACGTAAAGGTATGTGTGTGTGAGGGATGTTTGGAATTAGTTGTGTGTGTGTAGACAGAGTATTGTTAGAGAGTTGCAGGTTCGTGCATTGGTGTTGGAGTACAAGAGAACAAGAATGCCGTTAGCCAAGGTTAGATTAAGTGTAAGCATCGTAATACATATACATATAATTGGTTAGTATTTGTAACATGGAAGTCCCAACTTACCGATGCAGTTCATAGTTCTCGGAGAAGCGTTGCGTATCGATGGTTGGATCTATCTTGTTGGTTGTTGGACTTATCTGATTAATAAAATACTTGCGATTGCGCAGCAAGACATTTTGGACATTTCCGAAACGACAATACTCGACGATGACCATCAGCTCCCCTGCATTTGAAACACCAATTTGAGATTGGACACTACCTTATGCGTCTCCCAATTTACTTACGCTTTGCAATATTCTTCGTAACGGCACCTAGTAAATTAACGACATTCAGATGTTGTCCCAAATGCACCATTATCTTCAGCTCAGACACCAGGGCCTTGACCACCTCATTGTCGGCGGTACGCTTCACCATTTTCACAGCCACGGTCGATACGGGTTCGTCGCTGCGTATACCTTCCGCCTCGCCTTTGAGCACCACTCCAAAAGCGCCAGCACCCAACTGCTTACCCAGTTTGAGTTTTTCGCGTTGGAACTCAAATTTTCGATCGTAAGGCAACAGATCCGCCTGCTCGTCTAGTGTCAAGGCTGGATTTATGTGTTCGACGGCGCCCTCCTCGAAATTAGCCAAGCCGGCCGCCTTAAGAGCCAAATGCCGTCTACGCTCCCGACGATACCGCCAGCAGAAGTAGACGCACAGGGAAATCAGTCCCAGAAAGCTTGCAATGATTATCCACACTACGGTCTTACTTCTCCTTGGCATATCTTCAAACGATAAGAGGGGGAAGTGGTAGGAAAAGAACCTCTTATGCTTTTTAAACGCTTTCACTTACTGGCAATGACCACCGTTGTCGAGCTTTCAATGATACCCAAACGGTTCTGCACCACACATTTGTAGACGCCATCATGGGCTGGCAACAGATGCCGGAAAAGTAGTTCCGACTGATCGTCGGAAATCTTTATATGCTTAGACTGCACCACTTCCACATTATCCTTATACCAGCGCACGTTGGCTTTGGGAATGGCATCGGATCGGCAGTATAGGGCGAGCTCTTCGCCTATATTCCGTTCAATCTTTGAGTTGAGAGCCAGAGTTTCGTCCTCCCATTTTGGTGCTTTCGGCTCATGGACGAATACATTGGTTTCAGAAGTTTCGAATGCACTATCATTTTTTATATAGTAGGCACGACATTCGTAGGTGCCCCGATCTTCATCCCTGACGGCACCAATTTTTAATGTTTTCTTGTACGAGTATTTCGTGTTGTTTGTTTCAATTTTAAGATCTAAATGGGCAATTAGTAATCATTTCGTACATCGATTTGTAACTCTGTGGAAGCTTACCATTACTTTCTTGAACCAGTTCGCCATTATGGTACCATACCAAGTTGTCTCGGAAGTGATAGGCCAGAGCGGCGCAAGTGAAGCTTAGAGGATCGCCGCGGGCGATTTTATCCTTTTCATCCAAGCCGTATATAGTCATATTTTCCGAGATATCTGCGATAAAAACATGTGCGTTGGCCTTGGCTATGCCTCCGATGTTGTTCGCAGCTATGCAGCTCAAAATTCCTGGTTGGGTGGGCATAAAGCGGAGTTCGTGGATATATTCAATACTGAGTTCGCCTGGATATAGCCTCTGACTAGACTGTGAATGGAATGGCATATAATAATTGATTGAGTTGACCATTTTTCTGGCAGTGTTCTTACATTAAAGGTTTGACTGAATCTATTGTCGCAGGAAGGCCAGTGGGGCTGAGTGCTGCAGGGGGTGAACACCCAGGTGACCAGCGCTGTGGGGAACGACTTGACGGTACAGTTAAGGGCGGCCTCGTGTCCCTCTTCCACATATACGTCGTGTAAGCTAACAATGGGCTTCGAGCTTATGCTCACATTAAACTCCAGCTGCTTAAAATCAATGCCGTTGGTGCCTTTGACAATGTAACGACCACTATCCAGTAGCTGAGCGTTCCTCAGCAATAGCGTGGAGGTGCTTGTGCTACCCTCTTTGAAGGTAATACTGAACCGGCCTCCAGTTTCCCAGATCTCACTTCCGTCTGGCTTGTACCATTTGAGCGTCGGCTGGGGGAAGCCCCGGAACTCAACTGTTATCTGAACAGTCTTGTTGGCGTTTTCGCGCACTTTATAATGGTCTGAAGGTTCTTTCATTTCCAAATAGCTTGAATTCGGCTCTGTTAAGGGAACGGAATCATTTGTGGGTGGGTCATTTTTAAAGGTCATGAAAGTTGTGTTCTATACTCACCCATTATTTTCATTTTATAGTTAGCTATCTTTACATTTCCCTTAGGGTCTGTAACTGTACAGTTATAGAAGCCCGAATCACTGAGCCCGGCATTGGTGACCCTCAGCAACTTGCGACCCAATTTGTGGGTGGTGTTCTTCTGGGTGTCGTCGAAATGTGAGGCAAATGTGTTGTTTATATGATTCTGCAAATATTATTATATAATATTATATATAATATAGTATTATTTAAAAAGAAACAATTATCAGAATTGCAAATTTTCGATATGTGAAAATCGATTTAAACGTAAAGTTCGTTTAGCCCTCTCCCACAATCCATTAAAGTAAATGAACATATGGTGAAGTGTAAGAGTATATTTTACAGTTATTTATTACCATATTTGCGGTCGTTGGTGGCCTCCATTCGATGGAATAACGCTCCTCCGTTCGTGCAGACAGCTCGCAGGACAATTCAAAGTTGTCCCCAACGTAGGCGTGACCTCGGGAATTCGACCTTATCGTAGGCTTGCTAATAGTGCTTTGCGCTTCTATTGTGGTATGTGGAAAGGTAAATCATTCATTAGAGTTGGCTTGAGGGGAACTATTAACCTTTTGCAAGTAACATTACAGAGGCGGGCATGCAAACATAGGTTATACACTCATGGATATATAGGTGGTTAGCCAAAAAAAAAAACAAAATAAAATTAGAATAATTGTGTATATACGCTTAATTCTGTTTTTACACGGTAGATTGATTCCAGAAAAAGTCATGTAAAAAAGACATTGAAAATATGCAAAAATAGGTGATTTGTTCCCTATCTCTAAAGAAATATGCAATTTTTAATTTTCAAACCGTGTTAAATCAAAATCGTGTAAAAACAGAATTAGGTGAACACCTGATTCTGCTTTTACACGGTAGATTGGTTCCAGAAAAAGTCTTGGGGAAAAAGGCATTGATCATATGTTATTTTGAATCTTGCTAAATGGAATAAAGTCGTGTAATACATCAAATTCTTAATTTTCAAACCATCTAAAAAAAGACCGTGTAAAAACAGAATTAGTTGTATATACATACATATGTGGGTTATACATACGAGTATTAGTATTATTTAGTAAGCATGCAAATAACAGCCCATAACCAGTAGAAAACGTTTAAAAACTCAAAAAGCGAACACAACAACAATTTACAAGAAACAACAAACATATAGCGTGCGGGGGGACGTATCAAGACAACGAAAAAATGGACGACAACAACAACAACAACAACACTTACGCCGCCGCGTGCTGCGCTGCGCAAGGAGGGGAGACTTAGTGGTGCTCGCCGGCATGCCGCGCTTGGAACGCAGCGACACATCAGGATCAGGATCGGGATCAGCCTCTTCAACGCTGCGCGACGACGACGAAGACGAGGACGAGGAAGATGAGGAGCGCGAAGCGGAGGCCGTAACCTCGGCGCTATTAGCAGCCACAGCATGGACAGAAATAGCAATGTCTGGTTCAGTTTCATTTTCAATTTCGGGTTGAAATTGTTGGTTCGAATTGGGAGTAACATGCCCGGCACCAATGGTTAATGCAATGGGATCGGTTGTCTGGTTAGTAACGTCATAGGGCTCTTCCCCAAGTCCAACACCTTCGTACATTTTGTTAGTGACTGTACTTTTTGTTGTTACACGTACTTCTTGGTGCTCCTCAGTAGTGGAAACGATCGCCTCGCGATCTGAGCGGATTAGCGTATTAATGAAACAGAGAGACACAGGAAAAAGATGTGATGGAGAGCAAGGCACACACAGGGTTATGAGAATGAAAGACGTTATCAGTTAGTGTACAGAACCACCGCTTTAGTCGTAGTATTTATGCTTTTTGTACCGTATTCCGAAAAGTGTGTACGATACTTATACTTGTATGTGATTTGTGCCTTAAAGTTTGTAATGGGTGGGTGGGAGTGTGTGTGTTTAAAGTGTTTTTGAATTTTGTTTAGTACGATCATTTAACCGCATAGGTATCCAAAACCGCTTTCTCTTTCTCGGATAATGTGTTTTTAAAGAAAATTGGAGTATAATATTTACGACATTTAAAGACGGAATTCACAAATCACAAACTTTGGGGTGCAAAAACTCACTATCAATGTGTTTGTTACCAGAAAATACGACCGTTGTAATAGTTTCTTCCAATTCGTTCTCTTCGGATGGTACTTTGGGGCGACAAATATAGTCACCACAATCGGTAACGCCGCGTATTTCGATAGTAAACCCACGTCGTTCGTAATAGCGAGCGAAGGTATCGCTGGAATGAGTCTAACGACAAGATATATTTCAGATGATAGCATGAGGAATGGCAGAGAGCAAGCAAAAGATGGCGATAAAAGCGACTTTCTTTCTTTCTTCCTATCTGGGCAACCCTGCATCGACTACAATGTTATATTACTGGAGTTTTTGTTAGATTAGAACGCTACTCTACTAATACATGGTACCTGAAATCTATGTACATAGGATATTTACATATTTGTGTATGCCGATTATATATATTATAGACGGGTATGTATGTTTTAAACTAGACAATTGGCTGATGCTTGTTTTAAATTATCTCCTGTCCTCGCTAAAGTCGTATGGCCCCCAAAAATACACCTTGGCCCATAACCTGTTCCGTATTAAAGTCATTTCCAGTGCAAAAGTTTTTTGCTTTGTAAGGTTAAGAAGTTCAGTTGTGGGGGAACATTAGGGAACTAAAGGATGTCTTATTATCTTACAACTTCTCTACTCATTATTTTATTTGCTTCCCCTTGTCAAAGACAAAATTATTCTGTCAAAACATTTTCCAAAACATCCACCCATTTACTACGAGTATGTTCATTTCCGGATCGCCATGGTTTAGAAAAACAAACATACGTACGCATACACTCATGAATTACTTGTAAATATAGTATGTATATATATGTATATATAGATGATGGGCTGTATATTTGAATCATTGAGGTTTACATACGCATATAAAACAAATCTATGGGGAACCAATCGGCAATCTGCTCGCTATTATTGAGGGCCTCGCATTTCATGGTGCCCGGCGACATGTCCTCAATCAGTAAAATGAAGCCCTGCTTTGGGTTATAGCTCGATGTACTGTAGAAGCTATGTTTGCTGTCGCTAAGCTTTTGGGAATTAATGACATGTTGGCTATCGCCGGACTAACCATTACCACGTGGGATTAGGGGGAGAGAAAGAGAGAAAGCCATCAGTGAGTTATAAGCGTATGAGAGTAAGTTTTCAGTTTTCAGCAGCTGTGGGTGGATTTCGAACCTCGCCATTGAAGGACAACTGGACGACCACATCCGGCATTGTGGGCTTGCAGGGTATGATGACCTCATCGAACTGCGTTACGTCGACCATCGCTATCGTTGGCCCTAAAAGGTGGTTTCTGTCTGTAACAATGTGAAGAAGGTTAGAAAGGGAACGATCTGCGGATCTCAGGCGGCATCCTTACCGTTCACATAAACATAAATCGAAGTAGCATCGTTGTTGTTGGTCAGCTCTATGAATTTGGATTCGCGGATATCTATTTCGGTATCGGGAATGTCGGACAGCTTGACACAGTAATAGGCGCCCACATACTCGCTGTGAACGTTTTGTAGCTGGAGGGAGACTCCAAAGGGCCGATCCGGATCATCCAGGTTGTGAAAAGGCGTGCTATCCTGTCGGCCGTTTGGCACGTGCCACCAGATAATCGGCTCTGGCGCCTCACAGCGTAGAGTGTAGTCCGTACCCCCGTCCAGTATAATTGAATCCTTGCAAGGCGTGATGAGAGGTGCGCCGTCCCCTCCGCAATTGGCAGCTCCCTCAAACCAAGGTTCCAATTCGTTCTGCGGTCGTGGTACTGGTTTCCGCAAAGAAGGAGTTGAATACTTTTTTATTAATTAATTAAATCAGGAACACGAATGGTATAGTTTGCAAGAAAAATTATCCAAACTTTGTCTGCTTTTTCCTTTTTGAATTCCAGGAACGGAAGTTTATTTGTTTTATATTTCTGATTAATTGTTTGATATGGGTAGGTGTATAATTTCCCCCTAAACAGAGCTTCATTTTGTGGATCTTGCACTTCAATTTCAAAGAAATAAGGCAAGCCGGGTGCTGTCGCCTTGTCTTATATTCAATGAATGCCGTTAGTTGTTTATTTACAATATATTGTAAATAATGAATAACAAATACAACAACTGACGATAACGATAATTGTGCCTTAATATACATATTATATAATTATGTATGTGTATGTCGAGTAATGCGGAGGCTATTGGATTAAATTGAAGTAAACACTTGTGGCGTCAGGCGTAATTATTTATGCATATTATATACACACACACATACGTGTATGTATGTAGATATGTCAGCCCTGGCAGTACAATATTTATGTGAAAATATGCCTTTTTGAAATGTGAGTCTGAAATAATGCCGCCATCGTCTGCCTCTTATCTTCGTGCGTAGCATCGTGGACTACGCTGTTCGCATTCAAGTTCAAAGTTCGTAATTGTGTGTCCCGTTTTAATGTAAATGGCTTGAAAGATTGTGCAATAAATTAATTATAACGGACACTTACAAAAACGATCTTGACTCTAGAGTCTAGACCCATGAAAAATGGAAATTGAGTGTTTCTGCAGAGAAAAAATGAAAGGTTTGTGTTCTCTTCCCAGCTTCCCAGCCTTCTTTGTACCTTCTGAAATGCTGGTTATTTTTTCATACTTTTTCAATGTACATATTGAAAACTGTTAACTAAAATCTGCTAACTATTCCAGCACTTTTATTTAATGTTTATCTTTTTTGAATGTTATTATTCAAACTAGAATTAAAATTATAATAATACTTGTTTCATCCCAAACTTAAATTAGCTAAAATACTTGTAGTAAGCAATACATTCTAGAGGGTATGTGTTATTAACTTTTTAGTTCGTTTTTTAAAAATATAATTTAAACGCCGAGAATTGTATTTTTTCACTCTACATTTTTATTATTTAAAAACGAATTTTATAAGTTCTTAAAAACACAGAACAAAAATCAACAAATGTCGCTCGGGATTTTAATTCTTACGCTTTTTAAAGTCGGGCTTTTCATATTGTATACACACAATTAAACGGGATGCCTTTATCAATTTCTTGGAATTCTTCTGATGCATTTATTGCATTTCAGTTGATTATTTAAGAAAAAATTATGTAGCGCTACTGAACTGGTGCTGATACTGTTCCTTAATGGCGTATATGTATCTCCACATACTAAGTACTATATATGCCCAATTATTCAGTTTAGTGAGTACTTACGCGGTGTACAGATGATTATTTGTGAGATCAAAATCATCAAAAGGAGAGCGGAATATGAAAAGCACCGTCGGTGCATTTTGTATTGTTGCACTGAATACATGCTTTAATTTATTAGGAGTATGCTCTTAGAAATCCATTTGTAAGGTTTGTTTAAAAACTGCTGCTGTGTTGCATTTTAGAAGAAAGAAACGGAAAATAGATATTTAAAAAACAAGTTTCAACACTCGCGAAACAAAAGCTCCGTTGCTGCTTGCAATTGCATTTGTATTTATTTTACTTAAATAGTTTTTCTTTGTGGCACTTTTTGTTTATTATAAGCTCGGTTTTCATTCCGGGTCGCGATCTTGCAAGGCTGCTCTCATAAACCAAACTGAAGTGTCAGCTCGAGCAACATTTAGAAAATCTTTCACTGGATCTCAGTTTTTTCTTTTTCTTTTTTGATAACAAAAGCACGTTTTTGTTGTTGTTCATTTATTGTTGTTGACGTCGCCGTTTCATAAATTCATTCGTTACCCGGGTTGTGATAAAAATATACTTTAGTGTGTGTGTGTGTGTGTTTCAAGTTTATATGTTTCTTAAGCTCCGGGCTGCGTTTCACTATCTGAAATATATGTTTGAAAGAAAAAAATTGTATTAATATAATTATCACAGCGCTCATAATCGAGAAACTGTTGCATATGAAAACAAATTGTTGTTGCGAGTGTTCAAATAAATGAAATTCTGGTGATACTACTTGTATTTCCTAAAGAGTGGTCACGCATAATGCTTCTACGATATTCATGCCACCAATGTGGCAATGTTTCAATGCTCCATAAAGAGCAGCAACGCGTGCCCCTTTTGACCCAATTTTCAGAGTTTCTTCGCTCCAATTCATGCGCCGTATTCAACATCCGGCCCAGCATTGAACTGGCATTAGAAAGCAACCGACTCCACTGATCGAGTGCCTGTTTTCGTTCTAATAAGGTATCCAAATACGGTTATATGTTGTTGCTTACAATCAGTTGGGAATTAGTTGTTTTGTCTCAAAATTGTAGTATTTAACAAAAGATACAGATAAATATAGTTATTCCACCAGCCACAAGTTATTTTTTCATGTTTAATTGAGATTAGTTCAGAACCTAGTAGTAGAGCCCTGAAACAGCTTAGTAGAGCTGTGCTGCGAAAAAATAGAACTATTTATTTAAGTTAACAACGGCTTTACCTAAGCTTTATTAACAAGCTGTTCCTCACTACAGCTTTAACGGCTTTTTCCCATCGGTCTTATCAAATTTTTAAGCACAGAATCGTTTTTTTAATCCCTTCTAAAAGAAGAAGAAGAAGGACCCAAATATTTTTTAATTTGTGGAGCAATTATAAAGATTTTACTATTATACAGTTGGAACTCAATATTTTAATAAAAATATAGTAAGCAATACGTTTTAGCAACAAATATAATATCTATGAATAGTGTTCTTTATGTAGAATTCAGCATCTTTGCTGTATAATACGAAAATAATTCACTTTTAATAATTTAAATCGGGAACATAAAGAGTTTGGAAGTATTTGCTGCAAGGTAAGGCTCAAAGGTGAATGGATATAGCCTTATCTGTTTGTTCAAAGGCACGAAATCTATATAGTCAGGAAAATCTATATTAGAAAAGGGTAATCCCCTTGTAGCTTAACAGTATTAAGTCACTATGGAGCTATTAGAAATGCCTTTACAGCATTATTTGAGCTGAGAACTAACAATCCATTCGCCCCCACTGGCTTCCCCATAAACAGAAGCAGCTCTCTATGTGAGATCACCACCATAAAATGCAAGTTATTTATGGTATCAGCTAAGAAAGGCCCCCAAGGGCATTGGAACATTGGCGCTGGAACATTTGAAAGTGTCGTCCCTTACCTTGGCAAAGCAAGGACTTGATGAGGATGAGCTTAACTTTCAGCTGGGAAAATGAGAACTAATGAGACAGGACACACAGGACACACCTAGGCCACATGCCACACGACATGCTCATAATTTAACGGTCCTAGGTGACGGCGCCTGTTGCCTCAATACTTTATACACTTGGAAAAAAGCAAAGTGTTTTCGATAAAAAATCTGCGGATAATTGTATAAAATACCAATTGCAAAATTAATTCATTTTAGTTACGTTTTAAAGTAGTCAAGGAACTAATTACATACTGTTATATATACGTTATAGGAACGTTTCCTAAATCGTAGCTATAATATGGTTCTTTTAAGTCCAAAAATTATCTAAAATTATGAATGTAGTAGAGAATGTCTTGCATTGAAGTACAAGTACAGTCGGTTTTGAAGTTTTCGCTCAATTTTTCGCCGAGTGTAGTCATACAGCCATGTGGAGCAGTAAATGGCAACGAGACATGCACAATTAAACAAGTTGACTAACCGCAATGGCAGTGCCTCCAAATTAGACCATCAATTGGCGTGATGCCGACAAGGCGCGGGGCGGGATTGGAGGCACTTCCTGCGACTGGCGACCGGCGACCGCCGTGTGACGTGCGAGCGTCCATAAAAATCCACATCGTAAAAGCTGCAGCAATTACAAGCACCGCCAATTGGCAGCTAATTGAAATTGAGCTGACAAACAAGTGGCTCATCTCTGAGAGCGGACTGAGTGCCTGACTGGCTGGCTGGCTGGCTGGCTGGATGGTTGGCTATTAACCTGGCAGCGTCCTTTGCGCGCGTGTGTTTGACATCAATAAACAGAAATTTAATTCACCATAAATGAGAAAACGAGCAAACATTCTGCGCTCTCTACTCCACAAACTCGTAAGTCGGCGCACCCTGTGGCTCCCACGCAGTGGTGCTGACAGTGGCGCTGACATATGAGCCCTCAGTAGTTAGCACCAACTTGTTGGTTAATTGCCTTTCTGGCTTATGCCCGAAACCAAACAATATAATTCATCTATGTCATCGCTGGCGACTCAAAGAGGTGCTGGGAGGGAGCCTCTGTTGACCGTATTCGGCACGTAATTGCCTTTCGCAACACAATTCCAGGAGATACGCGAAACAACTCGCCCTACTCCTTCAGGGCAGTCGAAAATCCCATTAAAAACGTAGAAAAGTAAATTATGTGCGGACTAAACAGAATTACATAACACCAATCTCTGGAAATCGGGCGTCAACAGTATGCAATCGAGGGGCTATTAGAATTTTTCTTATAAAAGACAGCTTTGATTAAATAGTGACTAAACAGTGTGTTGATTATGAATGAATATCTATTGTTGTGTCTGGCATTGCATCCCCTACCTTATCAATAGACTAATTCATTGAAATGCAACGTTTTTCTTAACTAAACCTGTACTTCTTTCCCGATGTAAGTTGTAAACACATATGAAACATACTGTACATATTACTTTTATTACATCAAACAGGAATACTACACGCTTCCTTTGCCTGTTACGCAGATCTTAAGTAGCTGAGTGTTTATTTTTATCTTTTAAGTATAGAGATATCGCATCAATCATAAAATGACTAAAAAGAGACCACAAACGCGGCCTGGAGCAGAGAAAACCCACAGACACAAGCACTTTACAGAGCTAGTGAGTTGCATTCCAAAATACTTTGATTGGCTCAGTGTTGTCTATTTTAGCTATTTTCCCGCCAGTTGTAGGAAATTGCTGAACTGCAATCAAATATGTTCATTGAATGCGAATGTTGATGCTGCAAATGCAATGTTTAGCAACAAGTTGCATTAGTTTGAATTCGTTGTTGATGAGAAACATTTAGACGAAACATGTTGCAAAGGCAGAAAATGTTTAGAAGCAGAAGGCTTTTAATATTTCACTTAATGATCATACGAACAATTGAAAGGAATAGTTTTACTAACAAAAATAAACAAACTTGTGTGAATTAAATATTTGTTATTGGTCAGCTATGCTTAACTGACTGATTTTTCTTGTCCCTCCAGCTATATTTTATAGTTTTATGTTGGCAACACTGGCCATGCAATTCCTAGAACTTGGCTTGGCTTTTGTTGCAGTTACAGTTGCCATGGGGACACGCCCCTTGCAATTTCAAGGACGCATTACAGTGTATTTATAGTCACTACCCCAAGAATAAAGTGGTATAATGAAATCGTGCAGGCTTATGTAACAATATGCTTGCTTGTTGGCTGCAAATCAAAGTGTTAAGCGTTAAGCGATGCGGTTGTGAAGCTTTTTTTAACTGCTTAATGGAATTTAAAGTTTTGTTTTTAACATCATTAAAATGTAACTTTAGTTTACTTTAGCTCAGCAGCTTAAGTATGTCTTGCAGAGTATTTTAGGTCGGCCTATAGCGACTTTGGCGACTTCTTGCAGAGCTCGCTATTTTTAGCTTTTAGCCGACGTGCCTGCAACGCAAATTACTGGCCCTTCTGGTTTGGTCTGTGGGACGTGAATTGATTTTTGTTGTTGTTGTAAATGTTTGTCTTGCAGGCCAAACATAGGGCACAGCCTTGCAATTAGCGTGCTTAATGAGCAGTCGCTCTTAAGCCGTTTTTTTCAAAGCAAAAAAACGTAATTTGCAAGCACTTCTGGCCTTGAAAAGATCTGTTTTATTTCCATCTTAAAATGGTGAGCTATCGTTAAGCGGTAGAAAGGTTTGTTTAACACTTCGAGAGCAGTCGAATAGCTACTTAAAGTATAACAATTAGGGAGAGAAATTCAATAAATGTATCACATTGCAGAGAGCGCGAAACTGTAGACTGTAGAATAGGTCTGATAAAAAGTTATTTTCTGCGATAAAAGTGTGTTGTTATGTCGGCCTGGCAATCTTATCTGAAAACGCTGAATCGCTTAAAATTTGCAGAATAACTTTAAAGCTGTGCATACGAAAAAGCCACATGTGTTTGCAATATGTGCTTTTATGACTTCATGCTAGCGATGAGTGCGTGATTAACAGCAACTTAGAAATTGCAATTCTGGCGTGTTTTCCATGATTGAAACGTAATTAGTTTATTTATTTAAATAACAAATCAAATTAAATTAACAACGTTATTATTATTGGGTTTCAATAAAGAACAATTCACGCATTCATGGTGCTCTGTTTTGAATATATGTAATTCATCAGTTGTTTTTAGTCTTCAAACATTCAAAATCGAATCTCATCTCAAAAATGCTCCACAGTTTTATTTAAATTAATGTAATTCAATATATGATTATATTTAAGCTTCCTAG